CACAGGCCAATGGTCATTGGGGACCTTTGCTTTTGTGACTGTTGAATTCTCTGTTACTGATTTTTGATATGTTAGTATCACTGAGATATGGAGATTAACCATATTTGCTTGAAGTCAACAGAAGTTTGGAGTTACTTTTGTTGTCTCGATCAATCAAAATTAACGAATCATGAAATTAGCAAATGCATATCCAATGCTAAAAGAGTGATGAAACTGTAGCAAAATCGGCGATACCTTCTCGAACATGCTTGATAAGAATTATTAATGGTGGAGATGATGGATAAGAAGAGACTCTGTTAGGGCAAATTATTTACCACGCATCAAAAATATTGTCTCGTCGCTCACTAATCACTTCCACTTTTATCTATTCAAAAGCTCCATTGTTATACTACCTTAAAATTGATTTTAAGTGATTATTAATACTACGCTTTTATTAAAAATATAGCTATTTATTACATTGTTATAATTTTAATACAACGAATGTAGTTTTTCAACATTTTATATATTTTTTAAAATATAAATATACATTTTATTGGTATTTATTTTATATTTTTGTTAATAAAATTTTTTAAGTTTAAATTTAAGTATCTAAAAATAATTTTTAATTAAAGAATAAAATTTAATCTGGTATTTAATTCTTAAGATAATAAATATTTATTTTTTAATAAAATATTACTATTTTAGTTAATTAAGCTAATGTTAATGTTATACAACACGTAAATATAACAACTATGTTGATGAAATTTAATGTACAGAGAATATTATCTAGAGTAAATGAAAACTCATTTACTGTTAAAGTGAGGTATCACTTAATTAAAGACTTGACGATAGTGGACCCATTTTGTAGCCATAACTTTTTTGGTTTCTCACGAAAAATGTTAGTCATATTATTATTTAAGTGTATTTTTAATATATTCTTTGGTATTAGTTAACGTTTATTAAAAATTACACAGATCTTATTCTTTTTTATTTTTAATTTAATATTTTTAAAATCTTATAATTTTTAATAAGTTGTAGTTGATAAAAAAAATATGTTATGAAATATATTAATAACGATCCTTATCTCTCACATTAGATTTGTTTAAGATAGGGTTGAAAAAATTAAAAACCTCTACAAATAAAAAAATATGATTTGCTACAAGTAAGTTAAAGAATTTGTAAACATGTTATAAATTTTATAATTATTAATAGTAAAATAAACGTATATCTGTATATACATTTTAATGCAAACTGAATATCTTATAAGAATGTATAAATAAAGTTTCCAAAACTGACTAATATGATACAATATATTTTACAGTGCTTAAAATGAATGTTACTTACCACGTATACAAGTTAAATTGAACAAAATAATATTAAAGAGTTTAATTATACATTTTCAAATCCTTTTTTATTAAAAACAAATGTTTAACTTATCAATACAAAAAAAGTAGTCATATATTCTAAATTTATAATATATATTTTAATAGTAATACTTATCTTTCTTATAAAAAAATCTGAAGAAGAATATTTTAGGAAAATAATACCGAATTTTGATTTAATAAATTTAATTAGTTAAATTGGAATCAATTGACGCAGTAAAGAGTAATTGAAAGCCAAAACATAATTGATTCACTTTTTGGTCGGTAGAAGACATTTATATACGTATGTTAATAATTAAGCAGTTTTATTATATATATAAAAAATACCCATAGAATGTTGACTTCCAACTTGAATATATTTTCTCTTTAGAACTGGATATTTGACGTTCACACACACACCCGCGTTAATAAAATGTTTATATGTTTGACAGACACATACAGCTTTTTTAACGAACATTCTACGCATAGTTGTTTATCTTCATACTCGCCCATTTTAGATAGATTTTTAATTAAATATTTATAAAATATAAAATAAATTAAATTAAACTCGTTATGCTTCTTCAAATTTTAAAAAAGTTTATCTAAACTTAATTTACAGTGAATAAGTTAATTTTAACTTATAAAACAACTTACTTTTTATTTATAAGTATTTAAATAAAAATATTAATTAAACAGTATTTAACAGAATATTAATTTAATCAGTAGATGATTTTTTTTTGTCATAAAAATATGAATTAAAATATATAAATCAGCAAATGAACTTTCGTTCTTGAAATTCAGTTTGACTGATAAAACGCTATCTCAACAGTTATTGATACTCCATCAGTTTTATTTATAACTTACAGATTTAAAAATTGTAATTAATATTCTTATATTTATTAAAATTATTTTTCTCTTTCGTGCTTTGTTATCCACTTGATAAAAACCTAATACTGTTAGTGATTTATGAATATTTTTATACACAAGTGAAGTTAACAACTTTTTAATCATTAATACGTTATTATAAGTATTATTGTTGTTATCTTTTAGTTATTATCGTACTTCGTAAACTCATTATAAAAAATCATCATAAACTTTATGACATGATGATGGTAGTATAATTTATCTTCTGTTTAGAAAGGATTAATTTTTTTTATATAATATAAATTGTGCAGATTAATTAAAAAATTCTGTCAATATATGTTTGATTTTTTGCAGTAATTTGTATAAAATTTGACACAAATACTCATAAACATGTATACTTTTAAGTGCTATAACAATTAAAATTATATTTCATATAAAAATTTAAAATGCTCCAAAATATTAAGTTGTACATAATATAATTAATATGTAATTTAAAACCCATACCCTTAATCAAATATCTAATTACTATCACAGACACAGATCCTATGTGGTAAAGAATTTAATTTCACAAGTGTAGTGATAGTTTTAACTAGTTATTGTATTAAAATAAACTACTTAATTATTTTATGGTTAAGATTTTCAATAATGTGATTGGAGAGAGAAATTATGTTTCTACTATCACCCGTATCTAGCCTAACTCCATAGACATTGTTGCAAACAAAGAGCCACTTTGCTCAATCTCAAAACGTTACTTGTTGATTTTTGATCGTTTTACGGGGTTAATGTCGTTTTACGCTCCATAGTCACTTCATGCGTAGAGCTGTTAATTAATTTTTATGAGAGCTCATTTTTTTATTGATTATTTTTAATAACTTCTCAGACATTGTGTTTAGTTCAACTTCTTTGTAAAAAAAAGAACACGTTAAATAATTTAATTATAGGAGCACGTTCCAAAAGTTGTGCCATAAAAAAGACAAGTCAACAAAAAGACAACGAGTCTACATGCTCCCGTGATTTTTTTAAAAGCACTAATATTGGGCCCTTTTTTTGGTAATAAAGAACTATTGACTCTTTCTTCCATTTTTGTCAATATAATGCCCTTTCAAGTTTTTGGACCGACCAATATAACTCACAGTATAACGGTTTTCTTTTTAAATAGGGTAAAATTAACGATAAATTACTAAAACAAGATATTGACAAAATATTTTTTATATATAATGATTTTTGAAATGCCATTTTAAATATTGATTATGTAAGAGTTTAGAGTTTAAAGGACGATATTTTTTAATAATAAAATAATAAGTATTATATTTATATGAAAATACTTTTTTTTATTATTAAAAAAATAAATTAAATAAAATAGAGAGATTCAAATAGTGGGTTCATGGTAAAATATGAGCTTTTGAGCAAAACGTCTACAGGTTGCTATGAACCCAATTAACATTGTTTTGTTTTAAGTACTCTTAAATTAACATGTACAACATGATTCATGTTAATCTTTGTCAAATAGTAGGTTTGATAAAGTAGTTTATTGACTATGTTGGTTTGATTTTGACATTATGCATATACTAAACATTTTAATTAGAAGACATTACACGATGCTTCAGTGTAAAGTGACATAAAACTATGGCGTTCATGTTGGTTGCTATTCCTTGTTATGAAAGCCTATGGTTTTTGTGACTTATAAAGAGGAAGAGAAACAATTTTCTGTAAAAGAGATATATTCTATAATTCTTACAGAAGGTAACAAATTCTTCAAATAAAAACTCATTTTTCACGGTCTGAACTTACCATTCAAATCACTCTATTTTATTGGATGATAAAAAAAAATATGTATCGTTCATGTTCATGTAGTAAGCGATATTTGATTATTTTTTTTTATCGCCTCATATTATTTTATTATTACACGACAAAGAAAAATGTTTTGTCAATGTTATATTTTAATAATTTATTTTTAATTTTTTTAAAAAAGCCTCGACATAACTCATCTATCCCATATTTAATAATAGATGAAAAGTTTTTGACCTTGTCATTTCCACTGTATTACTATTTGTTCTAATGCATTCTTAATCTTTTGTGTTGAGGCCCACAATTCATTTTCTTGATTATAAAATCTCAACATCGTTGATATATTATCAGAAAAAAGACGACCATGTTTGATTTGCATCCTTCAAGTTCACGATCATAACTAAAATAATAACCACTAATCCTATATAGAACATGGTGAATTGATTAAGACTTTTGTTCAATCATAATCGAAGAACAAAACTGATTGTCGCCGCCATTGAGATAGTGATTGAGGAGATAATGGATATATAGATGGCACATTCACGAACTTTGGCCAAGCAATGCAAGTGAATTGAAAGCTTCAAATCCTCTCATTGGCATTGGCAGTGTCATTTTTGTGTCAAGTGTGGGACGGACCTATGGTCCACCAACAGCAAGACACGAGCTCAAAACGTAGCCATGTTAATTTGTTGTCAACGTCATACTCTACAATTTCAGCCACGTGCTCTAAATTTTTTTTATTTTTTACTTTTTATCGTTTAACTATTATAATAATAATTATTAAAATTCATACAATAAAGTAAAGCTGGCCCTACCGCGTCTCATAGATGATGCGCCCTGTGATATCACCAGGCCACGTGCTCTCACACTCCTTTTACGCTCTTTTCGATCAACACGCTTTAGAGCTTAGACCTTAATTGGTTCAAAATCAAAATCAAAATATTGTACCTTCTTCACACCTCACTAATTATTATATATAACAACGCTTTCTCCTCTTCCTCTGCCGCTGTCAACTCCATTAAAAGCCACACACACACACGCACACACATATATATAGCACAACACAACAATTAAACATGGACATGGAGAAGCATGCCATGGCTAGTGCTGGTGCTAGTGGTTATAGTAGTGATGCTAATCCTAATCAGACCCCATATGCATCTTCTTCTGTTAATGATAATAACAAGTTATACAAAGGAGTGAGAAAGAGAAAGTGGGGAAAATGGGTTTCTGAAATAAGGCTTCCCAATAGCCGTGAACGCATATGGCTAGGGTCTTATGATTCCCCCGAGAAAGCTGCACGAGCCTTCGATGCTGCCCTTTATTGTCTACGTGGTCGCCATGCCAATTTCAATTTCCCTGACACACCTTGCAACTTGGAGATCAATAATGTGGCTCTTATACCTGGTCACCAATCTCTTACCCCACAAGAGATTCAAGAGGTTGCTGCAAAGTTTGCAAACGAGGATCCACTACAACTACTACCTCTTGATCAAGAACCTCAACGTGATGGTAATGGTAATGGTAATGGTAATTCATCACTGGGATCAAAATTATTATCTAAATCGGATAGCACAGTTGAGAGTAGTAGCACTTGTACCCCCACCACCACAGCCTCGTCATGTTCTACTACTACGTTTGAATGTGATGGGACGGTGCAAGTGGACCATGGGGACATGAGCATAATGGATTGGACATTCTTGAACGTGTTTGATTATTCCAATGAGGTTGTTCCTGTTGCCTCAGACTATGCTCTCTATTCTGAGTTAGACAATATGCACTCAGGTGAGTTATTGTATTCCACTCCTCCACCACCACATCCTTTTCAGGATAACGATATTGAAGATTATGATCCCTTTTATCAACAATCATCCCTTTGGAATTGGAACTTTTGATTCTCCTTTACCTGGCCTTTTAACTAATTAATTACTTTAATACCCTATATATATTTTATACACATATATATCCTTGGGTTTTTTACCACCATTTGAATATATGGTGTTGTATATTTCTTAATAACAAGGACAGGCCAGGCTATCTTAGACCATATATACCTTACCGTAAATATATGGCTAGTGACCCGGTTTTTCTGTGCTATCTATTCCGTTGATTAGCACGAGCTACCAACTAGCACCGATAAATGTTCTCCCTTTCCAATAAATAATGTTTGTACTCATAGCTTGTTTCATACCATCTGTATACTAGCTCAAGTATATATACTTAAATATACATCTCTTTATATGTAATGTATTCCTTCTCTTTTAATTCATTTCATTTTATTTTTTTGATAAGCCAAAATATCGTTAACAAGAGTATCAGAGTACTCAGGCCGTATACAGAACAAAGTTCCTATAAAAAAACGAAGTTCATGAAAGAAAGTTGTGCGGTTCCTCCTATACGACTAAGTTCACAAAAGAAAGATAATTAATGAGTATAATCATACCAGCAACAATATTAGAAATTTGTGAATCCATTGTTGCTGACGGTTTATCCCCCTGACTTGACGAGATTAAACCTTATTCCTTGTCTGTGTAATCAAATCTGAGTGGATTAATTTGTAGTGCTGAATTTAATTTGCTATGCACAAGTAATGGTGGAGGATAAGATAAAGGTATGCTTTAAGAATTTAGGCATTTATATGTTTATTATGTATAAATGAATACAGGGACTGTCTTTTTCTAGTAGAAGTAATTTTTCTTTCACTAATTTCTGAGTGATCTAATGACAGTTCACAATAACGTAAATTTCCATGTTTGAAAAAATTATATTTGTACATTAATCATGAAAATGTGTGTTAAAATAAGTATTTTTCATGTTTTTATTCGAAGAAGAATTTATGTAAATCTTATATGTGTAAACATAGCATTACTTATACATTTTCTATTCTAGCTAGTAATATGGTTAATTAATTATTAGGTTTTTTAAATCACGCATAAAAATTAGGGTTTTTCCATTTTCTTGATTATCTGTTGCTTTTTGCCCATAACGCTCCCCCCCCCCCCCTCTCTTAATAGATCAGAACAAAAGTGTTTGTAAATTATTTAGGATTACCTATTATTATCTTTTTATAATTTGTGAAAAAGTTAATAATATCTAAACGGAACAACAACATATCTTAATTTATATCGCATTTGCATTCTCTCTCTATCAATTTTAGCTCGCAATATCAATTACTGTTAAATTTGATGGTTTAGTTAAGAGACGATGCATCATTAAAATGGGCTAGTTAAATATACTATAAAATATGTCACTTTGCTGGGAATAGCACTAAGTACGATTTGATAAATTGTTATGCATACAGAAATTTTGAAATTTATTTCCTGAGAGTTCACAGCCTATAAGTTTTATTTCTATAATCACAACGATATATAGCTGAAACCCTAACTATGCATTATTTATCGCTCTTTAGTCGTATGACAGTCCAGTTTCATCTATTGGTTAAAAACTGTAAATACTATACCTATAGTTATTTATTAATTTTCAGTAGTTTTTATAAGATCCTCTCAACTAATTTATGCAAATTAAAAAGTTAGTAATAGTAAGTAGTAAATGTATTTTTTTTTAAATTATTATATTTCAAGTTTACTTTTACTTACGCTCTTATTTTGCAAAGTACAAAAATATTTCAAGTTTTTAATTTTTTTTAAAAAATTATTATATTGAATTGAACCTCTAAATAGAAATTCAATACATTGTAACAGTAAACATATTTTAGATCTATATTTCCTCTAATTTTAGCATAATTATGAGCAAATTTTGTCCCGCGTAAGTAAATATGTATAGGAATTGCTCTTTCATCAACCTTCTTTGCAACCATCTTTCTAAAGAAACTCCCCTTCATTTTCTCCTCTCACACTTTTTTCCTTCTGATTTTTCTATTGTTGGCTTCTCTTCCTCTGGCTTTGCTTCCGTGTCCTTCTTTACCTCCTCCATAGTCTCACCTTCAACTGGAACTTGGGTTTATATAGTAATTGGGGCTTCTTTTTTTTTTTTTTTTGTTCTTCAATAGTTTCTTCCTTTGATTGTTGGGTGATTGGTTTTGGAGCAAGCTAGAACCTCAATTATTGATTGTTCTTGGGTAGAGACCCCAATGATTAGTTGTTCTGTGGTTGTCTCCTGGGTCTTGGTTACTTCATTTGTTTCATTCTTTTGCACTAGTGGTGGAGCTTGTTGTACAATCTGATAGATAAGATATATTCTTACTTAACAAAGTCTTATTATGAATTTTTGTCGTGAAGAACTTAATTGAATGGTGAAAAGTGGAAGATAAATGAGTGTTTCTTGAGAAAGAGCGCTCGAGAAAAGGGTTGATGCGGATAAGAGAAAACTTTTCATATATATTAACTTAAGTGAATAAAATATACTTAAACAAATTTTATTAATATATAAAATATCATTGTGTTTGCTTTATAAAAGAAAGTGAGCGCAAACTTATATTAAGAGAACACAAATGCTCTTTAGTTTGCAGAATATGAATTGTTAGTCTAAGATTGATCTTCTATGAAAGAGTTAAGAATGGGTCAAATCGAATTAAATTTTATAAGACTTAATCTTGACTTAACTTTTAAAATTAAGTTTTAAAATTTATTTATTTATTTAATATAAGCAGTCTTTAAGATTTTATTTGATCTCTTCAAAAGCTAGGTCCAACCTATATCTTATTTAAAAGTCAGATTTAATAATAGAAAATTAATAATAAATAGAAATTTACTTACAAATAGATTAGTAAACCTGAATTTACATGTAAACTTATAAAATATAATAATAATAATAATAATAATAATAATAACAATAATATCTATATTTATTTAAATAAATCGGTCCATTAAACTTAAATATTTTAAAATTATTTAAAATTTAATTTTTTAACTAAGTAAACTCTTAAAAAATTAAAATTTATCTATTTAATTAATTTAAATTGAAGTTAGGTTCAATATAAGCAACCTAACTTATTTTTACCTGCCTATAACTCACTCCTTTAAAGTGTTTTATTTTTTTATTTTTAAAAGATTTTTTATGATTTGTTTTTTGGGTTAAAAAGGAGAATGATGGTTTACAAAATTAGAAGTGAACGATCAATTTGGTTCAAATGATTAATTCCCCATTCTCATTAGTTTAGAATTATTATCCATTATATCAATTTTGTAAGATAAAAAAAAGTAAACAAATTTGCACGTAATTGGAGCCAGTATTGGTCGTACCAAAAGACGGTGGTCAATATAACAGTGGTAGGTGAGTGCACGGCTTAATGTGTATCATCACAGTGACTCAATTCAACGACCCTTCAGCATTCTCTTATTTTCTTTTCTTTTCCTTTTATTATAAATATAATTCAGTAAACGTCTTCATCTTTACCATGATGTGAGCCCTTGCATCATCATCGTTAATTAAATCAATGTTATGTTTTCACAAAATATATTATAAGTCATAAATTTTAAAATAAATAAAACAAATTTGTATGAAAATTAGAACTAATTATATTTATAAACAAGCTAAAATATATTATTAATGATCATATAGTATTAAAAGTATTATTATAAGAGATAGTTTACATATTGATGGATACACATTTTGAAAAAGAATAAGAGAATTTTTTTACCGTTGAGTAATGGTAACAATTTACTCTTTAATATACTCTTAGTAATATATTTTTTTCTTATTACTTAAAATTTATTAAAACAAATACAGATGATATTATAATAATATTTTGAAAGCTTCGGGAAGCTCTCTACGCAGGTCACCTGCGTTTTGTTTTTCCTTCAGTTTGCTTGGATTTGAGATTGACCTATCTGTCATCCATCCTCAACACAGTCAACGGTCAAATATTGGAGGTTTTCCCAGTCACGTGTTCTCCCATTAAAGGAGAATTCTAAGAACATTAATTAACAACATAACCAGGAGAGTCACATTGAAAAACTACGTTCCCATGTAAACGTTGACCATCAACTCCATGTAATGTCAAATATTTCACAATAATAGTCAAATGCTACAAAATTAATTTCATATTGCTACTTGTATGGTGTTCTAAATTAATGTCATCTTTTCAATATTGATTTAGTTTTTAACAGGAGTTAAGTAGGGATGATAGTCAAAAAATGTGAATACGAGTGATTCAAAGAATTTATGTATTATACCTCATGGAAATAGTTTATAATTTTAAAAAAAATTTAATATAATTTATTAATTTTTTTGTTTATTTAATAAATTTTATATTTAAATTTATAACATAAGTTATCGTTAAAAAGTTATTAAATAAATATTGATTAAACTATTTATCCAAATTCACTTTGATGCATCCTTAAGGACAACAAACTATAACAGTGTAATCTAAATAATTGAATTGCAACGCAAATTTTGTCGTGTGGTAGTTAATTAATGAACAATAAAAGAACAAAAGGGAATAAAGATGACGAAAGATGATTGATTAATACTACGCTTGTTTTGGTGAAAATAAGAATTAAAAAAAAATATTGCCGAGATAAAGTAGAAAATTTTCATTTCACCCACTTAACAATGATCATTGACGCTGTAGATTAACTCATAACCAGTATTTTTAGTTTAATTATAGATATCAACTTTCTGTTTCCATGAATGTAATTGTATTAAATTTTTTTAAAAAAATCATTACTTATAATCATCTTATTTGACTCAATCCAAATAAGTGGGATGTGTAACATAATGATTAAATGCTGAGAAATTTAGATTAAAAAAATATAGAATAAAGGCCGAGAGAAAACTTTCACTCGACATCCATAAATAAATCTCCCCTTTTTGTGAGGGATTTACAATTCTTTTTTTATTTTTATCCTCTACTTTTTATTCTTCTTTTTTGTATAAAGGTTTTTTTAAGTAAATAAATTTATTAATAGATCGAGTACCATAATTAAAAGTAGTAAAATATTTTTAAATTTTTTTACTCTCTTTTTATTCATATAAATTAAAGAAATATAATTCTGTCTTATTTCTATCTACAGGACTATTGAGGGGAGAAAAAAGCGATTGCATATATATTAAATTTAGATGATATCATGTGATGTGGGATAAAAAGTTATCGACTAAATTATTGACAAATAAATTTTTAACATGTTTGTCATCATTTTATTATATCATATTTTTAAAATTAAATATGAAAAGTAGTGTGTTGATTCTCTTTGTCAAACAGTGTACTGACTGTTTACCAAAAAAGTAGTGTGTTGATTCTCTCTGTCTGTTTAACTTTGTGAGGACATTTAACTATTGAAGTTGATAATTTTAAATACGAAATTTGATTACATATTTGGTTCTTTAATATTATGGTAAATGAATAACTCTAATCCTTCAATAATATTTTTCGACCATGAAATTTTTAATTTAGAAGTACCTTTTTCAGTTTGAAATTTTTAAAAATTAATGATGAGACCATCAATTTACGCGTGAGCGCGGGATATTTTCATCGAGTTAGCATTGTCATGAATTATTACGTATATAAATTATGAATCACTTTACTAACTTCTGTTAGTAATTAAACGACTGACTAATATATCCTAATTAATTCAAATAGAAAACACTTGAGTTTAATTTACCCAAAAATTTTGGGATGTTATCTAGTACCATCTGGTTGTTCGCAGAAGAATGCAAATGTAAAGTGTAAGGGCATCATTACTTTTAAGAATAACTGCTGGCTACAAGGTTGTTCAAAATGGTCATGATTATATGCAACCGAATGTTAGTGGTGCATCTCAAACTGTGTAATAATAATGACTCTAGTGAAGCCCAATAAGACCAGCAGATTGCAGTGCAGCAACCACCTTCATTAGCTCTCCACCATTGAGAGCGGGTTACTTCTGGATTGAAAGGCCAAGAGGTAACTACCAAAATCTCCAATTTATTGTGTTAACTAGCAATCAGTTCAGATTTTGATCACAGTTGACATAAAACTGACCACTGCTGGATTCAGACGAGTATGATGAGCACTTCTGGTCAAGTATTGTTATCATGTTAAGCTTTCGGCAAAGCGGCAAAATCAAGTCTACCTCTGAAATGTTATCTAGCATGCTGATGCGTCGTTTGATTTCATTTTCTATTTTCATTTTGTTTCTGTTTTAAAATATTTGAGAAACACAATAACTTTTTTTTTTTGTTTTTACTTTATCCTGTACAAATTTTAAAAATAAAAAAGTAACGAAAATAGCGCAGCAAATTTGTATATAAAGGTAAAATCAAAAGACGTTTTTATAAACCATACATGATCTAAGCTACTTCTGTATTGCACTAGCATTTGCCTAAAGACTAATGTTGTAAGAAATTTGGCTATCAACTTCCTATTTCGCAAATACTCAGCAGAAAATTCTCTGATCTTATTCCTCCAGAAATCTCGCGATCTAAAAAAAACAACTTAAAATGCTGAGTATGGAAAAATCCATTAAACCTTCATATAAAATTCAATACACATTACATATCACAACGGTGGACTAAACCCCTTTTGGAGAATAAATCAATATGACAAGAGAGCAATCATTGTATCAGAAGATTCTGGTCCATTATTATTTACACTTGGTATAATGTTATCAGGAGATACAAGTTTTACAAACTCTTTGAGTTCTATAAAGCTGCAATGCTCACTGTAAGGCACTTCATATCTGATCAACAAGGAAAACTTAGATTAGATAATAGTTATATAATTTAAGCGAGCCTCTTATTCCCAATAGCATCGTGCACCTACTAACTAGATCAGTGAACATAAAAGTTTACTTGTGACTTGTGAGACAAGGATTCGGTAAAACAAGCTTTATTCGACCAAAACTAGAAAGAAAAAGGAGACCAGAGCGATTGTGAGGGATCTAATCCAGTTACATGATTCTAGATTTAAATTAGAAGCAAGTTATGTTAGTAAATTTTTATTAAAGATTACAAATTATCATAAAATTTAATGCATTAATAAAATTAAATATTGCAATTTTCAATAAAAAAATTATAATTTATTGATTTGTTATTGTGTGTCCTTGGACACACGTCAGAAAATCATTTAAAATAAAACAGACAGTAGTAACAAAAGGAAACTAAAGCATCACCTTATAATAGTACCCTGCTGCCATCTTCTTCCAGGAGACTTCTTTTTACCTTTGCCAAACTTCCAACCAGTGGGAGAGAAAGCAACTATAAGACTGTACCGCCCCTGATTAAAGAAAAGGTATCTGATGATTAGAAATGATGAACTACAAAGTTAGAAGATAAATGTAATTCAGTATAAAGATCCTGCTTGAAAGCTGCAAAACACAGCCACCAAGAATTCCACCATGGAATAGTTCAGACAAAAATGTCAGATCAAAGTAGGAATTTGCATACATCAAAATATGTTCCCAGTTTACATTGAAAAATGCCACAAAGTTAGCATGCAGTGCGTAAGCTAGAAAAGGTAGCAGCAGCATTTACCGTATATTGACTTGATAAGTGTTTCAATCTTTTAAAGCTTGCAAGAGTCCACATCGGAGCAACATGAATGTTGCTTTCGTGTTCATTTGAAGTAAACCACTGCATATCCTCCTCCTTAAATTCCAGACATTTTAAAAGACGCAACTTTGCCGCAGTCACGTAAACCTTCTTACGAAGCGAACGAGCAACCTCAAGGACTAGCCTTTCTTTTCCTATAAAACACAGGTAAACAAGGGGGAAGAAAGAGCGTTGAAAATCTTTTCGTATTTCCTCATTAGTTTCCCAGTAGTTGGGTAATAGTACAATAGAAACACAACACTACCCAAACCTACATTTAGCATCTAGTTACCAAAAAACTGCAACAAGTGTCAAACAAATATTAAACGGCAAAGATAACCATCGTAAAGTATGTAGCATAACTATCCAGAGAGTTGTATTGAGTTCTACCAATTGTATAGCTGCCAATCAGAAAGAGAGTCCGGGGATTAAAAGCTTCTGCTTGAATGGCATCTATGACAAATTGTATTACAGCCTCTTGTTTTGGAAAGTCATACTGCAATGAGACACAGAACAATATTAAAAACACTTATTACTAGGAGTCAAATGGAGCAAGTATATGAACAGATTTTAACAAAATGAATGTAATCGTGCTCACTATATGCAGAAATTATAAGATAAATGCCAGTACGAATGTGTTTTTGGGAAATGATTACGAAAAGGAAAAAGTTTGTTGCATTTTGCCACATCATTTACTTTTAAAACCTTACTTTTTTTTTTTCTCCAAACATGTAGGATATAAGGCATTCATAATCACTCCTACACAAAAAGCTGTCTTGCTGAAATTATTATTACAATATAAAGCATAAGCTTACGTATTTGATCTTATAATAAGAATAAATTAATACTAATCTATTACTGCAGTAAATTGCCAAAGTCAGACATTCGTATAGGCATGCTGGTAGTAGATTTGTGAATTGCTATGATATTGCCCAATGCTACTGCCAAACCAACCCTCATAGATGGACTATGCCAGAATCCAAGGCCCCTAAACTATAGACAAAGATTCCATAAAACGTCCCAGTTAGATTGGAAATCAGTTCACTTTGACGCAATATTATGTAACTGGAATATAATGTCTGACTCCATTATTCATTTTTCATGTTACTGAACATAATTAAATTTATGGAGGCCAAATTTCAGTGCAAAAACTTTAATATAATAACAACAACCAAGCCTTATTCCACTAAATAAAATTTTAACTACATGAATTATACGATGTCATTATACTCTGTTAAAAACCAAATTCTCAAAATGAAAAAATTTCAATACATTCATGTCATTTGAACAAGATGCTCAGTTATTTACATATGAACTCACCTGTGGGTTGCAGTATGTTGTATCAAGAATAAGAGTATGGATAGGACACATCTGCAGTAAAGGATTGATTGCTATTTCTTCACTAAAGCGGAAATCACCAGTGTGAAGCACCACCTAGATGGAGGAAAAACATTTTAGTCAATTCTAACACAACAATGGGTAACTAGCAAACGATAGTTAAGCTCATTAGGAAGCCAATTCAAGCCACACGGCCCACACCTTACCATTTGGAGGTTGAAAGAGTATGATTATGGAACCTGGACAATGGTTGGCATCCAAGCAAGTCACATCAATACCAGCTATTTCAACCTTTTGGTTCAAAGGCAAAACGTGTAATTTATCATATGGAATCCCAATGTTCATATTTACAAGTCTAGCTGTAATGGAGGAGCAGTAGATCTTTCCATGATTGAACGACTTGGTGAGACCCTGATAATCTGCATTCACAAATGAGAACCATCAGCCAAGGCATAATTTGGAAAAGTTTGAACTCTGACTCTGATTGTATCCACTTAGAAGGAGCTGAACACAAGGAACACCACCATTTATTCATTTGGTTGTTTAAACAAAGTCTCCAATAAGTTTTACTGTGATCTGAAACTCCATAATATTTTTCTGATAGGGGAATGAATACTGACACCCCGAAATGTAGATTAAAATCCAAACTTATATATGACAAATTTAACGCTCTTCCATTATATAAGGGAAGTACCAAAACTCCTTTAACACCAAATTGTTCATCACGATGGATATGTTTGATCTCCCAAAGTGAATGTACAATTTCAGAGTAATTGTGTATCCAAATTGTATGACCATAGTCAAACTAAAGAAAACATATCATTACCAAAACAATTTGTTGCAGCCCAAAGTCCTAATGGGCTGAAGGTGCCAATGGTCCATGAAGGGAATAATGCATCAGGATCCTACAGAGTTTATGTGAGGAGGAAGAAGGCTGTGGGCCCTAGGAATCCTATTGAATCTGGTGGGGTGGCAGAGGTAGTTAGAGGAGAGAGGGAATGACAATTGCATAAGATCAAGAGAGGAGTATGAGAGAGGGGATTCGGTTATTTTTTTGCGTTTTGTTGTTTTGGATAGAGAAAACCTTTGTTTTCCGTATTAGGAGCTGATGCGCTGGGCAGTAGAGTTTTACCTCCATCTGTAGTTTCTTTATCAGTCCATTAATACAATATTCTATTGTTTTTCTTCCATCTTGCCTTGCTGTTATTCTATTGTGTTTAGTGGTTCCTAACATGATTGCTCAAACTTAGTAAGCTAATCATTTGTGATGATAAAGATTGAATGTTAACATGCAGAAGCAGACTTACGGTCCAAGTGGAAGTGTGTGAGAAACCAGTGGGAACAATCTCCTCTGAGATATTTGAAAGCATCCTGCATATATTAAATGTATTTGTAAGATACTCCAACTCATCAAAACAAAATAAAGCAAAAATAGTGATAAGATACGAGAAGTTCCTTAGACACTAACATTCATAATAAAACATTTTTTTTTTCTTTTCTGGGATCATTTAGAAAAAAACTTTCATTCTAGCTAAGATATTTCCGGAGGAATGCATAAACGGTATATACACTAGCACAAATCAAATACACGGGTATCCTTTAAACTGCTATTTACCACTCGGAAAGGCGTTCCTGGTACAGCACACCATTTGGGAACATCACGGAGCTTTCTATTTGTAGATATATTTTTTGCTTTGTGCTTACGACCAGAATCCAAGCCACAGCTTTTCATTTGTTGTTGATCTACACGAGTGCTAGAAACTTTGTTCCCATTGGAAGCAAAGCCTGGAAAATATTCAGTAATTAATTTGTTTGCCACAGGTTTACTAGTGCCATCAACTTTTCTTTCGGATTTGTCAAGTTGCAATTTGACCTTCTGGTTCCTGATCTTTCGAGGCTCTGCCACAGCGTAATCGTCTTTCCTGTTTGAGCTTGAAGGGACATCTCCTTTTCTAAGTTCACACAGGGCATGCACAATCTTTTTTCTGGGCCCAAGTGCAGTTATACCCATGCTTAAGAGATCCTGCAGAGACAGAAGGAAAGAAAAGAGTAAAAAATCAGTTTCTTTAACAACAAAGTAAATAGACAGACATTTAATGCTAACATGCAAACGCATCCTTATATTTTTCCAATAACACAATCTCATTAACTACTCTCCTGAAAGTAAGCTGTTAGGTGAAGTTCCATGAACAATTTTATATCTCTAAACGCTTTCAAATTTTCACTCTACGCCAAATTGCAATATAATTGCCTGTCCCAAGTAGTGGGACGGCAGAATATTGATCTTTAACCTGATGTGCGGGAGAAAAACAAAGATAAGTTCCAATTTTTAATTAGAACCTGAAGATAGAACAAATAATGTTTTCAAAGCATCAATGAAGAACAACCAATTTACAAAATCAACAAATTCAAGCAACAAATGTGGCAAGAGTTATGAACCTAAAACCCGATGGAATGAGATCAAGTCATAAACAAACTTCACCTCTTCTGTCAGCCATTGCAAGGTATCCCAATCAACTTCTTCCCTAACGAAAACATCTTCATATTTTCCCAAACCAAGCCCGCCTAGCCAATCAACAACAGTGGACACCTTTGACACAAGTTGAGCTCCCATCTCATTATCAGGAAGCGCAACCTGCACAAGATTGTTACAGTTACAGCATTAGCTTGTAATGATGCAGTTCCCCCGTTTCAATCATCAATCAAGCTAGCTTACGAATACATTTTGAACCCTAGATAAGTTATAACGAATAACTAGAAACTCAGTCAGAAAATTGAATCCACACAAACCACGAAATTTCCAAAACCGAGGAAGTAATGTTTAACAATGTAAATAATCATTGATGAAGGGAAAAAGTGTATCTTACGTCATCTCCTCTGTCAAGACAATTATTGGTATGAAGATGTCGCTGTTCCTCCGTCAAGTTCGAAATATCAACTTCACAAAGGGGACATCGAACGGAACTATCTTCTTGCTCTAACTCATCGCACAAACTCAGCAACAGACCGAGCTCCGAATCAGACTCTGCGCAGGTAACTGCATTTGTTCTCGAAACCACCAACTTAGACTCTATTGAGTTGCGAAGATAATTACCCTTCGTTTTCAGCTCGGACAAAGACTCAGAAGAAGAAGAAACATGATCATCAAATTGGGCGCTTCCAAAACAATCTATGCTGGAAGGAATGAAATCCAAACTACAGTTCTCAATTTCGTAATCGTCGCTGTGAGTAGAGGCATCGGAGGTGGTTTCGCGTACGATATCGACACCGTGAAACAGCGAATTAGGAGGAACGTTCTCCTTCCCAATGCCACCAAACGCGGTTGTTTCGCGTTTCGGTTTCTTCGATGGGCGTTGGTTATTGAAAGGAGCAAAGGCGTGAAAGCTCGTCGTCTGAGTAAGCGCGACCTCAAATTCATCGTTCTCATCCAAACACTTCATCTCTTCTGTGAAACAATTTCAAAAATTTTCGCGTTTTAATGTTCCCTCCTTATAGCGCCCCCGAGCGAAGAACAAAGCGAAGTAAAGCCCATAATTGCAAATCTGGGCCCAGGCCCAATAACACAAAAAACGTTTTCATATACTTTTTTCTTGATATAAAAAACAAAAACAGCTAGCATTTGCTTCACACTATCTTCTCCTCTCTGGTGGGCGTTAACTGTGAGTGAATCTGTGATCTCTACTTAGCGTTGCTTTGGGCTATGGCGGTGGAGGAGAGGTGGTGTTTGGTGACCGGAGGTCGAGGCTTCGCCGCTCGACATTTGGTGGAAATGCTAATTCGTGACAACATGTACTCCGTTCGTATCGCCGATTTGGGAGGCACAATTGATCTGGAACCCGCCGAACAGTTAGGGCTTCTCGGCCAGGCTTTGCACTCCGGGCGGGCCCAATATGTGTCTCTGGATCTTCGCAACAAGGCTCAAGTCTTAAAAGGCAACAATCTTCTCTCTCATTTTTAAATCTCTCTCTTGTTCCCGCTAATATTGGTTTTTTTGACGACGAATGCAGCATTGGAGGGAGTTGAGGTTGTGTTCCATATGGCTGCTCCCAACTCTTCCATTAACAACTATCAGCTTCATTATTCGGTGAATGTCGAAGGTATAACTAAAACTAAACTAAAATTAAAACCTCACTACTTTGCTGCGTATTTTTCTCCTTTTGAGATATTTTCTTTTGTAAGGAACGAAGAATGTCATCGATGCTTGTGTGGAGATGAACGTGAAGCGTCTCGTTTACACTAGTTCTCCCAGCGTTGTCTTCGATGGAATCCACGGAATTCATAACGGGAATGAATCATTGCCGTATCCACCCTCGGTAAACATTTACGCGTGTTTCTTCGTTTCAGCCTTCGTTTTTTTCTCGCTTTGGGTTTGAGAAAGATAGATGTATGACAGTAAGTGGATTGGATCAGGAGTAGTTTTGATGTGTTTCCCAGTCTTGTTCTTAAACCCGTTGGCATTGTCCTTAACTTGAATTCAACTGGTTTCAGCTTAATGATCATTATTCTGCGACGAAAGCTGAGGGTGAGAAATTGGTTATTAAATCGAATGGGACTAATGGGCTCTTAACGTGCTGCATACGCCCCAGCAGCATTTTTGGGCCTGGTGATAGACTGTTGGTGCCTTCATTGGTCGATGCTGCCAGGGCAGGGAAATCCAAGGTAAGTGTTGTTCTTCGTGTTATTGATATGGATTTTAGTGTCTTTATGTGTAGCTTTCTTGTCTGGCATTGCCGTTGTATTTTGGATGTGATTTAGGGACCTAAATATGGCCTATAGAAGGCATACGCAAAGTATCTGTTGCAGGGCTAAAGGAGGCTTCATTTCTATTAGATATGTTTTTCATGTTCTACATCCTGTTCCTTGTGGTTGAGCGTAAGGACATGAGTTAGCCGTTAGCTTCACTGGCTTTTTGGTACTTTTTACTGATGTTATGGGGTAGTACTCCACCACGTGTCATGCTGACTCTTGGATCATTTTGTGCTTACGGTTATATTTTGTTGTGCATATATAGTCTTAACAAATATTTGGTACTTTTTACTGCTTTAATTACAAATTGAACACAGATAACAATGTAATCTTGAATTCTTTTCTGGGGCCCATCTTGATGAATCAGAAACTAGCCACAAATTGAATGAAATTGGACTGTGGGTGATAACAAAAAGACTTTGCTCTATCAAACTGGGAGGGATATGGACAAAAATGGTTGCAAAGCAATGTCCATGTGTAACAACTTATCAGGCATTAGCCGAAACTTTCTTCAACCTTTCTTTGTTTCTCTAATCTATATTTCTCCCTTGACAGTTCGTTATTGGCGATGGCAATAACATTTTTGATTTCACATATGTTGAAAATGTGGCTCATGCTCATATTTGTGCTGAACGAGCTCTAGCTTCAGAGGGATCGGTTTCAGAAAAAGCTGCAGGAGAGGTACCTTTTACAGATTCTGTCATTACTTTCCTAGGATTTTTTGTTTGTTTGCTGTTGTAAATGAATATTAAAAAGGCAGACATACAGAGAAGGCAATGATGATATATTTGAAGTTTCAGACAATGTAGCTTTATTGTTGAAGGGTTGCTGGTTCTTCACACTTCACAGGTTGATACCCTTTAAGATAAAATAATCACAATATGTTGAAGGGTAGAATCTCTTCATTTGGGAAAATGAGGAAACGTGAAAAAAATATCCATTAGTAAAGTTAGGAAACTTAGCATTTAATAAATGAGGAGAAAAGAACCTGATTGATTTGCATGTTAAGTTAGGAAACTTAGCATTTACTGTAGTATTTTCTGGCTAATGGATATTTCTGTTGTAGGCATATTTCATAACAAATATGGAACCTATGAAATTTTGGGAGTTCATGTCACTGATTTTGGAAGGTTTTGGATATGAAAGGTAGTTAACCATTAAATCTTTTTTGCTCTTGTTATGTAACCTTCCATTTTTAATTTGTGGTTCTCCCCTGATGTAATAAAGTCAAGGGTCCAAAACACCCATAAATTTCATGCAACATTAGACAATGTTCTGTGTATTTTATAGATAATTTATATATAAAAAAACTGTTTGAAACGCAGAAAAGGAATATTTATAATCAATGTTGTTAAATAACAGCCATGGTGGTGCCGTGGCAGATGTCGGTGGTGTATTTTGTCCAAACTACCACAATCATGGTGGATTCAGGATGACGGCACCATGATGGAAACCGCAGTTTTCAAGGGAAAAATAAAATTGGCCTCTCACCCGACCCAGTCCAGAGTGACCCGTGAACGCCAAAACCCTAAAATAATGTCTTTTCCTTTTTCTCCCTCTCTCAAGTTGCAACTTACATCTCTCTTCTTCGGTTCAAATGTCTTCTCTTCTTGGTCCTCAATGTCTCTTTTCTCGTTCTCAACATCTCTCAATCTCTTCTCCTTCCTCAACGTTGGCAACCAGCACAACTTTGTCTCTGGCGAATGGCACTGCCACCATCTCTGGTGACTGCTGCAATCACTGCTCTGGCAAGTCTATTTTTCCGGTGAGTGAACTTTTTTGTTTTTTTCTTTCTTATTTCCCTCCTCCATTTCGTTTCTCTTTTTTTTCTCTCTCTTCTCCTTGACTTGGTTCTCAAGCTTCCCTTTTTCTTCTTTTTTCCCTCTCCCATATTCTGTTTCACTCCCCTATTTTTTTCACTTTTCCTTATTATTCTGTTTTCTTCATTCTATTTTTCTGTTTTCACTTCCAAGTTTCCTTCTCCATTTTTATTTTTTTATTCTCTGCTTTCCTGTTATAATTTCATCTCTTTTTCTATGTTTTACAACTATTTTATTCATTTTTTCACAAAACCTTCTTTATTTTTTAAGCAGTTAGTTTTTTTAGTTTTATATCACATTTTTTGGTGTGTGTGTATATATATATATACTTTTTTTACTTTATTTTATTTTATTATGACCACCATGGCATCCGTCATAATTTTATGGCAGTTTTTTAGCTGCCGTGACCCACCATTGATAAACATTTTTTATAATCCAACAGTAGATCTACAGTCAAATCCTAATCATACACTGAAGCTAAAATATAAAAACTTATTTAGAGATAAGGAAAATTTCGTAAATTTAAAAAATTAAAAGTAACAAATGATCTTAGAATATGTTATGTACTCTGCAGCACTGTTGTTGGGTTTATAGTGAAAAGAGACAAACTAGTAGTTTGGAATTGTCAGATTGCAAACAAAAATTCCCATGTGAATATATTCAGGAAAATACTTATACATCCTTTTTCATTTGGATAAAACCAACATAAACATAATTATTATGCTATCAGTGCCACTTCTTTGTTAACTAAGTTATGTAGCTTGCAGGCCAAAAGTGAAGATCCCTACCTTTGTTGCCATGCCAATTGCACATTTGATTGAGTGGATATTTAGGCTGTTAGGCCCTTATGGAATGAAGGTGCCTCAGTTGACCCCTTCAAGAATAAGAATCCTCACTTGCACGAGATCTTTTGATTGCTCAAAAGCAAAGGACCGCCTTGGTTATGCACCCATTGTAACACTACAGGTTCTCTGAAGTTTTAGAAAAGTAATAATATACTATGTGCTCTATCATGGACATTCATGGCTTTGTCTGTGTTGAGATGCTCGATTGTTTATTATTGTAAGAAAGTTTGGTAAAATTGCTAATTTTCATGCATACACCTTGTGATCTACCTCCCTTGTGCTTTCAAAGTTGGGTAATTAAGAGTCCCAAAATCAATGATAATACGGAGTTAAGATTATCTAATACTTTCTGAAATTGAGTGTGAGATGTGATCCTTAAATGAGATGATATTTCAGCACACCAAGGTTCTTACATATATTGCAATGAGTATATACATTAATCCTACATTCTGCATGGGTGTTTCACTTGTAATAGTGAGATTTGTAATTTTTCTTGCAGGAGGGCCTAAGGAGGACGGTTGAATCATACCCACACTTGAGGGCTGAAAATCAACCTAAAATTAAAAGAGAAGGTCCCTCAAAAGCTTCCATGTATCTTGGAAGTGGAAGAGGTGTGAATATTTTTACACATCTAACTTCTTTGTTTGGATAATCTGGAATTGCTGGCTTGTTTACTGTCAATCTGAGTTTGTTGTAAATGATGATTAAACTGTTAATAGCCCTATAATATCAATAGCTACATGGCTGGTACTCCTCCATGACTGTATGTGACTTTGATTGTCTCATGAGTCAGGCTAGATTATGAACAAGAACATATTGATAGACATTTGAAATACATAACATTTATTTTCCAGGTCAAATACATTAGGCAAAACTCCTTATACTTCATTCTCTATATAAAAACATTGCATTTAAAATTTTTATTAAAGCATTTTTGTGGTTGATGTGCTGTGCAAGTTCTAAGAAGCATGAAACAAAGAGTTAACAATTGAACTTGGAAGTTTAGAGTTTGGGGTTGATCTTTCTAACTTACTGTACCAGCACAACAGTGCTGCCAGTTCATCTGGGAATAGTTTTACAGTTTACATTTATTTATACATAGCCTTTGATTGATCTACTAATTTGCAGTTGCTGACACATTACTTTGGAAGGATAAAAAGCAAACTTTCACCGTGTTGTTAGTCTTGATTGCAATATACTTCAACTTCATTGCATCTAAGGATACCATCATTACTGCTCTTACAAAGCTTCTATTGTTCACATCAATCTTTTTATTCATTCATGGCCTTCTACCTGCAAAAGTGTAAGTACACTATCTACTGCTGTATACTGCAACTGTTAATTAACATTGTATGGTACGGTTAACTTGTCCAATGATATATTATTAATAAAATTAACTATAAAGATAATCTAGCTGTTTGAAGCTTGAAGTTTCTAATGTGAAAACAAATGCCAACTATTGCTGTACTTTTTATGCTTGTGCAGATTGGGGTATACTGTTGAGAAAATGCCCAAATCATGGTTTCACTTATCAGAAGATATGTCACATCAAATTGCTCTCTCAGTGGCCTCATCATGGAATTTTGTTGTGAATGTTTTAAAATCCGTTGCAGAAGGGAATAATTGGGAGCTGTTCTTTAAGGTATCTGCACTGCATTGCTTATATTTCCTTAGCATTGACTGCTGCAGTGATTCCTATGGAATAGCTCAGAAGCATATATTGATTTGGTTAAACAAAAATTTCATCTTATCCCTATACCTGACACCATTTTTTGTTTTTGTCTCCACATGAAAAAAAAAAATGCTATTTTGGCTCTTGCACGGAAAAATGTTTTGGAAATGGTCCTTGCCTTTTGCCAACGTTATAACTGACAGTGTTTGGTTTGCTCCTGATCCTTGCCAATGTTTTTCATTTTAGTCTCTACACGAAGAAAAATTCATTTTGGTCTCTATGTGGGAAAAAGAAAAAAAAGGTTCTACATTGTAGTCCGTATACCTAGCATACCTTTTTAATTTTAGTGACTACATGAAAAACTCTTTAACACCATTATAATTTCAGCAAAAGCAATGGGGACCAATTTGTAAACATTTTTTCATACAACGACCATAGTCTAAGGTTTTTTTCATGTGGGGCCTTGAGCAAAAACATGTAATATGGAGAGACCAAATTTTTAATTGAACATTGTTGATTTTTACCTATGAATTGTAAAATCCTATAGGACATTGCCAAAAAATTGTGAAGCCTGTAATTTTGGAACGTTCGTTTTAAAATTTCTATATTAAAAGTTTACGGGCTACATAACAATTGACTGAATATAAACTTTGTTAAGTATCATAGGTGCTGACACACTTTCCCTTGCTGCTCAATAGGTTGTTTTCTCTCTGTTCATTCTTAGCTTCCTTGGAGCCTTTTCGCTTCAGAACTTGTATACTATAGGTTCTCTCTCTCTCTCTCTCTCTCTCTCTCTCTTATTTGTGCACATGCATATGCTAACATGAATTTGTCTGCACAGATAACATACTGGGTATGTCTGCCCCTGTTTAATTGAATATATATTTTTGCCACCAATAAAGTTATGATTATGACAGTGGGTCAATATTATATTACTTGAATTCACATTAGAGTTGTGACATTCTTCACTGCCTGCTATTATCATATCATGTGTTTTGTTTGAATCCACGGTGCCTGGATGAGAATGATAATTTTTCTGGGTGAGGAATGATAATTGTTTGTTTCTTGCCGTGGTTACAGGACTTACCCTTGCGTTTATAGCTTTCTACGTTTATGAAAGGAAGGAGGAAGACATTGATGGCATATTTATTAAAACTAGTTCTTTTGGATGCAAATTGAAATCCGATTTCACCAGTAAGTTTCTTGCTTCCAAGATTGATTGATAGCTATTGTAGCACTAGTTTTTTTTTAGATAAGTTGAGCGGTTGCACCTTAATTATTCGTTGGAATTTCATGTATTATTGTACAATAATTGTAACTTAATTTGATTTGATATAGTCAACTTACAAAATTTTGTTTCATTGTTGAAAATTCTGAACTTGCTTCGACTAGTTGTTCTCGTCAACGACATTAACTGTTGTAAATTCATAATTACGAGAGTATCCAGGCCCGGAACACATTACATGAATTTATGTTGTGTGCTTGGCTATGTAGCTCAGAACAAATTAGCGATAGTGAGTCCTTTGCATTACCTCATCTACTTGCTTTCCTTACTGATCTTCATTACCGATTACGAGTTTCCGTTTATTTATTTATTTATTTTTGTCTGTGATCACTGATATTCAAAATGTGCATTTGACAAATTTAAGTATTCAACCCCCCCCCTCCCCCACCCAAAATAAATAAATTTAAGTATTCTTTGGCTTATTGTTACTGGGTAATTGATTAAATGATTAATTTGGCTCTGAAAGATTAGCTCATTTTGCCAGGCGAGATATCCTATCGGTCAATAAGAAAGGACATGGATTTTAAAAAAAGGTTTTACTGGTCAGTGATTTAAGAATAACTGATGAATTAAAAAAATTTATTAAACATTGTATTGATATATAATAAGAATTATAATGAGAGGTATATTAATAATATTTTTAAATTTTTAATTTCTAACTTATGTTAATATTGCTCTCACTAGCATTTGTATTTAACAAATTCAGTGTTATAATGTTTGCATGTAATCAATGATCAGTAGCTGTTTTTCTTTTTTCTTTTATTTTAAGTTAAATCTTTGGTGAATAAACAAATTGGTTAACACAGATACTTCGTGGGGGCTGAAAAGGACGCAACAGATTGGGCAGCCACGAATGAATAAAACCACCTTGTAATACTCCTTGTACAACAACAATCCAGAACTTTTTGTGGTAGGATTTAGCTAATCTTGAATAACATATACTATTTAGCGATTTTTAAAAGTTTGTAATTGAGCTTGTATAATTTCAAAGGTTTAATGAGTTGTTTGAATTTACATGATTACATGCATTATTTTATCACGCACTGTGGATCGATTTGTTTAATCCGCAAGTTGAATTAAAATTAACAAAATTATAGGCCCATTTAAACAAGTCAGTTGATTCACAAACTAAATGAACCAAACGAGTTGAGTCACTAGAGATAAATATCATTAATGGTTCACGTAGCAGTAAAGAGGAAACTAAATCATTTAAATAACATTAAGAAGGGAATTAAAACATAATATTGTGCATTGAACCATTTACATAAAAAAATATTAATAATAGTTTTGTAAATTTATTTGTAAACGAATACTCACGGGTATTTCACTACTCGACCCGCCTAATTTAATTAATAAATATTAAAAATATCTGCTTATTTATGCATATGCATGCATAAATATATGCACATGTGAAAAAAATAAAAAACTCATACATGTATATAAAGTCGAGATCAAACAATATATCAAACTTAGTGAAATGATATTTCAAATATCTATTATAAAAAATAATACTTATCTATCAAAACGTTGTTAACTTTTGCAATTTATAAAAATTATTGGTCAGAATAATTATTAAAGTAAATTTATAAAATTGACAATTTAGTTGATTTTTCTCAATAAAAATTTAAAAAAATTAATATATATTTTATTTATATTGTTTATGACATTTTTTAACAATCAATTCCAAATTTTAACAGCTAGACTTTTTGTTCGTGCTCTACTAGAATTATAGTTTAATCAATTTTAAAATAATTTATTTGATATATATTTATATAGATAGTTTTTCTTACATCACTATTTAATCATATGTTTTTGTATTAGAAAATTTATTAACTTTTATAATAATCAATTTTAAAAAATGTTAATAAATTGATCTCTTTTAACTCATGATTTTATTTTGATTTATTATTCTACCCTTCTATTTTTATTTTTATTTTTTTGTTTTTTAACTTATTTAAATAAGTAATATTTTATCCAAAACATTAACTCTATTATAAATTATTTTTTTTCTTCATCAATTTCAGAAAAATATAATATATTATAACAAGACAACTATAATATCATTGAATGAAAATGAATTACTGGAGCTTAAATAAAACATAAGAAAGAGAAAGAGAGAGAAAGAGAGTGATTATGTAGATGAGAAATAAAAAAAAATTAAAAAAAGAAAAAACAAACAATTAAAAATTTCACCAAAAAATACATTATTTTTTGTCAATGTTCAAAAGAAATAAATAAACAAGTTAAGATTTTTTATAAAAATAATTTATTTAAAACATGATCGTATGTTAAAAAAAATAATAAATTATAAAATAAACTAATATAAAATTAAAAGTTAAATGACAAATTTATTAATCATATCATTTAAAATAAATATATACTACATATTTCAATTAATCAAGAGTGTAAAATATTTATATCAACTATATATTGAAATTAAAGTAATTTTAATATTGAATATTCTTTTTTATTTAATTTTTACTATTTTATTTAATATAAAAAAGCATCCTTTTTTGAAATTAAAGTTTATTTTCATATTATACTATGAAGTGTATTTATTTAAAATATTATATGTTTATAAGAATTTTAATATCTATTCTATTAAATAAAATATAAATGTATTAACAATTAAACATATAAATTAAATTAATTAATTTAATTAGTTTTATTAAAATATGTAAGAATTAATTTATGTTTAAATAATAAATATATATTATGTTAATTAAAATTATACATATATATACAGTTAAGAAGCAAACATAAAATCAATAAATATTTTAAACAATAAGAAATAGGGAAAAACAAACCCCACAAACTTTGGTATAAAATAAAGTGAAGAGGGTTTTAGTAATCATGTAAGGGGGAAACCCAGTAGAATAGATCATATTATACATTGCGCCACACGGGTTTGGGTATCAAACTGGAGAACCCTACAAATCCAACTCTCACACTCGCTCTCCCTCTGCCTCCATAGCTTCGCGATAACGCTCTCACAGCTACAGTCATGGCTGATGTCATGGTCATGAAAGAGATCGAAGACACCGCGTTGCGTCTCGGCATCGATCTTTCCACTCTCGACCTCGACGCCATTCGTCTTCCCCCAGGCGAAAATTGCGGCATCATCAGGTATATATGCATATACACTTATCATTATCTTTATCTCTTTAATTATGCTGGTTTGTCCCACAGTAATGAAACCCTAGGTGTCTATGTTCTGATTCCGTTTGGGTTTTTCGACGTTTAGCGATGATGAGGATATTTATGAAGAGGATAACCTCGAGTTTGAGTCTGGATTCGGCAACATCATAGTCGTGGATAATCTCCCTGTTGTTCCGAGGGAGAAGTTTGAGAAGCTTGAAGGCGTGGTTCGCAAAATTTATAGTCAGATTGGTGTTATCAAAGACGATGGTCTCTGGATGCCTGTTGATACTGAAACTGATAAGACCTTAGGTTACTGCTTCATCGAGTACAATACTCCTCAGGTATAATTGTTCTTTCTTTACTGTGCTTGGCTACAATGAGTTCTAAAAGAGAATGGAAAGCTTTGTTGATCTGAACCGTGTGTTGTTTGTGACTTTAGTGACAATTAAAATAATAATGATAATAGCGTATGTTGGGTTGAAACTTGTTCTTTGATTTGATGTGGTTAAATTTAGGAAGCTGAGCTTGCTAAAGAGAAGACTCATGGGTACAAATTGGACCGTGCGCACATATTTTCCGTGAGCATGTTCGATGACTTTGACAGGTTTATGAAAGTTCCAGATGAGTGGGCTCCTCCTGAATCTAAGCCATATGTGGCTGGGGTAATGTTTATATATATGCACTCTATTTTCTATCTTTTAGCTTTTATTATAGACAATTAGGCTTAGATTTGTATATATGCACACTATTTGCTGCCTTTTAGCTTTTATCATAGACAATTAGGCTGATATTTGTATATATTTTTGCAACGGGAAGTATGCTTAGTTTAGTCGCAGTCCAGAATTCTAGCTATTTGATTCTATAATCATATTAGGATTATATGGGGTGTTTTGGTAGTTTTACATCCAAAATATTTTTTGCAATACAAAGCTGCTGACTCACTTTTATTTTGGTTCTCCTCATATTTTGATGTTGTGTTAGTACTTAGATTCATGCAATTACATGTTTTCTCATGGACCTCACTTCTATGTGGAATTGTGAATATAATAACATCTTAAAAAATTATCTGAGTTAGTAGCTTTTGCTCTGGGCCTTTTGTACTTTTTAATATCTCTGATCCTCCTTGGCTTTATATATCTTGCAGGAAAATCTTCAACACTGGCTCACAGATTCAAAGGCCAGAGACCAGTTTGTGATTCGTGCTGGTTCAGATACTGAAGTGTTGTGGAATGATGCAAGACACTTAAAGCCTGATCCTGTTTATAAGCGTGCAGTGAGTGGACACATTATTTCAATATCTTGTGTCATTAATTACTGCTGTCCCATTATCACTTTATGTATGCCTTTCATGATTCTGTATTTATGATGCTGACCTGGGTATTCGTGTTTTTTCTGAATTACAGTTTTGGACAGAGAGTTTTGTGCAATGGTCCCCTCTGGGGACATACTTGGCAACGGTTCACAGGCAGGGGGCAGCTGTCTGGGGTGGTGCTACGACCTTCAACCGTCTCATGCGTTATGCTCATCCTCAGGTTTCTCTGAGATTCATTTTGTATTGTTGTTTGGCACTTTGATTTTGACTCTTGTATTTCTATATGAATGATGTTTATATTAATTTGAAATGAAGGTGAAACTTATTGATTTTTCACCTGGTGAGAAGTATCTGGTAACTTATAGCAGCCATGAACCAAGCAATCCTAGAGATGCCAATGTGAGTGATTTCATTGTTTTTTTTTAAAGTATTTTTAAACACTGTTCCTAACACTGATTTCTTTTTGTAGAGGGTTGTGATAAATATATTTGATGTGAGGACTGGTAAAGTTATGAGGGATTTTAAAGGAAGTGCTGATGACTTTGCAATTGGAGGTGCTGGTGGTGTTACTGGGGTGTCATGGCCTGTTTTCAAGTACAATTTCTTTCCCCTTATTTTCATATCTTGCTTGTAAACAAGTATTTTAGCATTTTTCGTGGTCTAATGATGTAATGCATTCTTGTCATTATCTTTGCAGATGGAGTGGCGGAAAGGATGATAAATATTTCGCAAGGATGGGGAAAAATATACTCTCTGTGTATGAGACAGAGAGCTTTTCTCTTGTTGACAAAAAGTCCTTGAAGGTTGAAAATATAATGGATTTCAGCTGGTCTCCAACTGATCCAATTATTGCTCTCTTTGTTCCTGAGATGGGAGGTGGTAACCAGCCTGCTAGGGTAACTTTATGATTTCTTTCCTTCTATGTTCAGGGATTAAAGTTTTGATATACTTGGTTATCTTGATGATCGTATATTATTTATTATTTTAAATTTATGTTCTTTGATATATTTACAGGTAAGTCTGGTTCAAATCCCTAACAAAGAGGAACTCAGGCAGAAGAACCTTTTCAGTGTCAGTGACTGCAAGATGTACTGGCAAAGCAATGGAGATTACCTTGCTGTTAATGTAGACCGATATACTAAAACTAAAAAAAGCACATACACAGGCTTTGAGCTTTTCCGTATAAAAGAACGCGATATACCCATTGAAGTTCTGGAGCTTGAGAATAAGAATGATAAGATCATTGCATTTGCTTGGGAGCCTAAAGGCCACAGGTTTGTTGTTATTCATGGTGATAACCCTAAGCCTGATGTTAGCATTTTCTCCATGCGGACTGCTCAGAACACTGGCCGGGTTTCAAAACTCGCTACTTTGAAAGGCAAGCAGGCAAATGCTCTGTTCTGGTCACCTGCTGGTCGCTACATTGTACTGGCTGGATTGAAAGGCTTCAATGGACAGTTGGAATTTTATAATGTCGATGAACTTGAAACAATGGCTACTGCTGAACATTTTATGGCCACAGATATTGAATGGGATCCAACTGGAAGGTATAGGGTCTATCCAAATAAGTGATGACTTTGCTAGTAAAGGCAGAGTTTCATAGATTAATCATGTGTTAGTTGATCTACAATTCGATTCCCCATAGTGATAAGTGTTTTTGTTACTTTACTGAAAAAATACTTAATATTTGCCTGTTAGTTTAGTTATCACAAACCTCTATTGCTTCCATTTTATACTGCAGGTATGTTGCAACTTCCGTAACCTCAGTTCATGAAATGGAAAATGGTTTCAATATATGGTCTTTTAATGGCAAGCATCTGTATCGGATATTGAAGGATCACTTCTTTCAGGTACTTAATCATTTGCACCTGATGCATCTTTTGGCCTTTATATGATTTGTGAATTTGCAATGTTCAGATGGTGATAGGTTTGGACAATGTAATGCTTCATTATTGATTCAATGTTTTGGTAATATAATTTGAGTAATAGAAGTATTGGCATATGACTGAAGTTGTTTCTATATAGATAGCCCTTGTTGCCAATATTCATGGCTGGCTATGAAAGACGTTTTGATTAAGGCTGCGCTAGAACTCTCTGAATATAAAATAAATCACACACACTTATATTCTTGTTTTTTTCCTTTCAACGTATAGTTCTTATGGCGACCAAGGCCTCCATCTTTCTTGACTCTCGAGAAAGAGGAAGAGATTGCCAAGAACTTGAAGAAGTATAGCAAGAAATATGAGGCAGAAGATCAAGATGTTTCATTGCTGCTGAGTGAGCAAGAGCGTGAGAAGCGTAGGATGCTGAAAGAAGAGTGGGACAAGTGGGTCAATGAATGGAAGCGGATGCACGAAGAGGAGGGTTTACATAGGCAAAAGCTTAGGGACGGAGAGGCTAGTGACGAAGAAGAGGAATACGAAGCAAAGGACATAGAAGTTGAAGAAGTGATCGATGTATCAGAAGAGGTTCTTCACTTTGAGTATGGTCAAGAGTGATTTATAATTTATAGCTGGACTTAGGATTCAAGCATTTCATTCACTTGTGGAGGTTTAGTTTGGACAACCTACTTGAATTTCATCTTTGCAAAACCCAATTTTGTAGTTCTTTTTTATTTTCTAGTGGAAGGAATTGCTTTCTCTGTTAAATTTAACACGAAAGACAATTTTGCTACCCCCTTAAGGCAAAAGTCATCATCCCTCCCGGGTTCTGCACTGACAAAATGCGTGAAGAAATTTGTCAAGTTACATTTTTATTGTTTTATTACATATTATACGTTATGGATAATCCGTTGCTAATATATTTAGCAGCCTTAAAAGTTGTATTTCCTAGGCATGTAGCAAGTCAAAATTCTTGGAGAAAATGTAATTTCTTTAGTGCTGAATGCGTGAATTTACGTGAAATTAAAACTAAATAATACATTTTTAATTTGTTAATTTAGTATAAGTAATTTTTAATTCGATTCATGTTTATTATAATGGTAATATGGTATAAAAAAAGTGTTCTTTTATTTATTTTTACATGACATACATAAAAATCTGGATATGTTTTAAAAGCAATTTACTATTAGCAGAATGTGAACTTGAATACACATTGTTTTGATTATTGGTTCATGTAATTTAAATTAGCAATTTGAACTAAACCGTTCACAAGCTTGAAATGAACTAAGTCGGAGCTAAAAACGATGGTGTATTTTGAATCAGTTCTTAGAATCACAGATCAATTCAACTTGATTCATTTCTACCTCTACTTTCAAGATTTAGTCAAGCATTAGGAAAGCAAGTTACTTATCTCAAAATATTCTTAATACTGTTTTTTCTTTCTTTCTTAAAGGTGAACAAAAAGGGGGAAATATATCCTGTAATCATGGTATGTAATTTGTAAACAGTTATCATTGGTGACTAATAACAATAATTTTATAATTATATAAATTTTTAGCATACACCCTTAAGCTAAATGTCAAAATGTAATTTTAGAGTAAAGAAAAGAAAAAAACAAATGTGTATTTTAAAATTAAATTTTAATCAGAAAAATAATACATTAAATTTATTATTTTATTTTTTATTTTAAAAAACCATAAAACTAAAGAACGTTTATTAAAAATAAAAAATTTGTCTTTTCTTTTAAAATTTAACTTGCAAACATACAGGTTCGTGAAATTATACTGATTTATTTATTTATAGCTTCGTAAGCTCCATTACCTCTCGAAAGAAATGGATCACTTGTCCTTTTTTAATTTGTTTTTTCTACAGCTTTTTGTGTCCAGCTTCTGTTTTGAAGACTCCAGACACTTGTATATTATAGGCCTGCAAGTTGCAGAGTCTCTAATCAAAGCCAACTAGAGTCAAAATATGGAAATGTACATACTGCAACGTGGGAATAGTGCATTTTGGATAAATAACCACTAAAAGCCTAAGACAAACACAATGTTATAGAACCTATATTTTGATTTCATTGACAGCATTCTTAACCATTATTCTCCAAAGTGTGTCTCTATCTTCACTGGAGATTAACGTCTTCATTGTTATTCTTCCTTCCTTTTGCAGCCTAGGCATTTTTATCCCTCCATTATTAGGCCACTAGCTTGCTTTGGCAATATTACATATTTTGTGTGATGGCTTATGCTTTGTAGGCTTGAGAATTGGGTAAAACAAGTCTACGGAATCTTTGCCAATACTGTATCGTAGAAAATCCAATGCCACCTCCAAAAAGCATGCGTTGAATCACAATCAACTCACCTTTTTGTTCTCTTTATATATAACATATTCTGCAATGTAAATAACCTTCTTTTTTTTTTTTTCTAATTACCATATTAAAATAGAAAAACGTGGTTTTTTAAAATATTTTTTAAACAATATTTAAGTCATTATTATTATTATTATCTTATTACCACATCCAAGCACGGATTATTTTCTCCCACAAAAAAAGAGAGTCAACTATATGATTGCTTCTTTTTTGTGTGTACACATTATCCTCACCTAGTTACCTGTAAATTAATAAATAATCTTTTTAAAGTGAGTGAAATGACACATACTGAACATATACTTTTAAGAAATAAATATTTTTATTTTAAATAAAAAACTATATCTTTAACCTTTTAACATATATAATAGGACACATTTAAATAACCGATTATGAAAACCATTGATGCGCATGTCGATATAGTTTTTGGTCTATTGGCATGTATACTGCAAAGGGATAAGAGGTTGGGTTTTGGAAAGGGACTTGTATCCGCGGGAAGAAGAGGAGGATGAAGTAAAGTCACAAGTTCACAACTCACGAGTGAATGGCCAACTGCAAAAGAGCTTTTCTTGGATTACCATCTGTCACAACTCTTGAGGGTGGTCCTATAATATTTACCCCTCTATGCATTGGAGACTGCCTTCAATTACGTGACAAAGACCCATCTGTGTGCAAAAAGGATTTTGGGCATAACCATTGTGATGATACATATACTCAACCATTTGGCTATATATTTTGGATGTCATTTTTGTGGTAAGAATATTGAAAGAAAAGTACACAAGTGCATATCGTTGATTCGTTTATGTATGTTAAATTATGTAAAGTTGACCATTCATTTTAGGCAAACTGGTTAACCAATTTACTAGTTCCATGACAAGTATAGATCTTCTGGGTGGGAGAGAAAATAATGATATTTATCATTTATTTTATTTTTAAAGTTTTAAATAATTAATAAAATAGAAAAAGAACCATTAAATAGTGAATTAATGAATGAAGGTAGAAATTTTAAATGCAAATAATCCGAATCTGTTACATGGCATAGGTTGAATATAGGTGTAAATCCCATCAACTGGCTTCCCAATCCCAAGTTTCATTGGATAACCAAGATGAAAAAAATATTTAATATTGTGTGTGTAAGATTAAGAAATTATTAAGCCTAAGAGTTTAAAACCTTTGAACTAATATATGAGCCATATCTGATGTATGAGAATTAAAGTATAGTTTAAATTATTTCTAAAACGTAGCTCATTTTTCCACTAAGTAAACTATATTAATATTGAAAAAGGACATCTATCAACCTTTGCTTTTATATCATTATTATGTTATAGTGATGTTCATAGGAGACTAACTAATGTCACATAGTTTTAGAGAAAGACATAACCATTGTTATGCATCATTTTATAGCAAAATTTGTTTTACTTTAATTACTATATACATATATACACACAGTTACTTCAAAAAATAGTAACATCTTTGACGTAAGAATACAAGAGAAGGAGTTGATCCGTTCAAGATTCTTGTTTTTCTATTTTTTAAGAAGATCAAGTTGAATTCTTCTACCCTCAAGACATGTTCATCTTCTTCATAAAAAACCTACTTTACTAGATTAAAAAATATGTATTTTGAATAAAATTATGTATTATTTCTCAAATCCATAATTAATCTTATTTGAAATAAGAGTAGTTGATAATTAAATTAATTTTTTTAATGATTTTATCTCCATAATTAAGATTGTAAACCTACGATCTTTATAAAAATAAAGAGGAAAATGGTTATATTGAATTCGTGACTTAATTCAATCCACCCATCAGTACCATCCACGATAAATTACACCATCATTTGTTATTCTTAGACACTGTTCTTCATGTATAAATAGAATAAACATAATTTTTGGCCATTTTTAGTCTTCTGTTTAATTTGTTTCACCATCTTTTATATTTGTTTTTCTTTAATTTCAATTAACTTATTTCATGTAAATAACATTTTAAATAAATTATAACTACTCCACCGCTCAATATTCATCATGGCTTCTTTGAATATTTCACAGAATTTCCTGAATGTGCTGTCAATTCAGTAATCAATGTCTTGAAAGGACTGCAAGAAATTCAAGCAGCAATAATGCTTCTAAACTTTAGGCTTATGATTATAATTGCAGGCAAAATAAAATTATCATCGTAAAATATATATATATATATATATATATATATATATATATATATCAGTTTTCCACTTTTCCTTCTTTCGTTTATTCACGAGAAAATTTGCATTCTTTTACGCAAAACATTTAGGGGTGTCATTGTTTTAAAGCTAACACGAATAAATTATACAATATTAAAATTTATCGTTTAAAATATACTAATAACTATTGAATTGATTCAATTTAGTAATACCAAATTAGTCAATTTTGATTAATATTTTTTATGTATTTAATCGTGGATATCTTAAGTTATAACTTAGTTTTAAATAAGAAATAACTTCACAAAATTTACAATTATTCGAGTTTCTAAAACATTGATTTAAGTTCGATTTTATACCGCCACCGAACTTATGCAAGATAACTTGATTTACAATCTATTCTAATACTACTTTTAATTAGTCCATTAAATATTTTTAAAAATTAACATTCATCTCATTCAACACTTGAAAAGTCAAAACATCACTCATCTATTCTACAAAATTAAAATAATCAGTCTAATACATCTTATCAAGCATGATCCTATATTGATACCTTGCTAGCTTATGTTTATGTGAAGTGATCCGATCCAAATGTACTTCCGATGTAAGCTTAATTAGGCTAAGATTTTTTTAGAAAAACATGTTTACGTTTTATGACCCAAATCTTCATTTGAACAAATATGAATTGACCTTAAATTAAACTCACATTATATTCAAAAAAACAAGTCAATTTCGTTGGAAGTAAAAATTGACCTAACTTGTTTTTAATGTAAACTTAACAATGCTTTTAAAAATTAAGGAGAAAAAATTTCAAGTTGAATACATTAAAATCAATGAACTAATGAAGTTCCAATAAATTACAATATAATTTACTTATCGAAATATGCTTGCGGTGCGTAGTTCATTAAAATCGATTGGACCAGTTTTTTTTTTTTGTATTTTAACTTTTTTTTCCTTTTTATTAAAAGTATTATCTAATCAAATAAAAAAGTAAGACGTTAAGTTACAAAAGACTTACATTTGCAATTCATTTATGAAATGCCATAGTTTAATACTATTATTGCTTTATTCTTTCACTTTATTTTATTATTACTTTAAAATGTTTAAATTAAAATTTTGTATTTTATGTTAATTCACCGCTTGATATAATATTTAACATTAAAAACATATATTTATTCATCATCAAATCAATCATAATAAAAAACTAAAAATACAAACTATTGTCTTAAGACAATGGTTTAAACATAATTTCACTATGTCAGCTACTCAGAATTAATATTATATATCATTATTTCCATGCCTCCTTACATTTGACCTTTTTTATATCAAATTTGTTAGGATTGAATTTAAAAACATAAAATTAATATTTTTTATTAAAAATTATTATAATTTTATATCTTTAATATATGAAATATTTTATTCTTTAATAAAAAATGATTACTTTTAAACTCAATTTAAAGACTAGGATAAACAAAAACATGCACTTGTACACTGATCAGAAAAACACAATACAAAACATGAAATAGACACATAAAATAAAATCATCAACTTGCAAAGGTAGAAACAGTATTTTGAATCTAAGAATGAGTGTAGATTTCTAACTGTGGTTGGGAGGAGTTGGGGCCCGTAAGAGTAAACAAAAGAGGGGATGCCATATGTAGAAACAAAGTCCTAATCTCACAGTACAAAGTATATAATAACAGCCTCTATGAGTCCATGACATTCAATTTCAAATGAACCAAACCAATCTCTCACTGAAACTCTTTGCTCACATGTGTACACAACACACCACTCTCTCACAACCATGATCCCACCCGACACGCCCCTGGTTCCATCTTCAACCATCACACTTCACTCACTCTAACCTTTGCGCTCACTTTAAGAAACGGGAATCCTTCAAACTTTTTTCAAAACAAAACCTCTCTCTCTCTCTATCGTTACTCACTTTGACCCGCTTTTAGTGTAAAACCCCACATTCTCTCTCTCTCATCCCACTACTTCCTCAGACATCACATGCAATTGCTACTTACAAAAGCAGGGATTTTTTTTAAAAGAGGACTAGAATAACTAGAAGTGTAATACAAGCACTCGTTCTTTCACTCACGCAGAAAAAGAAGATTGAAAACGCTGACTGTGACTCATCGTCAGAACACCACGTTCAAAAAAATTCCCTTTTCCCATTGTCCTGTTTCTGCACACTGCAAAACAAAAACTCTTCTTAAAAATCCTTTCTTTGTCTCCAACTCAATTACCCCTTTACTCAACACTCCGTTTTTTCCCTCAGAAACTTTCCAACCTGTCGAAATTTTCAATTTTGGATTTGTTTCATCACTTCACGTGATTTGAGTTTGCTCTATGCTATACAAGTTCACTTCTTCCCTGACCCTGCACCTTTTTTTTTCTTTTTAATCCATTTGTTTGTTGTTTCTATTGTCCTTGAAATACCAGAAACCCGTTTCGTCAATGGGGAAATTTTGAAGTTTTATATGTGCCTTGTGGATTTTCAATTGATGGGTGATGAATAGAGTATAAGATTATAGATATTTTTGTTTTGAACGTTGTTGACCATTTTAGTGGCTGTGATGGGTGGTGATGGTAGAGTTGAAATTGTGAGTGGTAAGGGGTGCTCGAGGCTGTTTTCATCTTCGTTTCCTTCATTCAGAGGTATGCAACCGTTGGAGCCAATGTCTCCTGTTTCTTCCTCTGTACAAGTGCCTTCAAGTGCTCCTTTTGCAGGTCTTATTATATGTGTTACTGGTTTATCTAAAGGTATGGATTCATGTTTTCAATGTTTCATCTTTGCTTAGTTGAATTTTGTTTCATTTTTCTCGAGTAGACACTTTCTCTGCTCCTTTCTGTTTAGGTTGATCAATATCACTTCAAGCCACTTGTTAAATTCTCCATGTTTTCATAGCATTTTTTTTTTCCTTTTTTTTTTTTTTTTTTGGAAAGATTGAAACTTATTCTTTCGGTAACACCTTTTTCGATATTCGTGATAGAGAGGGTATTGGTGATTGTCTCTCTTGGCAATCAATATAAGATGTCAAATGACACATATTGGACTTTTGAATTCAGTCTACTTCTCTTTGCCATTTCTTTTGAATTATCTATGACGTTGATAGCATTTAGTACATTTTTTTAAAATCTATCTTCCTCTGTTGTCTTCTCTTTTGCCTTTTCTTCTTGGCTTAAAATATCTGTTCATATTGGAGGTTGAAACTTGAAAAGGTTAAGTTTTAGTTATCTATCAAACTGATAGTAGATATTTTCTTTCAATTCATTGTTTCTCTTCTCACTCTCTTTCGCTCTGATTAAAGAGGTATTCATACGGTTTTGTTGTTATTCTTTGAATTGGTGATTTGGCAGAAGCAAGGAATCAGGTCATGGAGGCTACTGAGCGATTAGGAGGCCAGTATAGCCCCAATTTGCACCCTCAATGTACCCATTTGGTGGTTCAGATATCCTTTCTTCCTTCTTATATTATATGAACTTTCCTATACTATGACAGGAATACCATGACACTGTAGTAGAAGGTAGGGAAAATTCTCATACACTTTATGAGAAAGAAATTATGTAAAACCAGGAATATCTTAACTTTATGAGAACAAAGTTTAGTACCATATCAGTTCTTCTACTTTGAAATTTTTATTTATACAGTGTTCAGAATGATCTTATTATATTCTACTTATAGTGGATCACTCACGATCCTAATGGTCCTTTCATTCATTTTCCCTAGCATTGATATTCATCTAGTACATTTTGTGTTAATTGGTTCAATGCCATCATGAAGTCTTTAACATTTAGTACAGCTTTGGTGGACGCAAATTTGATCATGCACTGAAGCACGGAGCAAAAATTGGTCTCTCTGTTGTCACACTGGGTTGGTTTGTGGACAGTGTCAGGAAAAATGGTAATTGAGTTCATGTGGTTTTTTATTGAGTTATTTTTTGGTTAGTTTTCTTGGTGATTGTAATTTTACCCTCATGCTATAAAGCCATGAAATACAGGAGCCTGACTCAACATTCATGTTTTCCCCGTTTTCACCTCATGTTGAAGCAAGGATTTGTTAATGAAGGCCTCTAGTGCTCAAAGTATTAGTCTAATTGTATTTAACATGCCAAATATTCTTGTTTTGATGACAGTTAGTAGGTGCAGTTTGAGGCAATTTTCTATCTAGATACTGCTGCTCATTTAGTGGATGAGTGGTTCAGCTTAAATAGATACAATGACCTTTTCATTTTATTTTATTTTTTAAATTAAATAATCTCAGATTTGGCAATGATAAATTGCTAATCTGCATAACCAACCCGTTGATCAGGAATGAATGTTCAGAAATAAATGCTTTGATGTAGCCATAGCCTCTTGTTTCACTTGATTGACATATCATAAATAAGCCAATGAGGTTCATTCACTAGTGGTCTCTAAGATCATATGTATTTTAAGATTTTGTGGGTAATTTATCGTTCATCATCTTTGGTTCGCTATGAATTGGTTTTTAATAGTTAGATAGCGTAATTTAACTGTTGTAGCCAGAATGATTTATGGATTTAAATTATGCATATTGATATTTGTCATTGTTATGACCTGAATGCATTTTCTTTTATCTGCTGCAGTGAGGTTGAGTGAATCGCATTATAGTGTGAAGAGTTATGGGGATAATAATATGCGCTTTGATGATTTGAAACTGCTTCCTGGGTATACAGATGCTGATAATTATTGTCTTCCTTTGAGAATCCATGAAACCAAGCATGCTAACAGTGTTGAAGAATTTCAAAGATTCTCTGGGAGAGAATCCAACCAAAGTTTGGACTCAACTTTGTCTGGTTGCTCCATCTACGTTGATCCAGGAATTTCATCTGAATTGAGGAACAAGGTAAAGTTGTGTTCTGACTATAAATGTCTAGATATTAGACATTTCAAGTCTTACACATGATATGGAGTCTGTGATAGGATCATTCATCAGTATCAGTTTCCTGTTTCATTTAAGCCAGTGTATGATTCAAGTGCTCTTGGTAAACAAATTTAGATGCTTAACATGTTTGATAGGTTGTTGAGACTGCCTCAAGAGAAGGTGCTAGTTTGGTGGAACAATGGTTTGTTGGCTGCAATGTTAGTCATATAGTGACTGAAGGGACATCCATCCAAAGATATCTTGGATACTCTAGTAACCTTGTTACAGTAAGTGCTCATACAATGTATTTTAATGTTTATCTAGATCTTGAGAAAGACCTGTTGGAGGCACACAACTTTCTGAAGCTCAGATTGTTTGCTTGTCCAACTATTTTGTTTTTTAACTGGACCGGTACATCTTCTAGAATACATTAATACATTATTAATTATCATACAATAGGTAGGCCCCTACTGTATTATTTATATCAGTGAAATTCTTTGATATATGATATGTCTCAGCCACTGTGGATTCTCAAAACAGCTAAGGAGAAATATGTGCAGAGGCTTGTTCACATGTCTGCTGATTTGGCAAGGCAAGTTAGCTTGACACTTGAAGACATTCATAATGGCATTTCAGGGAAGGTAATTTCTCAATATATTACTTTACAAATTTTATGTTTTAAAAAAATCTTCTATTACACTTACTAATTTAGTAAAACATTTCCAATCCAATTCTTAAAACATATTTTCCCTGTTCATGGAATGATGATATGAATTTTATTTAAATATCAGGAAGTAATAGAGCGAAAAGTCCGTGATGATCTTCAGGGAAGTGAAAATGAGCTTAGTCACAAAGAAAGGCTACAGATTGTAAATTCTGCAAAAATTGGAGTAAGAAATCGCCGTGGTCGTCGAATGCAGGTTGGTTCATTCACTTGTCTTTTTTGTGGAGCTTGACCTCAAGCCCTACCTGTTATGGTCACTAAACTAAAATTACCAAATCTTGTTCTACATTTTTTCCTGTTCATATTGTGATTTCATGTCTTAGATACCAGCAATTTCACCTCTAAATTTGTAGCTTTAATCAACAGAGATTTCAAGTCTATGATATGAAACTTAGGCACCACATTGCTACAATTGCAGACCAAATTCCTAAGTGACATAATTTGAAAAGACAACAACATTTTGTTCTACTGCTTGGTATACTTGGAGCTACAGATTGATTGCTTATTTGATTTGAACATGGCTTTTACAGACTTGTCAGACTCCGATACGTCCTATAACACCCAACAACCTTCTAGACTCAATCTGCTGGACAGTGTCCGAGCCATCTTCAACCGCTTCCATTTACACAGACTCTTTCAGTGTTGAAGATCCTAGTGAAAATCCTACGTCAATATTTTTTGACACCAAAGGGGATGGCAAGGAGTCAGAAGCTTCATTCTCAAACTCCACTCGTCCTCTGACAGAAAGGTTGTTATATCTTTTGCTTACATAGTTGATCTGCAAATTCTCGAGTCTTCTAATCTTCTTTCAACATAAATTCTACAACTTTTTGCAGTGAGAAATCCGAGCTTATATTTAAAAACCATTTCCTCACCATACTCTTCCCAATAGACCGATTTGCCGAGATGGGTCCTTCATCGAGAACGTATTTTAGCCATAACGGTTTTACGTGTCTTCAAGTCTTGGATCATATCCATGCATTTTATCAGGTAGAAACAATATTTATTCTCTAGGAAAATTGCATGCCTTGTTAGTTTTATCTTATAGTTAATTTGGTTTCTATATAGGAGAACATGTCAAGCCAGGAAATAGAAGCTGCAATTCATAGTGATTCAAGACACGCTGATAGGCTTCGATCAGTGTACTCAAGTAAGGAAACCGCAGAACGTGGCTTTGTGATATTCAAAAGGGTTGAATTCTTGGGTAGTCGTACGAGTTTTGAAATGTTGAAGCGTGTAAATGGTGACAACTCCTCCAATGTGTATGAGCTATTACTTAGGGCGTAAGGTACTTAAATGAGCTGCAAGTAGTTATAATAATGCTTAGTAGCTTGCAGCATCTAAATGTTACAAGCCTGTCAATATGACGAGACATTGGAGATATGGAAAAATATAGTTGGTTATTTAGCACTGATTTCATTAATGTGTTGTGTTGTAGTTTTTATTATTTTTGTTCTAAGGTCCTTACTAATATAGGATATGATTTTGTTGTTCTTTTAAAGACAGCTTTGCCAGAATCACTGTATTTTTAACTGTAAACAAACAAAATTTCCGATTTTTAATGCGGAGGAAAATGCACAGATTGAATTACTATGTAACTTTTTAAACCAACATAGTTTCAGAAAAAGATGAAAGCTGTTAAATTATTTAAAACGAACAAGTATGTTTATCATGTTAACAAAAATTTAACTTGCAAGTTCTATTGTCTAAGATTGTCTTTATGGTGTTTTTAACTAAATTTTGCTTGTTGAAAGATACTAAAGAAATTTGTCATATTTTTGTCTTAATTTTATAATCCAAAATATAGTATGTAAATAACTTAAAATTATAATTTTAAAATTTAGATAACATTTTCATGTATTTTGGATAGCATAGTAGATAAAATCAGATTACCACATTCATATTTTATAGATCCAACGGGCCGACACGGAGCATTCTTTGTTGAAACTTGAAAATGCAGATGCTTTCTTGAAGGGTAAATGCTTTGGTGCAACTTAAAGCTTGCACTTTTACATCAACCGGTTATATAGTTAGGTCGCCAAAAAATAAATGTCATGTAGATAAGGAGTTGAAACCAACTGAAATTATACGATACATATTGCATACAATATGAGATAGTCTAAACACGAATTCACACCGATAAAATGTGTACGATTTAGTTCTCATATTTTAACTTATGAAAGATTTTAATTTTCTTACTTCTAATTCTTGTATTTAATCTCACAATTTCTCACAATTTCTCAATTATTCAAATTAAATTTTTCACCTGAAAATTTCATCCAATAATTAATAAAATATAATAAAAGTTAAAACAATGTGCACTTTTATGCGAAGAACAGCTACCACATGTACATGCAATATTATACATGAAGGATATGACCTGAAATTTTATGTTTGGAATAAATTTTACCAATACTACTAGTGTTGAGCTTTCTTGTCCAATCTTTCCCTTGGAGGACAGGAAAAGTAAAAGGACTTTTGTTAGTTAACTTTGCCTCATATTTTTCCTTACCTTTTCCCAATAATATCTCCTCTTGGTTTATAAAGCTAATACCACTATTTTACACCCACAAAATATTTAAACTTGTGGTCCTGTACCATTAATCTGAGGCAATTTATCAGATCAATGGCACAAAACAACAGCTTATTTTTTTTCAGGGGTGCACATAATTGTGGTACTGGCCATTTTCTTATTTTCTCTCTTTTCTTTTTCTTTTCCTTTCACTTACCCTAATCATTTGGAAAATATGTCAATAATAAACCTGTTTCATTTCTCTAAAATGCAAAAAGTTAATTAGGAGCATCAATTTTTAGTTTTCCGAGTTGCTGTAACTTGTAAAGCATTTGAACTGCAGCAGAGTCATATGAGCTCTTCTTATCACTCCTAGCTTCTCCTTGGCATTCTACATCATCATCATTTGGAATGCACAAGGTAATTTTTGACATGAAACAGTTAAGTCCCTTGCTTCCTTCCAAGCCTTCACAAGATTCTAATATTGATCTGTTGCAGAATAATTTATCAGATTCACACATCACAGCATTACCAAATTCTAGAACAGAATATTCTCATTTGCACATCACATTTTTTACACCACACAGAATGACATGTAATATTTCAATGATAATATCTTTTAAAATATATTTTTTTCCACTTAACATCAATAGTTGGAACTTTGTAAAGGTGGTGTAAACAAAATAGACTCCCGAGATTTCTTTTTTCAATTTTCCAGTCCATATAATTAGCTAAGAAAAGAAAAAATGTGTATACAAAATATGTTGAATGTAGCCAGAATAAGCATGAAAAATGAATGGTGTTTGATAATTTGATTCTGTAATATGCTTTCATTCTTTTCTAGTTTCTGTAGTTAGTTGATTGTTTCCTTAAGATGATTTCAACTCTATAAGTTTAGGGATTAATTCTGTTGTGCATACTATATGTACATACACACACAGACAAATCCTTCATGCAATGCACAACTAAATATTCAGATTCTAGTTACTCAAACGATGAAAAGTATAAATTTGATTGCTGGACTCGCCTTTTATGTTCTGTTGAATCAAATGCAGGCATTGGCCACTGCAATTTCTTACACAGTTCATACAGTGTGGTCCGGGGTCCTCCCTTCTTCATATTAATTGATGAAATAACTGTATATCATAAATCCACGATGAAGTTAATCTATAGGTAGTTATTAAATTAACTCATTTCCCTGGAATTGAAAATAGCAAGGAATCAACCACTTCTAAATGCCAAAAGAATACAAGGTAGAGAGAACTCTAAGCACCAGTCACTGCACTTGCAACCCCCTAACTATATTACATCATACTATATTCCACAAATATGAGATATCTGAATTGAGTTTCTACCTACTTAACAAAGTGAGAAGAAATATATACTTTATTTCTCTTTCTCTTCTTTTTACATAAAGCTGAAAAAAAAATATTTGCTTTGAAATAGGAACTAAACCTCATCAAACTAGCTTCTAACAACATTCTGCAGCATAATTTATAATATGATTTTATAAATTTTACAGCAGAAGAGCAATCGCTAATCAATTATTCAGATGTTTCACAGAACTGAAATGATATTTTCCCTTCTTGAAAAAAAAAAACTAAAATAATATGCATGGGTAAAATGGAGCATTAGAGTTAAGACAATTGCAAGGGTGGAAATAAACATAGCACTTCAATTTGCTCTAATTTGTCAGTTTCTTCTTAACAGCTCTAAACGCTTAAAACAAAATGAATGCATTAATTGAAGTAGAAGGAGAGCAAGCATTAAAACAAGCCAAAATAGAAGTATAAGGAGAAATCTTTCCAGAAGTGGGCACTTTGTAGTTGGGAATACTAGACTTGCTCTCAAACACAGAGAACAAAGTTGATGTTGCAAACCTGGAATGGAAGCACTAAAACCAGAGACTTCACTCGCACTTAAGTTTGTATCATCCAATCTGGGCCTTTTATGCAATGCTGGATTTGAGGAATGTTCTTCAGTTAGAGAATGGGAAATACTAGAATCCATTTTGAGAAGAGATGAATCACGGATTTGGTCGGGATTATCTCTTTTTCCCTTGGACACACTACTACAATATGAAATTCCCCTCTTCTGTAGCATCACAAGTATAAGCCAAGTGGTAAAAAAAAATATATACAATAAGGATAGCAATAGTATGGTAAAAAAAAAACACAATAATTAACTAATTAACTTTACAAACCAACTTGTTCATAAAAAAAAGGAAGAAAGAAAGTCCCTTCCAAGATAATCTTGTTCATTTTGGTGGAAGCTTTGCTGGTAAGGTGGACAGCAAATAATATACAAACAACGACAACCTTATTCCAGTAGTTGTGGTCAGCTTCGTAAGTCATTGGACTTGGTCTAAAACCAAATAGTCAGATACATGTGACAAAATTATTTTGATGGTTCACTTTGTATTTAGTGCAAAAGCATATACTACTGCTAGCCATTACCTTGTTATTGAGTATGAAAGTATCTTATGGCATCTTTTCTTAGTTAAAGACGCTAGGCTATGGCAAAAGTTCAGCACTTGGAGAAAAACAAATTAGAAACTAACCAGGGAAAAATATTTTGATAGCTTGGTCTATTATGTTTTCTTTTCAGAGATTTACTGCATGATCAATTTTGGGAGCTTGTTTTTCTCCATTCTATATGTTCAGGTGTGTATATTTCTATAGGTTGTTTAAGTATTTACTATCATTATGTACAGATAGAGCAAATAATATACATGCACAGATTTTAGAAGACCTTAAAACTAAAGAAGAGGGAAAACAAAGTTCAAGAAGATATTCAGAAAAAACAACAAACCTCAAGTTCCTTAAGCAAATGAAAAGCTGCTTCTCCTTTTGCAGTTTTTTTATTTGGCCCCTTTCCTTCTTGAACCAATAGGGCATTTGGCAGCTGTACACTAAGCATAATACGCTCCACAGATCCCTTCTTTTCACATTTTTCTTTTACTTTTACAAAATACCCGAGTGAGTCACATAATTGATTCAACTCACGAAATGGAGGCAGTTCAAGTTTATCGGGAGTAACAATGGGTGATAATAGAGGATAGAAAAGTTTCCACACTTCATCAAGATTGAGTTTGGTATCAATTAGTATAGCCCCAGCAATACTTTCCACTAGATCTCCAAGTGCCTGTGTCATTTATAACAAAAATAACAATGGTACAACTTTAAAAGAATTGCCAGGAATATGTTTTTGGAATGGTTTTCTATTTATAAATGAGAATCTTAATATGAGAAGTTATTAAATAGGACTTCTTGATTTGATTTTGAAATCTCTTTTATTTAATTTGCATACATGCAAAAAAATCACAAACTTAGTTAGATTTGAGAAGATTTTATTTAATTCTAATTTTAAATATTAAATTAACAAGCTTGCCCTCATTAGTTTACCCATTTTACATCTACTAAGTATGGGTAATAAAGTAAAATCAAGGAAATAAAATGAATCACATTCCTCTTTGTTGTCCCAAACATGGAAATTGATTTGCAAACTAATTCTAATAATATTTTGTAATGAATTTCAAGATTAGGAATTGGCTTCTAAATCAAATCAAATCTGATTCAACACAGTGCAAAAGAAATTTTAACAAGTAATAACAAAGATACAAGTAATTCTATCATAAAGAGTTAACCATAATGATCAACATAACTAACCTTGGGAGCTTTAATGCCAGGGAGTGATCTGGAGTCTGATTCAGAAATGATCTTCACATATTCTGCTATCTGGCTCAGTAAAAATCCTGACCTATGTAGAAGGTGGTGGTGAAGGTTTTGTCTAACAGCAACTTGAGCAAAATTGTCATTATTGACAGAAGCAGAACGCAAGTCTGTCAACACTCCTGGATCAACATCTCTGTGACTCTGATAAAGATGCCATGTGATTAGCAGGTCTAATACCGAGTCACCAAGAAATTCAAGCCTCTGCCAGAAATTCAATAAATTGTATTATAGGTGTACAATATTAAGAAACTTTCACAAGTTAAATATTTATAAATTACTGATGAATATATCAAACTTCACAGCTACCTCATAACAGCAGCCAATCCCAAGTTCTGTCTCAGATAAATGTGTGATGGCCTCCAGTAAGAGTCCCTTGACAGAAAATTCGTACCCAATTTTCTTTTCAAGGCCTTTGATCTCACTTACTTTTGGCACATATGCGTGCAGAGACGCAGCAGTGATGGCTTCGTCAACCAAGGATAGTTCTAGCTCAGCATCAATCCCAAGCCATTTCATCACATGAAGTGAAGCAAAAAGTCCACCACCCACATAGTAAGCTCCTATCAAAGCTTCAACACAGTCAGCAATAGTCTTTGAGCACATGTAGCGGTGACCCCTGTCGCAGAATTTACCAACCACAACTTTTGGATTTTCAGTATAGAATTTTACATCTAAAGGAACTTCTAGGGTTTCCAACCCACAATCACAACAAACAGGGTGTATAGAACACTGTCCTGGAGCAACCCAACGGCGTGGTTCAAATGCAGAGTCTCTGATGTATCCCTGGTAGAAAAAATGATAGTAACCTGACATCACTTCATTCTGATGCGTTACCACTTCTAAAAACATCATATTAATGATAATATACCCCACCCCCCCCCCCCACAGAACGTAAGATGTACTCTTATCAAATTTATACTTCTTTTCTATGTCCAAGCTTTTGATTGGTTGAAACTTGAAAAGAATCATTTCTCCCATTTAATGTTACTGAATTTAAATATGCTTTCCAATATCAATACTGATACATCATACATCCATAATAATAGACAGATAATATTAATGCCATAAATAAAATGCATGGTGTTGAACTTGAATTGCATTGTTAGAAACAAAAACCACTCCAGTGTCAACATCTGATGAATTAATCAAAGTTTTCATCACATGGTCAAGAGTTTGATTGTCTCCCAAGTCAGAACTTTTTGGTCATAACTATCAGTACTGGATAGTATGGGTGCGTGCTTTGTATAAACTTTTATTCCTTTTGGGTTTTCTCATCATGAAATGCACGAGAGATTTAAAAAATATAAAATAAAATTTATTAATGTGCCTTTAACTAACAACTAGACTATTAGCTTCCTTGACAGTAACCTCCCTCCCAAAAAAAAATGAAAATGAAAAAAGAAACTCAGTAAAGACTACCTGTAATTTGCGATCTGTCCCCAGTTTATGTAGGGTTGAATTACAAACAGCCCATGATCGCTTTGCAGATAATTGTCCTTCATGTTTCTTAGGATATTTAAGAAAGAGATGACAGCTCACCACATACTTCAAAACAGAATCTCCTAGCAACTCAAGGCGTTCCATTGAAAACTTCTCACAACATCTTAAAGTTGTAAGTGCTTCTAGAATCTAATATGTACAGCAATAAAAGATGCATAACATTATCATAATGAAAAAAGAAATCAACAATAAGTATCTTATCCACAAAAATCATATTACATAGGACAAACCAGAGAGCAAGGTATCTTGAAATTGCTAGTTTGACCATCTATCTCTTCTCTAAGTTGACTGGACAACATGAAAGATTCAATACGGTACATCAGAGATGGCAACAAATACAGTGACTTCAACACAAGACTTTTAACATCAAGAACACATAGAAGCTCAGGTGGAATGTGAACATGAGCAGGCACCTTTGAGGTTACCGGGCCAGATGGTGATGACCTATCATCTGCTCAACTCAAAGAAAATATCACAATCAATTTGACATGGTGCACTTCCATTGGCAACAAATTTTTAATATATTACAACATAATAAATATAAGTAGGATTACTTTGATGTGAGTGGGGATTGAGTATAAAAACTTGAACTTATACCCTAACCATTAAAACTGTCACCGTCAACAATTTCATGATTTTTATTGTGTAAATTACAATGTACCTCACTGAAGTTCTGAAATTCAACATGAGAGCACTAAGTTCAAAATCCAATGCTTTTGCCCATACACCCATCCTCACCCTTTTTGGCCTCAACAGATGAATCTTGCCAAAAACCTTGTGCAGATTGACTTCCAAACTGGGGAGAGAGAGAGAGAGAGAGAGGAAAGCAAAACTTGCCTCAATCATGGCATTTTGTACCAATATCACTCTTCTATTGTGCATCCCTACAACTAAAGATGGAAATAGGTCAAACCGTCCAATAGGAGTTTACGGCCTAACTTTTTTAAAGTTTAGCTTTACTTAACCTATTTAATTATTAGGCTTAATTTAGACTTTTTAAAAAATCTAATTAATTAAATAGGCCAATTTTGAGCTGAAGAAAAAGCCTTTAGAATAGCTTATTTAAAATTTATAATAATATATTAAATATTTTTTATAAAAATTATAATATAATAATATATTAAATCAAATAAATTTTAAAATAATAAAATCTTAAATTAAAAACTCTAATTTTTTTTGTTAAAGTTGAATAAAGTTTCTACTACATACCCTCTAAGAGAGAAAAGTTTTAATAATATATGAATATTGGATCTTTTGAGATAATTATAGATCTTGGAAAGCAATTCTAATTGGTCAGTAAAAATGGATTTTAATGTTATTCATCAATTAAATTTTAAAATAATAAAATCTTAAATTAAAAACCCTAATCATTTTTATTGAGTTAAACAGATCTCTACTACATACCTTCTAAGAGAGAGAAAGTCTTACTTGTTAAAATCTTTTGCATATCTTATACGCATGACATAACAATGATTTACATTACACTATTTCAAATACGTTTATGTTGTTTGACAGTAATAAATAAAAATATGTAATTTTATTATACATATTCAATGTATTAAATAATTTTTTTAATAATTTATTTAGATATAAATTTTATGACTTTCAAAATGACATACCTATTTAGATGGTTTAATAGCTTATTTACAAAGAAACTTGATGGCCTAATGAATGTTTTCAATATGAAGTAGACCGTTAAAAAGACTAATAGGTCCAATTAAGCTTTTAAAAAGACCAAACTAAGCTTAATAAATAGTCTATAACAAATAATAAGCCAAGTTCAAATTTCAAAATTACTAAACATGCCAAACCTATTTATACAAAGTGTAGCCTAACTTAACCTATTTCTATCTCTAACTGCAACTCCCTGCTATTACACAGCCTGCCACCATTCCATGTTGGTGCAAAAAACTGATTTTGCCCGCATTTTCTAACATTTCCTAAAGATTGAGGAATTTTAACATACCTCAAAATTAAGAGGTGGTTGTTAGTCAACTTTCAGATATACTATTTATGCATAGAATTTTTATTTTTTTCCCTCACAACTTAGTTCCTAAATACTAGTCAGGACCCTAAGACCATAGGTTGTATTTTGCACTTGTTGAATACGATAAAATTAAGGAATCATTTGAAAATATATCTATTTTCATAAAAAGAGAGCCAGGTCCCCACTAGCTTTTTTATTCTAATAACCTCACATGAAAACCAAATAGCCTTTATAGGATGAATTGACTCACCAAAACAAATCCTCTACAAAACCTTGTAACTTAGTATTCTTAAATTGAAACTTAGCTATACATACACGCATATATGTATGTATGTTAGAAAATTCAATGGGATCAAGTAGGTCTTTTTAGTCAAAGGTGGCCTAATATCATATCTACAATAAACTTTAATACAATCTTAAATTTGAGCTTGGTCAATTCAAGATACTCAACCCCAAAAAAATTAGCTTGTAAAATGAGGATTGTATGAGCCTTTATAAACTATTTTGACTATATATGCAATCAATAGGATATTTCAACGGTAAAATTTCACAACATAGTACTGAGTATTCCCACTTCCAAAATCACTCTCTCTTCAAATAACCCAAGCACAAATTGATCAGATTAAACTTCTGTGAACAGTTCCACTCATTCCTTCCCATGTTTGTAAGGTAAAAAGATGGTAAACTACCTCAAGGTAGTACTACTGCAAAAACGGCAGACTAAAAATCTGAACATGATTTGCATGGTTGATCAATTCTCTATTCTATCATCAAAAGATTCTTTGGCCCAAAATCCTAAACCCACACAGGAAATAGTTCAAGGGAGAGACCCAAAAAGAAATCTCAAGGAGAATTTTAAGTTTACTCTATACAATTGATGACCTTGATGTTCCTATTGTTATTAGAAAAGGGTGAAGTACTGTGCTAAGTATCCCATCTCCAATTATTTTACATACCGTGCTGTCACCAACAAACACATGGGAGATTTCCATCAATGCACATGATGCATACCATCATTAAGAGCCATAAGATGAAAACTTCAATTTGGAACAACTAACCTTCCTCATAGAAGTTAAAAAGAAGATTGTGTGGATTATGACTTTGCTTCATTCGTAACAAAGGCTGTCTTGGGTGTCTCAGTGTAATCCCATACCTGATAAACTTTAAGTTGTTTAGTCAATCGTATTAATTATATTAATGATGAGAAATGGCAAGGCAAGTGAAACTGTGAAAGAATCAATAAGGATTAAACAAATTACGCACCTTTGGCTGAAATAATTTGAGAAGGTTATGCTTTCCTTCGATTTTTCTTTGTTTCCATCGAAAGGACTTTCAGCAGATAGTTTACTGTCCATCTCAATAATACAATATATTTTCCCAGTGTGAATGGCCAAAACTACTGTGTCTTTTATATTATTAGCATCAGCCACACAATTAGCAAAGTGAATCTTGTTTGTGCCTGCACATTCCATCTCTGATGAACTGCTATCATTAGGTGATGTAATTGTGCTGCTATCATCAGAGTTTCCAGCATCCAAAGAAAATTTCCTCCTTAAGAATTCAATAGCAGAAGCAGAAGAATTGATTGCAGACCAATTTATTGGCAAAGATCCCTGACAAACATCATTCAATTTCTCAAGAGGTAGAAGCAAATATAAGTTTTTTGGGCTCCACAATGATTTTGTGTCTTTTTGAAGTAAAAATTCCCTCTTCCCTCTTGCTGATTCAGATTTAACAAGCAACCTCCCAAACAAACCGTTGAAAAAAAGTTCATGGAAGCATTTCGCTTTCATCATCTAGTCGACAATAAACAACAAAGCATCATGTTAACTTTTTGAACAAATCAGATTAATGCTACACATTATTTCAGATAATACCTTATAAAGCTTATTTTTATACCTGTTCAGCATTCAAATCAACTTGCCCACATGAAGAGACAGAAGCTTTCACAATCTTTGAGACCAAATAAAGATTTAATTCCATATTTCCAACATCATCATCAAGCCTCGAGTCAATCAGAAGAACAAACCCAGAGTACATTTCATTAACAATACTACAAGTGAAGTCAAATTTATAGGCATGAAATTTGACTCCATCGAATCTGTCACCCCATGTGCCACTTAATGCACGAATGCTAGCTGTGCCATGTAACTCCTTCCTTTTTGTGGTTCCTTCAAAACAAATAAAAATTGAAATGTATCAGCATACACAACTGAATACTTTGGAAGACACAGACAAGTATTAACACGTCCCCTATATAAATATGAAAAATGCTAAATCCTACTACTATTTAAGCCTATAAATCATCCTACCCGCATAAAAGTGACAAGTATTTTAAAATGAGAAAAGGTTAAAAATAAAAGCTAATATTTTTCAGAAGACACGTCACTTTTTTATGAGTAGGAGGATTGGTAGGCTGAACTTTTAGTAAGATTTAGCATTTTTGTATAAATATATGTAAGCCAGAATAATGCAAAATCCGACGCATGTTCGCATAGGCTCCATGAACCTTTTAAGCCCTCAACTTTTCAAATCTGCAAACATACTCATTCAGTCCACCAAGTAAACAGAAATAATTCATCACATGACTTCAATAGTATCCTTTTAATTTATTTTATCCTCTTAAAATAAAAATATTAAATAATTAAAAAGTAAATTGAAAAGAATTTTTTTTTTAATTTAATTTCAAAAAATGTATGGGCAATTAAAAGATTTCCATAATACTACTAATAGCCTTTTTATTATCATAAAAGCTGTTATATCTTGGATATACTCCCTTTCTCCAAATGCATTTATTGATGGGATCTGGGAAGTCTAAGGTGTGAGCACTATCATGCAAACTTCAAATTAAAATAAGGATTTCAGAACAGTTTATAAACAAATATAAAATCAAATTAATGATGAAAAACATTATACCTGCACCAGAACTTGATTCTTTGTTTTTCGTGATATGGTCAGCTTCCAAAGGATCTTCACTGAATGGGACAAGATGTTCATTTAAGGCGCCCATTTGATGCAGCTTCTTACAAGCTTCAAAACATACAAGATGCTTTGCTGAACGCATATCTTTTTCTGAAGGACCAATTATTGTTTGGAATGCTGCATTAGGTGGTAATATTAATTTACACTGGTAACACCCTTCCATAGGCAGAAACTCAAAACTGGGCTTTGCACAGGAGTACCTAATTCAAATTGCATGTAGAAGTTGTTCACAAACACTACTTCAAATAGTCAAAAGGCAGACAAGCAAAATAGGATATAATCTTACTTATCTCGTGGGAGCTTTTCACAGTATCGATTTATAAAACAAACACTTGAATCTAACGTGACTGATGCTCCAGTAGAATTCACATAGTAAACATTTGTTTTCCCAACTGTAAATGCTCTTAAACTAGATTCACGGTCTTTATTAATAGCTGCATCAGTCATAGAGCGCTCACTCCTGATGATGTGAAAGAGTTGATTTCTTTGCTTCAAGTTTCCCCTGCAGATGTAAGTGTCAATTATATGTGGTACATACACTTGATTGAGATAGAGTTTTAAGGGGAGGAACAAAATCTCCAACATGAAACAGGTTCTGACGATCAGAATACTCACCTCTCCAACATCACAATAAATTGGGAGTTAGCTTGCCTAGATCTTCCCCGAGATTGGACATAACTACAAACTGTCTTCGGGAGGTCAAAACGTATCACACAAGAGCAGTTTGGCACATGAATTCCTTCCTCTAGTACATCAGTGGTAAATAATAGATTGACCTAGAAAAAAGCATTAATAATCCATTGAGATTTTCGATACCAACATGAAAGATAATTTTATTGTACATCACTTGATTCAAATGATACAACAAACTAATACCTTTCCAGCACGGAAAGAATCCAATATCTCCTTCTGCCTCTTAGGAGCCAGTGCATCAACCGATGTACTGTTTCCAGTTAAATACGAAACTGTGAAATGAGAGATCTGGGAAACTTTCTTCACAAATCTTTCAATCACCTTAGCTGCAATGATTCTATCAACAAAAATAAGGCACAACATCTGACTAGATTCTCTGCAAACAAAAATTGATAGACTATCAATTTGTTATGATACATAAGACAACTTTGTTGCAAAAGAAAACTATTAATCTGACCACAATTCATAGTTCCATACCCAAATGACTGGAAGATTCTAATAAGTTCAAGTAATTTTGGAGATATGTATCCCAACTCTACTGCCTTGGAAAAGTCAAATTCAACCTCCAAAATCTGTATATCAGCTGCAACAATAATAGTTAACTTAGCTGCAGAGATTATGCAGAGTGCAATAAATGAACAAATTCATTGTAGCCTCACAGACATATTTAGCTTGGAGTCATTTTTCCAAAAGCTGTCTAAAACAAATGCTACCATAATTTTTGGGGTAATTACGAACCAAATAAGAACCAATAAAGAAGGATCCGTTTACCAACAACATTTTGGCTTTGCATCAGATAGCTTGTGGTTTGTGATGTAAAAAAAACATAATGCAGAAATGGAAAGTGTGCAAATGGACCTTCAAAGAGAAAAGCTAACATTCCTAAACAAAGAAATGTAACTCAAAACTTATTATTGATACAAAATATTACTACATATATTAAAACATCTGTTAAAATGTCCCACATTGATTAGAAATAGAGCCAGAATACTCCTTATAAGGGCTAGGGCAGTCCTCTTCTTAAGAGCTAGCTTTTAGGAGTGAGTTAGGCTCAAGTTTCTTAACAACATCAATGTGAAATCTTGCAATGTATTATGTTCGAGTTTGTAAGAATTTATTAAAATATACTAGATTTCCTGATTTAGACATAGAAACTTGCAACTTGAAATAAGCATGAAGATTCAGAAAGACAAAAGCTTAAATAGGCGGAAAAATAAACTTTGAAAAATCATACCAAGATGGAGGGATTCTTCGATAATTTTGGTTACTTCTTCAATGTAATTTATGAACTGAAGATAACCTTTTCTATAAATTTCACATTCTCCCTCAATTTTGGAGAAATTCTCATGACAGATTTTAACAGCCTGCATAAACATAAACAGTTTATTAGTATATATAAGAAACAAAAGATAAAACTATAATAAAAAATATGGAAGCCTGTATTGAAGTGTACATATATATATAAACATGTACATTTGATTATAATATATGGTGACATTTCTACATATCCCAAAGACTTGCTACAAAGAATCAGTGACAAAACTAAAAGAACATCAGGAATAATTTCAGCTTTAAAATTCCATTAAAAAAAGTTTCCCTTTTCTTTTTTTTTATCTCAAGACATTCTTTCAACAATGTCTAAGAGTTGGATAAATACCTCATAAGCACATAGGATTCCAAGATCTTCAAGACAATGTAAAATCTTAGCAACTTCATTGGACATCCGCTGATGCAACGTCTTAAATTTACTTTGAAATTCTGATAACAATGGATCAGACTGTCCAAATAGATTAACTTCAGTCAATATCCTTTATTGTATGAAAGATAGTGAGTACAAAAGGAGGAGGGGGGGAGGGAGGTGTATTTTGTACATAGTCATGTACATACAGGATTACCCACACATACCTTGAACCACAAGGCTTCAATCTTTGGTTTCAAACTCAAAGCAGGACATCGTGCTTGATCATAATATCTACAACTCTCTTTTGCAGATGGGATAAATACATCAATCTCTGTCCGATTTTCAACAGTATATCTCTACAACAACATTTACCTTCTTTATTTGGGTATAAACATTCTTTAACAAGTGCATTCGTGGAAAAAAAAAAAATAGAATCAACATCAAGAAATTAATATTACCCGGGAATCCAAGATGTTTTCTAGTTCTGATATTTGACTCTCACAATTCATAACAGAGGAAACACCTAAATCAAGACATGATACATGAATAATATATATAGTAAGTTGTTACATTCACAATCTGAACTGACAGTGAAAATATGAATAATATAGAATACCAATTCCTTTAGTAAGAAAGGAAGCAATCAATAAAAAAACAAAGTACAGGGAAGAGCTTCAGATCAGGAAGCAGGGCACAGCAAATCATAAGATAAATATGTTGAATTGTTATTTAAAATAGCTTGAAAAATGCACTCGCTGAAAAGCATCGATATGAAAAGAAATTTGAATAGTTGCTGTATTTGAAGCAGAGATAAATTTTGCATCCATATTTTATAAATTCATTGAAATTGCAGCAATGGGTAAAGCTTTGTCATATTTCACATGAAATATATGGATTAAAATCATAGCAATCACTTGGAAGGGCTTTCCATGAATCATGAACTTTATCAAATCACAAAATTTGGTGACATAAATAACTTTAAAAAATACTATAAAAGGAGTGTACACAAATATCATCCCAAAGAAAAGTGATCAAAATATAAGTTTCAATATCATATAAATCAAAATGGGACAGTTGCTTCACTTTGCTGCCCAGAAGTCCTGATAAGAAAGAAAAATCCTTTATTTTTTTGTGGAAGTGGAAACAGCAGCACAAAGGTGAAGCAGATGGAATTGATTTTTTACCCTAAACAATCCTTTGATTCTATCTGCTGATAATTTAAACAATTAAAAAAAAAAAAAACAAAACAGCAGAGTTTTCACCAATCAGGTCACAAGGCACAAAGAATCTACAAGTGCATTGTCATAGTTGATAAACAACGGGGACTTAATGAGCTAATAAGATTCAGTTTTTTCTAACTCTATCAACTGGAATAGGTGAAGTATTAAAGATCCACATTTACTTGAGAAAAAAACAGATCTCCTCATCTCAAACTGAGCTTATATTTTATGACAGATAAGGTAAAAAATTTAGCGACATCTCAAACCAATCACAAATTGAACAATGGCAGATGCTCTAGTAAAACCTGAATAACTAATCCACTTCAGGGACATAAGTAAATTGAATGAAATGAAGTACTACCTCATACTGTTCTACATCAAATGTAATGTTTTTTTCTTTGTTATGGTAAAGTAGCCATAGTCATCTGACTAAATTATATTTTTCTTTCTTAAATGTGTTTTCATCTTATTTTTTTGGTGAAAGAAAAAGGAGATTCAAATTTACACAGGACATTGTTTTGATAAATGACAAGGGTTTATTTTGAAAAACAAGAATGGAGAACAAAACTAAATACAAAAGTAAAAAACAAAGAACCCTCTATACAGGAAATAAATTGGGTAGTCACAACTCAAAAGAAAACATTTTACAACCTGTGGTTGTTTGTCAAAGCTAGCACAAAAACAATTACCTTTTTTACCCACTGGAGATGCTGTCATCCCAAAAATCTTTGGCTTTTCGTTGGCTTGGTGATAAAATTCCTTCACCAGCATAAGACAATAGATTATTATCAAGAGAAATAAAAGTAAAAAAGAAGAACGATTTCTAGGACTCACCTTCATTATTTTTGCATAGGGATGGTTACCAGTGGCTCTATGACATTCGTCAATAATCATCAAGCATATCATTTCTATATTCAAGAATGCTTTTCTTAAGGCATCTAAAAGAATTTGGGGTGTCATAACAAATACCTATAAAACAGAAAGATATTATTCTTAAAACAATAGAGCTAACAGCTAAGTCAAGAGTATTCATGAGTTTATCAGCATAATAAATGGAATCAATTTCCGGTAGAACATGTTATTGAGATTTGAGATTGACACAAAAGGCCGTTGAAACAATTTAGCAATGCTAGTTAATACTTAATAGACAACATGAAAGATTTTAAATAGAATAACATAAAGCTGAAATATTCAATGCACAGGAGGAGCAAAAAAAATTTCCACATTGGTTTTTCTCCTTTAATACATCTCAAATTATTTTATTAAATAGCAATAATTTCCCAAAATAAATCATCATCTATTTAGCATTCCTGGATACACCCCATCACTCAAAAAAGAGTTCTTTTACATGTCACAAATCCAGTTTTCGGCAATCTTTGTAAACGCTAGAAGTCATGAGCTTGAAAATCTGAACACAGCTTTTAGTACTAAATTATAAAGGAGAATATTTTTAGTTTTATAAAAATCACCTAAACTGAAACCCCAAAATTTAGGAATGAAATTAACAAAACAATATCCAATTCAAAATGAAGCCTTGCTGATTCATTGTGTTATAACAAACTGATCAAACAAAAGTTTGAATAACTTTTCACTATGATGTTGACCTAACTAACAAACTATTCATGGCTCAGAAGTCAGAACAATAAAAATTTTGACTCATTAAATGAATAGTGCGCTTTTCAGGATAATATCTCACATTAAATGAAAATGGTGAATCATAAACCAGTAGAAGCATAAATACACCCACAGAATAGTACTCCACTATCAAATCAATAATGAGCAAGAATGAACAGCCATGGAGATAGTAGCAAAGAAAATGCCACGAGTTCTTAATTATGTAATATCTCAAGTCCCACGATTAATGAATGAAAGTATCTAAGCAATATAATTTGCAAATAAATTAACTTCAATAAGATCTTAAGCTAAATGTCATCGCAGTCTGAGCAATACTGCACAAATCCATGAAAGTAAAATCAAGTAATCAGTCACAAATAAGGAAGCCTAAAGTAAACTAGTGGCAATCATACTAGCAGTTAAATAAACAAGCATACATCATTGTTACTAATCTCCTTTTCCCAAGTCTTTAAATTCCATGTATCGACTCCTTTAGCCCCGTAGAATTCCTCAATTTGAAAATCTGTTAGATATTTTATATTCTTGAATTGCTGCAAAGTGGACACAAACACCATGTAAGTTTAACCTGCTACTCAAATCAACAGTACGCTTTGTTGTGAAAGAATAGTATGACATTTCACCAACCACCCTTATGAAATTAAATGAGGTCTATAATGGATTTAAAAAAACAAAGACAAAAAGGAAACAAAAGTAGAAAATGAAAACGGAAAGAAAAACTACGGGGGAACATGCCTGATTTACAAGATGAACGGTTGGAGCTAAGAAAATAATTAGCTTCTTTACACCACAAGTCTTGATAGCATGACCAACCTCCTTTATAAGCATTACAGCTATCAAGGTTTTACCAGAGCCTGTATCCAACACTGCTATTGTGTTCCTCCTTCTTGCAACTTCAAACACTTCTAATTGATAACTACAAGGAAAAATCAAAACGGATGAAGACAAGAAAACGTTACATTACCCTCATCAAACTCGAATATAAAGGATCAAGAAAGCAAGAAAAATGCAATCTTTATGATCATACTTGAATATAAAGGGTCGAGTAAGATATAAAAACGCAATCTTTATGATCAGACTCGAGGATAAAAAATCAAAGAAAACAAGAAAAACGCAAACTTTATGATCATTCTCCCCAAACCCCACACCCAAAACACGAAAATATTCCAACATTACCCACACCAAAAACCAAAACACGAAAAGAAGAATGGGAATCTTTGAAAAAGGAAAAATGTTCAAAATTGATGAAGTATCTGCACAAGAAACGGAGGAAAACCAAAAAGGTTGCACCTTCTGGGGTCAATGTTAGAAGAAAGTGATTCTTCAGTTTGTGAATTGTCAGCTTCAAGGGGCTTTGAGTATAATTGATCGAAGTTTCGCTTTTTACTTTGGTCTGATGAATCCATGGTGAAATTCTGAACTATAGTTATATAAGTTAAAAGTGATAACACAACGTCTTAGGTTGCAACACAAAACAGATGGAGCATTGGCTTAGGATTGATCAAGAACTGAGAAAAACATGATCAAGAAAGAGAGGAGTGAGTAAGCAAAAGTAGTGAAGTCGAGTGTTTCAACGCAAACGGGGGGGAGTATATATGTATATATATGTCTATGACTAGGAGTGCGGATATAACATGCCAAGAAGGTTTTGTCGGATACAACCTGATCCTAACCCGTGACAAAATCTTATATTAACAAATGCGAAATTTTAAATAACAATAAGGCAAGGACCCCATAATGTATCAGAAATTAATAATTAATAAGTAATATTTTTAAAAAAAAATGAATACTCCTTTTTTTTTTGTTGGCTATTATGAATACTCCTTCTTTAATCAAACGAGTGACAAAACCTAAAATAAAATTCAATATCTTTATTTTAATTTTGATATTAATCACCTAAAAGTAATTATATATTTTTATGACTAACTGTTTTCATTTTGAAATATATTTTTGTTGATATTTATGTAATTCAATAGTGCAATACAATTCATCGACCTGACCTAAGGTTTAGTTATTATTGTTGTTATAATTTTTAAGCTTAATTATATGCATATAAAAATAGAAAGATTTTATTAAAAATATTTATTATATAATAAATATTTTATTTTGCAATAAAATTTATTATTTCTAGTTATTTAAAATTTACCCCAAAGGTCAATGTTATCATTTTTCATAAAACTATTCTTAAAAAAGTGAAGTTGAGCATTAAAATGTTATATTTAAAAAATGATATATATTGATTAATGTGTAAATTTGAAGTGGCGTTAACTATAACTGAAAGGTCATTACAAGATATTGCGTCAAGTAGTAAACAATAGAAAGAACAACGCTAAAATCCTTTGTCAATGTTATATCAAGTATCTGTGTACCTAGTGCCTGTTATGCAAGTTAATGAAAAGAGAAGCCAACAAACGAAGGTTAGTTGATGGCTCTAAAATAAGCCAACTTAAATCATGGGGTATTCTTGAGGGAAAATATTCAATTGTCACCAGTAATCCCCACAGGAACAGATCCCGCTCCTGAAATGATGAAATCGATTTGCATCTCTCAAAACAATTTCTCGCTGATAAACCTTTGATATATATTTGATTGCATTATGGCAATCTCCACACACTCTAAGGTTTTTAATTACCCTTAATGTGGTGGATGGTGGCGTTTTTAGGAGCCCATAAGCTATTGCCAGCTTCTCACTATGATAATATAAAGAACTTTCTTTATCTTCTTCTTCTACATCAGCAAGTGCAAAGTCTGTATCAGGGACATATCCTTCTTCTCTGATCCTTTTCATAACATGCTCCACCTTATTATATATCACATCAGTTTCTTCATGTGACCTATCGCCAGCTACAAACAAATGCACCTTGTTCTTCATATCTACCCAACTAAATCCGGGATCCTTCTTTACCTTTACTCTTTTCATCATTTTTCTAGCACTTGCCACATTTTCCCATTGATTAGCAGCTGCATAAATATTGGACAAAAGAACATATGCTGCTGAATCAGATGGCTCCAAGTTAAAAAGCTTTTCTGCTATGTGTTTTCCCGTCTCTTTGTCTCCCTGAACCCTACAAGCATTAAGTAGAGTTCTATACATTGAAGCAGAAGCTACAAAAGGCATTGATAATATCACCTTTTCAGCTTCTTGTATACGCCCCGCTCGGCTAAGGGCGTCAACAAGACAAGAATAGTGCTCAATCTCAGGTTCAATTCCATAGTTATTCTGCATGGAATAGAAGTTTTCATAGGCTTCAGTTATCAAGCCAGAATGACTGCACGCAGAAAGCACACCTATAAAAGTAACTCTATCTGGTGCTACATCCCTAGATTTCATATCTCTGAAAAAGTGTAGGGCTTCCTCAGCATTTCCATGTTGGGCTAATCCTACTATCATGGCATTCCACAAGGAAATATTCCTCGTGTTCATTCTTTTAAACAAACCATATGCATCGTCAATGCTCCCACACTTGGCATACATGTCAACAAGTGAAGTCGTGACAAAAGGATCAAAAGCACAGTTCAGCTTAATAACATTGGCATGAATCTGTCTCCCTTGTTCCAATGCTGTCAAAAGAGAACTGGCTTTGACAAGGGTGGCAAAGGTATACTCATCAGGTTGCACCCCAGCAAGTCTCATCTGATGGTAAGTAAAAAGAGCATGCTCTTCATCTCCATTTTCCACGCATCCTGATATCATAGTAGTCCAAGCAACATCATCCGGCAAAGGGATCTCACCAAACACTTTGCTTGCACTTTCCATCTCTCCACATTTTAGATACATGTCAAGAATACCACTAATGACAAACAAATCTAAATTAAACCCCTTTTTTATAACAACAGCATGAATTTGCTTCCCTTGTTCAAGCCCCACCAAACACCCAGCAGCTTTAGCTACATTGGCCAGAGTAATTTGATCTGCTCTCTCTCCACTTCCATGCATTAGAACAAAGAGCCTCAATGCTTTGTGGTAGTTATCACTGACTATGTACCCATGCATCATAGCATTCCAAGATGCCAAATCAAATCCATCTTGGTTAAGAAAAAGATGTTCTGCCTCCTCCATCTTTCCACTCTTGGAATATAAATCAATTAGAGTAGTCGAAACAAATGAATCCAAGACAACACCAGCTTTTATTGCACAACTATGAATCATCTTACCAAGATAGTAACCTTCTTCAAGAGAGGAGCAAGCCCTCAAAACACTTGCGATGGTGAACTGATCCGGCAATAGGCCACTGCATAATAAATCAACAAACAATCTCACAGACAACTCCTCCAAACCACTCAACGCACAACCAGATATCACGGTGTTCCACGATATCAAATCCAGTTCTTTCATTTGACCAAACACTGTTCTTGCATAACTCACAGAGCCAGCCTTGACATACATATTCATAAGGCTATTAGCAACAGACACAACGCGATCCAACTCCGATCTCACAACAATGCCATGAATCTGTTTCCCCAGTTCAATACAATTCACACTGGCAACCACAGACAGCATCACAACAAAAGTCAAGCCATCACACGGTACTCGTGATCCAATCATATCCACAAAGCAATCAACAGCTTTCCAAGCTTCACCATTTTGGAGATACCTAGACAGTGTCTTGTTCCACACAACTACATCATCAGCAGCAGCAGCAGCACAAAGCAATAATTTGGTAGCATAAGCTCGAACCTGCTTCAACTGCCACTCAAAAACGCTATCCACCCCCATAATAGTCCGAAAACTGATGCTATCAGGACGCAACCCAGTTCTGTGAAACGCAGAGAAGAGAAGCAACGCATCATCATCAAGACACGTGTCCACATAAGCCTTCATCATCACGTTCCAAAGCACAACGTCTCTCACAGGCATTCCATCGAACAAAATACGTGCCTCTCTGATTCGTCGAAACTTAGCGTATATATTAACCAAAGCACCAGCCACAAACACGTCCCATTCCAACCCAACCTTAACGGCGAAACCATGAAGGGTCTCGGAAGCAAAGAGAGAACCAGAGAGGAGGCACATTTTGAACACAGGAGCTAAAGTGTGGCGCGTGGTCGACACGACCGAGTGACGGCAAAGACGGAAAAGGTGAAAGCCGTCACGAGCTTTGTCGGCGAGGGCATAGGCGGAGAGCATGGCATTCCAGGTTACGAGGTCTCTGTCGCTGTCCGGTGTTATGTCAAACAGTTGACGCGCGGAGGAGAGTGAGCCGCATTTGGCGTACATGGTGATGAGGTTGTTCGTTAGAAAACGATCGTGGTTGTGCCCCGACGTTAAAATGCGCGCGTGAGCGCGTTTTCCGAGGTGTAAATCGGATGCGGCGATGGCGTGGCGGAGGATGGAGAACCATTGGTGGAGCGAGTGGAAGAGATAGGCGCGTGGGGTTAATTGATTTACGGTGGAAGTGGATCGCAGTCGCAAATGCATCTTCGCCTTCGTAATTCATTCTCCGTTTTGCTTACAAAACAATTTCGGAAATTTGTTGTATGGAAACGTTGTTTGGAGTTGGAAGAGACGCCGCATTATGGGACAGGGGTTTGCTGTAAGGGCATGTTTTTTAAAATAGCTTTTTTAAGAAGTTTGTGAAATATTATAATTTTTTAAAATAAATTTGTAATTTTTTACGCATTTATAACATAATTCATATAATAATCATATTTGATAGGAGGAGCATCTTTAATAAAATAGTTCCTAAATTACTTTTACCGTGAGTTACATAGATTATACGACAATATTAAATTTAATCAAAAATTAAATTTTTTAAAATTTTAATTATTTATTATTCTTCATTTTTGTAAGAGTTTTCTTTTTTTTAATTTAAATCCTCTCATAATATATTAAATTTAAATTATTTACTTGCACTTTTAATTTTGTTAAAGTTTTACCAATTCTTATTTTTTTGTTAAAAAATTTATAAACAATAAATTCTTAAATAAACATCCAATTGCTTGTTAAAATAAAATGACTTTGCACCAAATAATTATGGAATTAAATCAATTGCAAGATTAAAATGACACTGAAACAAAGTAAAATTTTTTAAAATAATTTTTGAAGTTAGTACAAAGATTTAAAGGATATAAAATGTGTAATTAATAAGACTCTTAATTATCTCTAGACATTAAAAAAAATCCTCTTATATATATATATAAAATTCATTAATATCAAATATAAGTCTAAAAGACTTACACCTAATTTAACAGTTGAAAAAAAAAATTTATATATTTTTTAATTGTTAGATTATTTGATTTATACGGTTAAAATTTAATATAAACTTCTTAAACTAAGTGTCAATAAATTATATATATATATATATAATTAAAAAATATATAAAATTTTAACATGACATTCTAACTATAAAGTTTAACATGAGAAAATTCATTTATTTTTAAAATAAAATTTTCATGACGCTCTCCCTATAAAATTTAACATGAAAAAAATTATTTGCCTTTAAAATAAAATTTTCAAAATACCGGATCGTTCAATTTTGTGAACATAAAAGTTCACTTATGAAATGAAACAATATTTTATCCATGACTATAAAGCTTACATTGAACAGACTAAAGGATAGATAATATTCCAACTATCTTTGCCTGCATATGACAATAAGAGTGCTCATTTTTTAAAAATGTAGATGAAGGCTCATTATTTTTTAATAGTGCAATAATCTCATCCGTCCTTAAAAATGATAAATAATACCATCTATTAACCCTTCAAAACTGAACATATTGGTCCCTAAAAAGAACAAATATCATTGATATTCGTCATTTTTAAAAACTATAAGAATTATTATTTCCATCTCTCAAACTTTGAGGGTTTAATATATCACTGAGAAAGGCTACTTTTTAAGTTGAATTTTACTCCACGTGAAACTTGAGTTAAGAAAAACAATGTAAATGGGAAACCAGATAACACGGGCCATAATCATTTCTGTCCTGCTTCAGTATTTGTTGCGAGACGAAAATTGTTTGGCATTGAATCTAATTTGCAAAGTCAATCTATTGTGTAATTGAGTTCTATCAGTTACATCTGAATCAAGAGAAGAAAAATGGAATTTAACGAGGAAATGAAAATTAGGGTACAAAATTAACAGAAGGAAAATGATCCCAAAACATGGGCTAGTCTTGCTGACTAATGCATATCTGATGCCGCAGCTAAACCTTAATGATACAGTTCTGCTACAACCCTTCTCTTCCCTGCTCCGCTAACTGTTTTCTTTTTTCCTGTTCTTCGGGCCTGGACACTGCCTCTACTTCCCATATACAGATACAACAATGAGTAAATTGTCCTTGAGTTCGTGGACTTTATACTGTGTCAAAAAACTTGTACACATACTTGGTTCAATATATCACAACACGAAGAAGGCCTGGCTGAGGTTCCGTGAAGTCAAGGCCCTCTTCGAGAAGAAAACGCTGTACAGCAATTGGAAGTCTTGCAGGAGTGCGGGAACCCCTGGTATGATGACCTGTGCCAACACAAATATAAACCTGCAAGCGTTGCTCCGCAGCTATGGCCGTGCTTTTTAGCACACTCAGCTCATGTTTCAGCACACGAATGGCTTCACTCGCATGCAACCCATGTAGGTCTATCATCCTCTCATGTCCTCTTCCATTGCCCTGCATCTCTGGAGCAACCGGATTTCTGAAAAAATCAACACTTGCAATGACTGAGGCAGAACCCAACACTTTCAGAACAATGTACATCAACATTCTGGTTCGTACAATGATATAGAACTCCAAGTAATCATTCTAGAAAGAAACTGTTTGGCAGCCTGTACTGGTGGAGGAAGAAAAGGAAGAGCTGTAGCAACTTTGTGCAGTATACGCTCTCAATGGAGTAAAGATATTCTCAAGTTTCACAGTTTTCTTTAGAAGCCACCGGATAACAAATCGACATCACAAAATTCTATTTGAAGGGTTCAGATTGTTCACACATCTCAACCGAGAGACAATCATTATCCTTCTCAATGACAAGCAATCAGCATAAAAAAAATTGAGGAAAAAATACATGGGAAAGTATAAATGTTTTAAGAATTGAAAAAAAAAAAAGAGTGGGGCCAGTTCAGCAAACAAAAGAAAACTGTCCATCAACATATACAGGCTGTGTAGGGGTAGCAAAGTATATTAATAACATCACAACACCATATAAGCTTGTATTGGGGAACAACAAACCTCTGACGGTAAATGGATTCTTGGGCTTTTCCATGAGCTGCCTTCATATGCATGTTGTGCAGTTGTCCTTTAGCACTTAGTTCCTTTGCTAGGGCTTTATTGCCAATAAGATAGGCTTGCCGTGCCTGTTCTCAAATTAGAAACCAATAACTAAAAAATAAGGTCACACACGCCAAAAAAAATAAATTCAAGAACAGATGTTTCTAGAAGGGACTTTGTCGTTTATTCTTGAACTGGTATCAGCCCAACAGCTCTTCTTATTACATCTACTGTTCCAATATGACTATCCAAAGTTACACACACATACAGACTAAAGAACCAAGCAAGAAGCATTTAGCCAAAATTATTTATATTCTGATTCACTTGCCAGTAATCCCACCTGCTCAAAATATGCATTACGTAAGCGTGCATGATCACGAGCCTCTTCCCGCAGCTCCGAGTACATATTTGCTGCCATGGAAATTTGTTAAAGAAAAAATGCACAAAGAATTAATCTGACAAGTGAAGCATATAAACATAATTAATTACCGACTGCATCACCGGTTTCAAGCCAAACAGGAGCTGCCCGGGCTGAACCACTGTTCTGTAACCGATCACCAAAGTTGGCTCTTCCCTGTCCATTATTGTAGCCACTGGCCAGAACATTTGGAATCCTCCTACTTGAGCCAATAGCAGCATCACCAGAGCCATTTTTGTCATACTTCCAAATACCACCAGAATCTTGAGAAGCTAACTTCCTAACAGCTGAAGCAAAGTCAGTAGCACCTCTAGATGGAACTGAAGAGCTAGATTTGAAAAACAGCATATCACTATCAGATGATCGGTAAGGATTGCCACTTTGTTGGACACTATCTATAGCATATTTTACAGAAGTAGTCTGGCCATCTGGTGAAGAAAGTGCAGGGAAGTCCATTGTATTGAGATTGGAAGCCGATAGAGTCTTTGAATTCAGATTCTGACTGAAGCTACCATCAACTTGAAGCTACAAATTTGGAGGGGGAAAAACACAGAGATTATCAACATAAAGTTCCAAGATTAAGAATTATTGCAGAGGAATAAGTAATGGTGATAATAGATGACAATGGCATCCACAGAATCAAGATCAAATTGTAATACTTGATCATATACCAGAAAAAGAGAAAAAAATTAACATTCAACAAAATGCTAATAAAATGCCAATGGCCCATTGATAACATGAAGCAGAGGACTGTCATCACAAAATTAAGCTCAGAAAGAGAGTAATCAACATTGAAAAATACAATTATCTCTAACAACCCCCTCCCCCCAGTACCAGGCAACAGTGATTAGAAACTGGAAGCAAGCAAGGTAGGTTGCACATGAATCACTTCACAACTTTACAGGGAGAAAGATCTTCCCTACCAATACAATGGACAGGTATTGCTCTAAATACTTAGCATCCATCCCATCAGACTAAATATTGTTCCAAGAGCCAGTTTGGAAAGACCTCCCAACAAACACTTACAAGGGAAGAAATAGAGATGAAATGAATCAAACTTTTCTTATAAATCAACTTATGTGCCTTGACTTACGGAGAAGTTAAATGAGGGAGCTATTGAAAAAATTAAGCATAACTTAATTTTAAATTATGATAGAAATTTTATTCATTTGACATTTGAATCATTTTATTTCTTCTCTTATAAGTGCTTGTTGAAAATTTTATCTGAACTGGCTCTAAAGCATTCTGCATAGCAACACACTAGTAGATAGATACTACATTCGAATATAACTGACAACACATCCATTTTCAAAAGCAAGCAGATCAGATGGGGCTTACGAGGAACCATAGTTTGACCACAAGTCAGTTGTTATATGATGATGAACCTACCTCTAACTGAGCAAGCATCTCAGTGGTCAGATGTAAATCGCATCCATTGGCAAAGTAAACATCAGCAAGGCTTTCTGCTGCAAAACCAGGGAACAGAGAAGCCAAAAACTCCAAAGGATTCAAATCAGTATCATCCACAATTGCATTTTCACCCAAAACATCATTTAAGAATCCATGTCTAGAGTTCTCATCATAAGTAAGTCCCTCTTGACCACTGCTGATATGCTGGTCACCACTCCCAATTGACCTATCCCAAGGCTTTGCCAAAGCATTCAAAAAGCTTGCCGAAGGTGGGTCCTCCCTGTAGCTTGAATTGGAAAACCTTAATTTATCAGCAAAGCTATTGCCATTAATATACTGTTGAGATAATTCCTCGTGCTCATTTATTATATATCCACTTCCTTTAGAAGCAGGAAACCTTGAGGCTTCATTGTCATCATGTATGGATAAACCCGCTAAAGAAAGGTCATTATCATTAAGACCTTGAGACTCATCTTCTCCCATGACCTTGAAATCAGGGGTAATATCATCAGGGAGCTGACATCGCCAGTATTGGTGCACCTCATCATCAGAATTATTTGAAACAGATGATTCTGATCTATCTAAAACTGCTTTCCCAAGAGCTCCAGCAGTAGTAAGCCTTGCTGTTGCATCTACTGAGCTGGTAGTTCCTGGTAATGATGATCTGAGTGCAAAAGGAACAAACTCTGCTGCATTTGGATTCAGAGTGGTTGCCTTGTTTGGGCTGAATAGCTTTGCATCCGTTTGGGATTCTTTCTTGGATAAGTTCATAATTAACTATAATATGGACAAAATAACTACTACATAAACAGACTTTTAAAATAGTAACTGCACATGTCCAGTCAGCCTCAACCAAACCCTGAAAATGGTTCAATTTGATCATGCCCATTCATTAACCAGACAGCTAAAAAAAGAACAGGACAAAAAAAATCACCACAAATTGCATCCATCGTGCAGCAGATAACTGATGATTTCAATAATACTCATATAACATGAAAGTGCCAAATAAATTATTCAGTACAGAAGGGCAGTTATAACTATTTTTGAATATCAACACAATCAACTCCAGCTGGCCATATTCATTACTATAGCTTGGAAGCGAATCCAATAAAGGCAATTTGAACAAAAGAGGGACCATGCACGAGTTACGGAACTTATAGCAAATTTTACAAATATCGAAATAAATTTCGGTGAAAACTGACCAATTTCAGAACTGAGATGACACAGCTCATCAGGAGACGGTTAAAAGTTAAAACCCTAATTTTGTCAAGTAAATAACTAAAAATGTAAAAAAAAAAAAAAAAAAAAAAAACAACTTCAAAGATGCACAGAGAATTCTAGAGCAACAACTACCAAGAAACCCCAATAACACAAGTCAAAAGATTAAAAAAAAAAAGCTAAAAATATTGAAAATTCAAAGCCGAATTTTATTTACACGGACATCAAAACAAACAGAAATAACAACAAAAAGAATTGGGAAGCAGCGAAATTGAAAGAGATCTTGAGCAATTGACGCCTCAGAAAATAGACCCAAACAGTAAACAATAAAAACTCGAGCGGAAGAAATTGCAGAAAGAGAAGAAAACAAAAGAATAATGAGAATATCTGAAATGAATGGAAGAGTGTAAGGAAATATACCTTGGCGCGTGAAATGAAAGGGATCCATGGAGAAGAGATAAGATATGAAAAGAATTGAAGATGGAATTATGTGAAAAATCTTGTTGGGTGTGTGAGTGAGAATTTGATTATGGGTTCTTTCTGTTTGAAACCCTCTTCGGAACAAAACAAGAGCACCACAAAAATAGTAGTAAACAAGACACCAAGCCTTTCGCCACTCGATTTGACCTCGCCCTACAAACTCACCCTCTTTTACTCTACACTCTTCACTATTATTTAATCTATTCACTATTTCCGTCATTCGGATTTCGGAAGAAAAACACGACCTTAGCTTTTCTTAAATTATTATTAACATTTTTCAATCCATTTTATTAACTCTGAGTTTTAAAGTGAATTTCAACATCTAATATTATTATTATTATTGTTTTCTTGTTTACTTTCACACTTTTTTTTTTTAACTCTTTGCTTATTTAATTGAATCGGCAAATAGAGGAAAAAGTATACCAGTAAAGCTTGATATATATTCATAGATGAGCAAATCTCTTAAATATATATATATATATATATATATGAAATATATTAAAAATTATTTGAGATAATTTAACGGTGAATAAAATATACACACATATTTTTAATACTTTTATATTGAAATACAGTTTTATTTTAATTATAAAACATCTATAAAATAAAAAATATAAAATAGCAAACTGGTTGGGTATACATGCAACCTTGATTTGAATGTAATCTTAGTACTGTTAGAATTAAATTACCATATGATGGTTGATAGAATGAAAAGTTAGAATGTGTGAATTTAACGTAGAGTTGCAAATTTCTCACTTTACTACCTTATGCAAGACCAAGTTCTGATGACCAATTCCCGGCTGCAAACGAAGGAAATGTCGCCGCGACCATACATATCCAAGTGAAAGGAATTTTTAAATTTTAGTTATAAAAAAATAAATATCAACTGAATAATTCTACATAAATGGTTAATATTAACAAATATTTAATGGTTACAAAATTATTTAAAAGAATTGCGTGACGTGTTAATTCTAACTATTTATAATTAAATTTAGCAGATTTTTTTCATTTTTACATTAAAATACTTCCTCGTCTAACTAAGATATGTTTGGATGTAAAAAAATTAAGAAATTGGTAGGACGTGATAGAAAATTTATTTTCCTTGAGTCTTAAAAAAAAACTTTAAATACTAAAAAAAAAGGAACAGGACATGGAGAGAGGGAGGAGGGACCGAGGAGCTTTCATTTTAAATTTTTAATATATAAAAATTATTAAATAATAAATAAATATAAATATATTTAATATAATTTTTTATTAAACATTAATTTTATTAAAAAAAAATTAAAATACAAAAAATATTCTAATCCTCTACAATAGTAAAAACACTAAAGAGTATATTTAATATAATTTAATTATTTTATTTCACTTTCTTTACTTATCTGAATAAATAAAATTACTTTTCATTTTTTATTTATTTTAGTTTATTCTAACATTAAATATTTTTTATTTTCATTTTATTGCTATTTTTTATCTTATCTTATATCTAATGTATTAGGAATAAAATATAGCCGCAACCGTGAATATAGGTTTAATTTTTTATATATGAGATTTAAAATATATATATATATATATATATATATATAATATAGTATTTTAAAAAAAATAAAAATTATGTGATTAAAAAATTACTATTAATAATCTTTAGTGTAAATATTGTTAGAATACAAAAATTTATAGAGTTTCAAAAATCATCCTTAATCATTTTTTAAAAATTATAAAAAAGTCAAATTTTATTAATAAAATTTTTTAAAAATAATAAAAAATGTTAGTGATGATTTTTAAAAAAACTATTGTTATTTTTAAAGCATAACAATAATTTAAAAATTTTAAAATAAAAAATTGTCAAGAGCCATTTTTTAAAATTTTTGTAATTTTTTAAAAACATTATCTTTTACTATTTTTTTCATATAAAAAAGGACCCGTGAAAATATAGTTAAAGAATTTTTTTAACATAAAAGAGGAAAGAATTAAATAGTAATTATATATTTATATGTAGAAAATTAAGACTAAATGGTTGAATAATTATTTTAAAATGTTATAGGACATACAGCATAACTATTTATAATCAAATTTAATAGTTAAATTTTACTTTTTTCTTTCGCATGTTAAAAAATCATCTCATTTAAAATAAAATCTTTAATATTTTGTTATCAAAAATTAAATTCATTAAAGTTAATTTTTTATAAAATATATTTATTTAATAAAATATTATACAAATTTAAATTATTTTAAATATAATTATTCTTGTATTGTATTTTTATGAATTGTATATATATCATAATAATAATATAGTAATTAATTATTAAATAAAAATATTTTTAATAAATAATTATTAAAAATGTCATTTAATCTTATCTTTGTGTGTGAAAGACTTTGATGGTAACAAAACTAAAGATATTAATAACAACATAAGTTCACTTAATAACAAAAGAATTAGTCAAAATAATTTAAACAGATATAGCTCTTAAAGATTTTCTATTTAAGAGCAAGATAATTTAAAGTTATAATATAAGAGTATAAAAAATCAAGCATAAATAATGTTGTTATTTTATAAATTATTTTTTTACTTATTCATAATTAAAATGAACTATATTTTTTTATATGTAAAACATATATTATTAAAAAGAGTTTAAAGAAAATTCAAAACTCATATTAAAAAAAAACATACTTATATTAAACTAAATCAGATGTAAATTTTATGTATTAAAATATCAATCAACTAACAAAATAGCTTATCCCTTACTAATAAGTGATAATCACTTCTAAAAATAATAAAATTTATAACTTCTTTCTCATCCAAAATATTATTAGAAAATATCATTTTATTTTTATGCAACTATTGTACTTACTTAAATAATTAATAAACATATATTTTATTTTTTACTACAACTAACACTAATACTAACCAAAGCAAGTAAGTGAATTGATAAATCTAAAAGCAAACTTAGTAAGAATCTAAAATACAGTCAAATACTAGATTCAAAATAAAATTAAACACATTAAAAATAAATGATTTAAAAGTTTTTATAAATTATAAAAAAATAATAAATTATATCATTAATTTAAACACTACAATTAATTAGCATAATTTTACATAAATTACATTTAATAACTTAAAATAAATTATATTAATTTGAAGTTGTGTTAATGTGTTAAAAAAATACTTTGAATTGCTTATTTTTATATTTGTTACATATTCGAGGATTCATTACTATCTCTTGAAAAAATATCTAAACTATTTTAACTCATATTATATTTTGAAATTTACAATCAAGCAAACAAAGTGATTAAAAAACAGAAATCAAACAAATTAGATCAAATGATTATTTTCTCAAATCCAAGTTAATTTAATTCGCAAATAACTCTGTCCAAAACTGAATTATTTAGAGTGATCGTTATAAGGCATGTGTGCTTAGAAAACATTTAAAAACAGAAAAAAGACTGAAAAAATATACATATCAATAATTCATACATACTGTACACCCGAAAATCAGACCGGTAGTTATCCATCTTCGTCACCATTAAAGAATTGAATCTGTAAGTTTTGTTCTTTCTTTCTCATCTGTGGAGTATTGGAGCAATGAAATTTAGTCGAATCATCGTCGTATATCGCTAACTCGTACTTTGAACCATGAAGTTAATCAAGTACAATCAAATAAGATACATGTTAATTAGTGAACATATATTTTTATTAATATATTTTATCGTAATATATTATTTGAAAGTGTAAATATAGCTAACCTTCAATAAAATGTTTATTAAAGTTGGAATCACACTTCTATTTAATTGTTTTAAAATGTATATCATCGATCATTTAACGAAAAAGGTGATACGATATGGTGATGATGACTAATTTGTCAAATTTTTTAAAAATATGAATCGTCTTTTTCTAGATATATAAGAGCTATGTAAATAAAGATAAAAATATCAAAATGATGTCATAAAAACCTATTCATATTTTATATACAAATTATTTAAAAATATAAAAAAGGTATAAGGTTATGAATTGGAAGGGAAAAAAAAACTCACTTGTACAGTTAATCCCACCATTCTGTAAATATTTTAAGCCCAAACAATATTATTTCCTTTTTCTATTTACTTCATTAAAGAGAAAAACTTATTCTAAGCGTATTAGTCTCATTCCATTATTTTCTCTATTGAAAATACTAATTGATTTTGATATACTGTTAATGATTGGAAACTTTTGCATTGTCTTTATTTTTAACGTCTTCTCATAAAACAATATATTTTAAATACTATTAATGCGTAACCCTTCACATCTTGTGTCTACTTTGAATGAGAAAAAAAACGGAATCGAAGAGAATTCAAGGAAAATTTTTATTTTCTGTTATTATATAAATGAAACAGAAAAATAGTAATTATTTTTTTATTTAATTGAAAATATTAATTGTATTAAACATTTTATAACAATAAGTAAGAAAATTAACAACAATGTGATTTTTCTCTTATCATCTTCTCTCCAATTAAGTGCATTTTTTTATTATTTTTTCTTTGTTTTATTTTCTCTTTAATCAATTATGCAATAAAATATACATTTTTTTTTCTATTCATTCTTTTAAAATCATACAGAAGGCAGAATTATAAAAACAGACTCACAAGTATGTCAAGGTAATTTCTTTAGTATTTTAAAGATTAATAAAACATTCCATGCCTTTTTATATATAAATTATTTATTATCATTAATATAATATTAAATATGTATAATAAATAACAAAGATCAACAGTTATCATAAAAAATATAAATATTTTTTTTATTTTTAAAATATTAAAATGATCATAATATATAAAATACCCCTTCGAAATTTATAAACATAACACGTTTGAAAGGCCAATTTATTGCCAAGTTGAATCTATGTATAATTGTTTGGAAGACTGATCTGAGTCGTGGACTCGGCACAAAAACGTGTTATTTACCATTAATGCTCAAAACATTAGTACAGTTAGATAGTTCTGGAGAGGGATTCACATCAATTAATTTAAATGATATGTCTTTTTTCTTTTAAAAAATACTAACTGGTAGTTTTAAAATATTATTTAAATAAATAAAAATTAAAACTTTTTAAGATAAATATTAATTATTTTTAGCGGTTTTAATGGGTAACTTGGCATATTATAGTAAAAATTTCATTTAATTTTTTTAACCAGGGTAATGAGATTCTTTCTTTTACGTAAAATGTGTATAGAAAAATCTGTTAAATTAAAAGAACTAATTTCACCACACTGTAAATAATTTAAATTCAAATAATATTATTTTATTTAAAAAAAAAGCGAGAGAGAAAATACTTTTAACACTTATCTAAATCTTTGTCAGCTTCTATTTAGACACGGAATTTTGTTCTCATCATTAGGAGTTTGAAAGGTTTTACCACTGGTTTCTCTGTGAGTGTTTGCCGCCTCCATTGTTTTCCAAAGTTTACCAACAAGTTTAAACACTTATTTATTTTTTTGGATAAGCACAAGCTTAGACAATTGATTGTAGTTAAGCACACGACATGCAGTTACCCTCGACTTGTTTACGCGGAGAAGAAGAAGACCAAAGAACGTGTTTGGTGAAGTGTTACTTTGTTTATTAAAATAGAAAATTTTGTCAATCGCACAATCACTAGTCATTTATGTTCTATATGATAATAATGGCCAACGTGACTTAAAAAAAAAAGCATTTAAACGCAACTTTTAAACGCTTTCTGGATAAATTATTTTAGTTTTTGAATTTTTACAAATCTTTCATTAATATTTGGCTTTACAAAATAACACAACTTTTATCTTATTTAACATTAAATAACAACAAGAACGAACTAAATTGAATGAAAGATTATTAAATAAAAAATGTTTAAAATTTAAAATACTAAAATATTATTTTTATATAATTTGAATGGTTAATTTATAACTTTTCGCTTTTAAAAACTACATGACCATAGTATATCTGTAAGATGCCGTACGCTATGCCTGATCCAGTTCGAAAGTGTCCAAAGTTGATAAAAAGTCTCGGTCAACATTTTTGTCGTTATTGAACAGTAATGTTTGTTTTTTGCATAAAAGAGAAAACAGTAATTTCGTCGAAAATATTATATTCAAAAACTCCAATATAGCTAATGTATAATTTATATTAAATAAATATTTAACTTATAAAATTTATTCAATATTAAAAACAATAATACAATTTCTCTTTAAATTTGTATCAAAAAGGTATTTTATAACTCATTTCATTCACAACCATACAATTTTTTTTTATAAAGTTGTTTCATTGACGACCATTGATAAATACATTTCATGGATAAAATGCTATATATAATTATAAATTAACAAATTATAATTTAAGGGACACTGTTAACAAAATTAAACAGTATTTAATCGGTTTCACGTATTTGGAATGTGTGCAGGTCTTTCGTGAAAATGACATTACTGACGTTGTTTTTTCTCCCCCAACTAATTTTGGAATTATTCGAGAGCATTGTCCAGCACTCCAATAGTTACACGTTTCAATTATTTATGTTTACATTAATAACATGTAATCAATAACTTAGAAATAAAAGTGAGTGTTTTGCATAATTATAAATTTAAGTTAAATAATACCATGTAAAAAAATATTATTTTTATAAAAATAAAAGATTAAATTATTAAAATTAAAAAAATAATTAATTAGTTAGATTTTTTATAAATATAAATTATATTTTAAAAATATTCATAATATTAAATGACGTATTAGTAACTATGATATAGTTAGAAAATTACTATCACAATCTTAATAAATTAATAATGTCATATTTTAATTTTTATGCGTGGAACAAGCTGGCCAATATTCTTTGCTAATTTTTCCATAAAAGTTAAAATATTTTCCAAATTTTTATCCTTTTTTCTCTGACATCCTGAATTGAGGTGGCGACGAGGAAAAGCTTAAAACGAACAAAACAAAACAGAGCGTAGGCGTGTCATGTGCAAGGCACAAGTGGCAGGTGGCAAGCACACTTGGCCCGCGCGCGTGAGGATCTGAATGAATATTGATTCTCCCCTCACAAATTTCGGATGTTTGTTTTGGGGTATTTGGATTTTCGAATGGACATAATTAGGAATGAATAAATTGAAGTGAAAAATTAAATAAAGTTTTATTTGAAAAATCTAAAAAAGTGAGAGAAAATAATTAGTGTTCGTGTGACAAACGAAAAATTAATTCCCCAAAACTGGGGAACTTAGAAGAGAAATCACATTTTTTTATTTTATTGTTAAATAAAATAAACAATATAAAGTAATAAAATAGTATTTTTATTTATATAATTTTTTATGATTTTTATAAATAATTTTTTATATAACTCTTTAATTTTTTTACTGATCTAAACTAACGAAAGAATAAAACAATTTTTTTAAACTCTATTTCACTTTTTTTATTCTTCTCCTAGCAAATAGGCCGTTGAGGTGTGTTTGATTTAATATTGAGTTGATAAAGTTACTTATAAAGTTATTAAATATAATTAAAATATGTATTTGCATTAATTTTAACTATAGAATTATTTGTAATGTCGAAAGAAAGAGTGGTACGCACGGGACATTTGCTAAAAAATATATTACGTTCAAATTTAAAATAACAGTTATTAATTATTCAGAATTATTCTAAAGTTTTAATTGACTTGTATTAAATATTTGAATATTATTGTAATTTTTTTTACTAATTAACTTAAAATATGTTATAGGTTTATGATGGGTTTGAGAGTTAAGTCGATCTTTCAAATTTTGAAATCTTCCTTTTTATCTTTAAATAAAGCATTATGGACAGTAATTTAATGTTTTTTGTTACATAATATTTGTTTTTCTACGAAAAAAACTCTAAACAACACATAACCAAATCTATTGTAAATATACGGCTATTAAAATTGTATTTAATATCAATAAATTGTTAACTTAAGATTTATTATATTATTTAACTATATATAAGCATGTTATTCAGGAAAAGATCTTTTAAACTATTTTTAAAATTAATTTTTTAATATATGCAAAAGAGTGTATTATGAGAATCTGTATATAATAAATTATAAAATATAATACAATTCAATGTATTAACACTATTAAATTCTATAAATTTTAATAAAAATATATTATTTATTGTTTTTAATCGTGTATCTTTTTATATAGGTTAGAAAAAACATTTTTAAAAACATCAGTATGCATTGTCATTATTTTAAATGTTTATAACAGTGTATTTTTTATATAAGAAAGTTTAAAAAAAAAGGGGAAAAATCGCGGTTTCTTAAGAATTTAGGAGCAGAACTAAAGAAAATTTCGTCAACTGCACGTTTTCTATGATAGAAAGGTTATTGTCACGACAGCTGGCAATGTCAATAAATCTGCGTCTCTCCCACCACAGCTCCCAACTCCGAAGAAGCCGAGATCCACTGCCCCATTCCCCACAGTAAAACCTTCACACTGCCCAATTGCATGACCCCACATAACGTTAGGAACGGGGTGCGCAGAATCTTCTGGTGAGGAAGCAGCACCGGATAAAACATCCCGTGGTGGAACTTACCGTGGCACTGCCACTAAGATGCCAATGATTGGGAAATTCTGATTTTGACATTAGGTTAAAATTTGAAAACATTATATAATAAAATAGATATAAAAACTAGGAACAAAGATGCGCCGCGAGTGTTGATATATATCTATCGGTATTTATCTCTCTGACTACGCTCTGCGTTGTTCGGAGAGTGAACCCTTTAAACAAAGATATATCATATGAAATTGAAAGAGCAAGAAGGGTTGTTTTGTGAGCAATTGGATTCTGAGAATCGCAGAAGAGCCATTTAAGGCTCTGAGATGTACCATACGTTATTCGGGATTGTGCTTTTTGGCGGCGAGATTCAGTGGGAGAAGGAGCGATAATTCCTCACTCAAATATTTTATCATTTATTTCCATTCTGCCACATTCAATTATACCCAGAAATAAGCATCATCTTGCAAATTCAATTCCATTGCATAGGCCACGGTAAAAGTCAAACTTGGAAATTTCCTAACCGTAGTTTGGAAAACTTCATTATTGCATCCTGAATTATTATCGTTTTCTTTCTGAAATTAAATGGTTGATTTTGAATTTTGATGTGTTGGGGACAGAGTCATGGAGACAACCTCGGAGGGGGAGGCTGTGTCCTCCGTGAAGTGCTATTGCTGCGGGTTAACGGAGGAGTGCACTCCACGTTACATTGATCGTGTGAGGGAGAGATACCAAGGTCGATGGATTTGTGGGCTGTGTGCTGAGGCAGTGAAGGAAGAGGCTTTGAAGGATGATAGCACCGATGAAGCACTCACGCGCCACATGAAGTTCAGATCTTCCACTTCTAGTCCACCCAAAAAACCTACCCTTGACTTGATCCTCGCAATGAAGCACCTTCTTTTTCGCTCTTTGGATTCTCCCAGGAAAGATCCTTTGACTTTTCGATCACTGGGTAGATCCCACAGCTGCTTTTCATCCATGTCAGCAACTTCCAAGGTGGAGACACAATCCGAGACTAGAATTGTACGAGGTAGAGAGACTAGAGAGGTCATAACCAGTGAATAATTAGCCTTGGCAATCTATGGGTCAAGGTTTGTTTATCTTGATTTAAGTTCAACTTCTGTTTCTCGGTGACGTTGTTGTTTAGGTTAATTAATTGGCTTTCTACTTTGTGAGTGGCATTTACGATTGAATGGATGATTTGGCAGGAGTGTTCCTTCCTTGACTTCAATCTAAATGTCACTTCTCTGTTTGATTCATTAGTGCAATGGCATTTCTCTTCTTTATTATCTCCATGGTGTACCCAATTCAACCTACGACATTTCTTTTAAATGTTTCAAGTTGCACAATCACATATATGTTGAAGGCTAAATGGTTATACAACTTCCCAATGGTTCATATTATATTCTGAAGGGGACATTGACAATTGCCAATCACAGCCACCCCTTTTAGCTTTAGTTTTCGAAACAGTTTAACAACTTACGATGATTCTTATACTATGAGCATCAAACATTTAAAAATGTCAAAATCAAAACATATAAAATTTGAACAATATTCTTTGAATTCTATTTATATCACGTCACCGATCTGCTGTATCCTTGCTTCTAGTGTGTCATACCTAGTTGAATTTACGAATTGCTGGATGCTCAGTGATATAAGCGTAGTAGCAGGAAACAATGAAAATGTATACTTTATTACGTCAAGCTGTTAATTAGCCTTACAAAATAGTTTAAGTCCCTCTATTGCTCCAAAGGCATGAAGGATTCTTCTGGCAAAACAACTAACCACAACTGTTCCTTTATATTTATGATATTTGTTCCCAAATCAATGTGGTGGCTACTTGGTTGTTTACTTATTTTGGGGTAGAAAAAGGTGATATGGAAAGATGGTAAATTCTAACTAGCCACCCAATTGCAAGAATTGGCGAGGCACGAGAAATATCTGCAGAGTCAGGGGTCCTTTGATAGTATGGTCTAGCCCATGAGAAAAGTAGTGTTTTATTAGGGGATGGATGATGGGGTCCATGTGCACAATGAATTTCAGAAAGTACATTTACTTTACAGGCCCACTACATACACAAGTTGGAAAGTGCCAGTCCTTTCTGATAAGGATAATCAAACCGTGAAATCTTATCTGTAGACTGTAGTCTAGTACATGCCGTTCTTTCTGTTTTGGTTTATGCATATTCATGCATACATACGGTACAATTCAGAAATTGAGTGGGGGTGATTCCAAATATATTTATCTTTTGTTGTGTTCTCCGTATTGATGAGCCCATGAATTTTGTTAGTCCTGTACTGCATAGATAGTGTTTGCTAGTGGAATATGCACTAACTAATAATGTCTTTGGCACATAAATGATTGCATTAGCATATATTTCATCCCCATTTTGATAAACAATGGACCCTTTTATTCTCTATCAAAAGAAAACAAAACAACTTTGATATCATATTAAAAGAAGAAGCCTTTAGCATCTGGGATGAAATGGAATATAACCAGAATTAAACTATTTTCTGATAGATATGATGGCTTTGTATATATTCCACATTCTACTGCTCACTCGAGGATGGCTCATGAAGTCATGCTTTTGGCCAATTGCATCATTATTGATTATTCCATCTGAGACGAACAATATGACAAAGACGGGTATTAATTACCCGCGACCAAAAATGTATTTGTCTGCTTAACATCCATTTATTTAATTAGTTAGATTTGGCTTTTCTAAAACTAGAAGTTGAATTTGAAAAACTAATTTTAGATTTATATTTGTTGATAAAAAATGTCTGTAAATAATAAATAATAAATTTAATTTAAATTCATGATTTGACATATTAGCAATAATTGTTCATGTTGTAATAATTAATATAAAAATTACAACTATGTTATATTTTAATTTTAATTAGTTGATAGTATAAAAAAGTTTATGTTGACAGTACACTAAAATGAAATTCGTAAATTATAGAATTATTTAAATTTATTCTTTTGATATTTAGTAAGTTGATATGATATAGTTCTTTACTTTTTCTCTTGAAAATCAACATATTACTTGAAAAGATCCAAACCGAGCTAATATTTGACATTTGTGTTGTAGAAAAATTGAATGTAACTTCTTTAAAGTCAAAGATTCATTTGAAAAGGAAAAATAGGGGGTTATAAGGATTGAAAAATAACATTGAAATGTAAACATTATATAAATATGTATATTTAATCAAACTTTAAACATTTTTTTTATTTAAATATATTTTTATTCTTTATATTTTAGTAAAATTTTAGTTTTAGTCCTTTTAAATAGTTTTTTCTAGTCCTACATTTTTATAAATTTTTATTTTGTCTCTAGTATGGTCAAATTAAAACCTATTGCATGATAGTATCTCAATGGATCAGATCAGTTTTAAAGAACAAAAACAAAAATTTAGAAAAAAATAAGAATTAAAATATTTTTAAAAAGACTAAAACTGAAGGATTAAAAATATATTTAAATATAATTTAAAAAAAATAAACTTAGATACAATATTATAAATATTTTTTTATTTTCTTTAATTAAAATTTTTTTGTCTCATTAATCAACATAAATAACTATTAACATTAAGTAAAGATATTTTACTAAATCATTGCGTAAACAGAACTTCTAACTTGGACCTAGATTCCTTGGAGTCGAAAACCGAAAAGCAGTTCTGTTTTCAATTGCATGGGATGCAGTTCACAATCTAACGGTTTCTAATTTTAAAACACACTTTTATGATCTCTTATTTAGTATAAAAATATTACTCTGAAGGGATGAGATTCGAGCAGCTAAAACTCAATGTGTCTCTCTACCCTTAGAAAATCACGGTCCGACCCAACACACACACTAAATTGAGTAATTTCTTTATTGTCTTGCAAATGGATTGAAATCACTTTTTGAGGGTTTTCTGTACCAATCGTTTTAGAAAATATTAAATTTTTTCAAAATTATAATTTCAGTAATAATATTGATATTATTTAATTTATAATTTTAAGGCGGCGCATTTACTTTTTTTTTTATTTCACTTAAAAAATCAAATGTCAATTGAATTATAAATTTATTAAACTTTTCTCTCGTAATGAATTATTACTAACAACTAAAATATTTCGTTTTTCTTTTACAATCTCAAGACACATTTTAGTTATTTTCTAATAAAATATTCGTTTTTTAATTCCTCACAAAATCATTAAAAACAAAATGATTGTTTTTATAACAATCATAAAAATAAATTTGTAAAAAAAATATATTATTTAAATAATTATAAATAATAAAAAGAACGTAAACCTCCCCTCCCCCTCAATTTCCCCCAAATTAGAATTTTGTTATAGGCCTCACACCATTTTAATCCCCTTCTCTTATTTTTATTTATTTTTCTCACAAACCTTTTTCTTTTTTTCTTAATTCTGTTTCCCCTCAATACACCCCGCTAAATAGTCATATAATGGAACATAACTTATTCAAATATGCACCTCATTGAACCATTAACTCAGAACTTTTAAGATAACTACCAAACGGATCATACCATATATGCTTTCGCTGTTTTGGATTTGGTACTGAGAGTCGACACGTAGTACCAATTAGTTCATATTGAAACGCTAGATATGTACTACCAATTTGGTTCATTTTCGAAATTCCGTAAATAACCTTGGAATGCGAACGAGGTGAAAATGGTAAAATAAAAAAAATATAGTAACCTTACTTAAAAAATTATTAAAAAAAATATTTATTATAAAAAAAGTGTGTGAGGGCATTTTTGGAATCATAGTCACTGCGTATCGTAAAGAGTACAACTACATAAGCATGACAAAGACCAACGACTCAAAGGGCATACCTATTTACCTGCATAGGGGTTGTCGTCGCCATTGAACTTCATCGTTCATCGTTTTTGGCTAAGCTTCGAAATTCAGAAATCTATAGCGAAGATGATGCACATGACCTTCTATTGGAGTCACCAAGTGACTCTCCTGATCGATTCATGGAAGACCCAGGATTGGATCGGTTACATCCTCACTTTGCTCGCATGCATCATCGTTTCTGTTTTCTATCAGTTTCTGGAGAATCGCCGTATTCGGTTAAAGCTGATCGGCATCGGAAAGCCCTTTCCGGCGGAGATCGAGACCCCTCTTCTGCGACGGAAGCTCGCCGGAAACGGTGCTAAGATGGGCGTGAAGGTGGCTGGAGCTTTTCTGTTTGGGTTGAGCTCGGCGATCGGGTACTTGTTGATGTTGTCCGTCATGTCCTTCAACGGTGGGGTCTTTGTGGCCATCGTTGTGGGTCTTGCTATTGGTTATTTCTTCTTCAGGAATGAGGGTGAAGATTCCATTGTCGTTGACACTTCTTGTGCCTGCGCTTAATTGCTTTTAAATCTTTCAGTTTTCTGTAACTTGTTCTTATTCTGTTCATTTTTAGTATTGTTATTATTTCCTGTTTTAATTTAGTCCTCTTGTTTATGTAATTTTGTGTATGTAATTGTAATTGTAATTCTAATCTATGTATGAGAAACATGGACGCTCAAATAAAAATTGTAATTGTAATTTTGTCTATTGTTGCATCCACAGTCACCACTTATGATAACCTGTGTTTGTACATATGTCACCTCAAACACCATTCACTTGTTACACCTCTCTATTTCTTACCAAAATTAAACGCAACTCTTCAATTACTTACATTCAAGACCATGTCTTACAAACTAAAATGACAAACACGTTTTTTTTTTTCCTTGTCTTTTTCTTGATAGTATTTTTGCTATCTGCTATACTTTTCTATACGTTGTTGTTGATGAGTTGGTGTTACCATAAGCATATGTTAATTTAACTATGGCTGTGACCAAAGCAGGATGGTAATGAATGAATTTCCTTCATAGGTATCCTGCAAGTACAGGATTCCTTCAGAGGCCACTTTCACTTACGGCCACATACACAAAGGGTCCTATGATCACATCGTCAAAATCCTGAAGTGACTCCAGTATCTTCACCACATCACTCATAGTGGGTCTGGGATTGGGGTTGTGGCTCAAGCATTTATAAGTCAATGCAGCAACTTTCATAGCTCCTTTCGTAGGAAATTGCCCTTCCAATCTTGGGTCTATAATATGATGCAGCCTTCTTTGATCTCTCAAAATAGGCCTTGCCCATTCCACCAGGCTGCGTTCTCTATTTGGCCGGGTCTTATCCACCACTCTTCTTCCTGTAAGCAATTCCAACAAAACTACTCCATAGCTATACACATCACTCTTGGTGGAAAGGTGACCTGAAATCAGTCAATGGGTTAACTTCAAACTAAAAAAAATCATTTGAGTTTAGTAAGACCATTGAACCTTGAAAATCAATCAAGTGACAATTTATGTTTGTAGCAAAAATAAAGTTGGTCAATGTTAGTGAATGATATCCTGTCTATACCTGACATGATGTACTCAGGAGCAGCATAGCCTCGTGTACCCATAATGCATTTTGTTGTTACATGTGTGTCTTCCCCTTCAGGACCATCCTTAGCTAGCCCAAGGTCTGATAGTTTAGCTGTGTAATCCTGTATTTATAAAAATAAAATAAATGATTACAAACTCAGTAGGAGATACAACATCATACTTCAGAGAAAATGTTGAACTTACCGAGTCTAGCAAGATATTTGAAGTTTTGAAATCCCTGTATATTACAGGTTTATCTGCTTCGTGAAGGAATGCCAGACCCTTAGCTGCGCCCAATGCAATCTTCATCCTGGTTGACCATGGTAAGGCAGCAGAGTATCCTGCTTGTATTAGAACAAAAAAGAAAAGAAAGCAGGCCTTAAGGCTTCGTTTTTATATAGTTTATGCAGCATAAATCATGCTATTGGTACCAATTTAACTTCCAAATACTTCCTCAAGTATGATGCTATTTCTCACCAGAATCCATATAAAACAAGTAGATTTGAATCAATTAGACGTGCTTAACAATAAAAAAACAGAATATCCAAATTATTTGATCGTCCAGCTATCTTGATTTTTTAATTTGATTGGACCGAGTTACTATAATCAGAAATACACTCAAAAGGAGATGACCCTGTGAGTTTCTATTCCATTTCACTCCTTTGATGGGGAAGAAAAGGGAGAGAGAGAGAAAAAGTAGAAAATCAAGAAAGACAACATACTTCTAAACAGTTGATTCTCCAAGCTGCCTCTTGCCATATGTTCATACACCAAAAGCCTGTGCTCCTCCTCACAACAGTACCCGATTAACTTAACAAGATGTGGATGCCTTAATTGTCCGAGAAATATAATCTCCGCCTACCAAAGAAAAATATGTGCCAAGCTAGTATTCAGATATTTGTGAACCATGTTTCATTATATTTTATTCACACGTGTAGCATTTTTTAAATTGATTTGCGACAAATTTTGTACTGGGGAGGGGGGGGGGGGTGGTGGTTGAAACCAAACAGAAAAAAAAAAAAACCATTCTTTAATATTTTAAAGGCGGTTCAGAATGCTAACCAGCCACTCCCTATGACCTTGCAAGCCATCCAAGTCCAATCGTTTCACAGCAACAGGCTGAGCCTTCAAGCCCGGTTTAAGCTTGTCATCAACAAAGCCCTTGTACACGGGTCCAAACCCACCTTCACCAAGCAGATTACTCCATGAGAAATTATGTGTTGCTTCTCTTAGCTCCTCAAGTGTGAATGTATAAAGCTTTGGACCAACAAGGGAAATGGAAAGATCTTCAATGACCCGAGTGGAGCTCGAAATGCTTACATCCGAGAGGCACACCCTTTGGAAAGAACCTTGTTTCAAAACCTGTTTTTCTGATTCCTGCAAGGGACATCTAGTCTTGTAACAACTTAAGATAAAGACAATGGACTTCCATGTAATCCTTTTAGAAGTCATCTAGAATCACTATGTGTATATGTATGTGCAATATGCTCCAACTAAAACACCTTTGCTCTTAAATCTAGAGGATTATAAAGACAACACAGAAGATGGCATAACTAAAAAAAGAAGGGAAAGGTGAGAAATTTATAGCACATACATTCTCCCAAGTCCTAACTACCCTTAGAAAAAATAACTTCTGCGGAGATTCCTTGACTTCTGGACCTCTTCAAAACGGACGCCACATTCCCACCGGAGTTATACTACATGCATGAATGATTTTTTTATTTTTTGTCACACATTTTTTAATATCATAATGATAATAGTTGTCATTGTCATATCTTCGATTAATTAAAGGTCAAGTAACTTGCCTACCTGTTGACTTCAAATGTTACTACCATACACTTCTCCAACCCCTTGCAAACATGTACACATCTCCATTTTGTCTCCTCTGCAATGCTGCCATCCACTATTTTTTTGTTTAGCAATTGATGAACATTCCAGGGAAGTTCCAAGAGATTGACATAATTTGCTAGGTGATAAACCAACAAGTCCATTATCGAATCTTTTGATGCACATTGGAGATTATTTATTCATTTATTTATTCAATTGATATTTCCCAGTTCTTGGTAGGTCATGCTTCTCTGTATTGTTATTGTTAAGATGTCAATTTCAAGCATAGCAGCCCGACAATCAGACTCTTCTTTGAAAATTTTAATGTGATTTTCGAGGATAGCTTCTAGAATAAGAATTACTATTACACTTGTTTTTTCTCTGACTATGAAATTGGTATTCATAGAGTTATAGTAAAACCATCAAATGTGCATGCACCTTTGTTTAGGCATAAGATTACAGAAACAGCAAACTATACAACCAAAGACTCCAAAAAGAGAGATAGCCTTCACTAAGGTCAAAGAGAAAGGTTGAACCAAACATCTAACCATCAACCACTTCCCCCCTTCTGAAAAATATGCCAAAACTCTACACAAGTTATCATTAGGCTAATCGTTGCATCATTCTTTGACAATTTAGCAGCCTTTCCACGCTTCAAGACCATAAATATGATTAAAATAAGAAGGAAAAAAATGCTTTTATAAATTAATAATGTAAAGTTCACTACTTGTGTTCAGTAGGATAGATACATTAGCTTTGTAAAAAATTCAACAGACCCGCCAGAGTTCAGATATCACATTTTACTAATGACATATCAGAATTCTCTCACGCAAAAAATATGAAAAGAGTGCGAATAATCAGAGTTCCTTAGAGAAAACAATTTGAGATATATTATCAATAGTTGGTATTTGATGGCTTAGGATTAAAAAAGAAAAGACTAGGAAAAATGTGATTTTAGAGTGATATAACAAGAATATTATAGTGCCACTATCCATGTTTGAGATATATTATCAACAGTTGGTATTTGATGGCTTAGGATAAAAAAAGAAAACACTGGGAAAAAGATGTGATTTTAGAGTGATCTAACAAGAATTTAGAGTGCCCCTATCCGTATTTATTTTATTCCAAACCAAAAACATTTTAGCTTTCGTACAAATAAAGCAAAAATTACTTACTTCAGTTGCAACTTGCAAGCACTAACGGAACAAGTAGAAAAATCTAAAACGTGACCATATTTGAAAGCCTCCCCCTAAAGAACTAAAAAGATAGCCATCAAATCAAAATTAAATTGATAAATCAAAGGGATAAGAAAATTGTCTCAATCTATTAGAATACTTAGCGTGCTTGGGTCTATAGAGGTCGTTATCAGCATAGTGAGGTGTATTGAGGATTGTGGTAGGTGAAGTTAAAAAGTTGAAATCAAACGTTCGCGCTCTCTCCCCATAGTCCTCACCCAACTTGCACCACTGAAGTACGCAAGGCAGCGTGCATGTCATGCTATGGCAATGCAACTTCTAAGTAAAAGTGTTGGATGCATGCCACATGTTTTCTTTGATTCGGGTGTTTCATCATTTTCCCGCAACAAAAATAGTGAAGTTCAATGATTGCAACAGGAAATATGTGAGGACACATTAAAATCAAAATTGGGCTCTTTCTCTCTACGAGACCAATATGAAAAACTTATCATTTTTCAAATGGTGGGGTGGAAATTAAGGGATTGACAAAAAAAAAAAAAACTTCATCATGAGTTCCACATTTCTCTCGAACCATTTCCAAGGTTTTAGGTAACTTTTTTTTTGTTTAAACCGCCCTTATAGACAATAAAATTATTCCTCTAACGGTGTTTACTAAGATTTGAACTTAAAATTACAAGTTAAACTGTAAGAACTTCTACCCGTTACTCCACATGTTCGGTGTTTTAGGTAACTTTTGCTTCATGAGTTGAGAATTAAGATAGTGTCAATTTGTGTGCGTCTTTTCTTTTCTGTTGTTTGAAATCAACATATTCCATATACATGAGTTTTTTTTACTTTTCTATTGTTTGATCTGGACACTAATACTAACTAGACATTTCTTAGGGGCCAGCTTCTATATGGGCCGTTTCCTTATGGACCATAATAGAAGTAAATGAGCCCGACGCTAAGAAAAAGAAAAAACTAAAAAATCATCGTAGAGGCTACGTAGACCAAAACAAACGAAAAAGTCCGAAAGAAATCAATGCAGAGTCCATTAAAGCTAGTGGTCCAATAAAAAAGAAGGAGATAATCCGAAAAAATAAAGGAACAAAGGAAGGTATATTTGCTTTGTGGTCTCCGGTAGAAAAAGTAGCTACTCACTGATCAGATCATTAATTAGGATTTCTTTTTTAACCTATCAACATTGGTGAATAAAAAAGTTCAAAAAAATATCTAATTAAAATTTGTTAAAATTAATGAATGAAAGGTAATAGAAAATGAATTTCACATAAAGCGAGCGAAATAGGTTATAGAGCAAAGCGAGTCAAAACTTACTTTAAGTCAAACCTAACTCAAAGGCCGAATGAACAGATGTAATTACAAATGACGTCCATACTCCATCTGTTCTTTTTTGTTTTTAATAAAATATTTGAATAATTAATTTATTAAGATCACTGAAAAATAGTTAAATATTTTCAACGAGTTTATGTTTTATTCACCGTAACTGATTCAATGAGTATAAAGATTTGTATATTATTAATTAATTAAAATATATAATATATGACTTTTTATATTAATTATTACCAAAGCTATAACAGTAATTTATTATTAAATTAACATTGTAATTCATTACAATTAAATTCATCATAACTTTATAGAATGTTTTAAAAATATTTACTATAATAAATAGTCAAATTGGTGACTTATATTTTAAATAAATAAATGTAATTACTCATATAAATAATGAGTAAGTGTCCTGTTATATATATTTTATAAAAAATAAGAAATAAAAAGTAACAATTAATATATTTTAAAATAAACATTTATTTTTAATGTTAAAAATTATTGTTTTTATAAATAAAACGGAAAAAACCATATCTATTTTGTAGGTTGAGACATTGTACGATAAAATAGCGATCGGAGATGAAAAAAAGAGTTTAACATTATTTTACGTTGAATTATACTTTCATTTAAGTATTAATAAAAATTGGCTGATCTGAATCCATATTTGAACGATTGATTGGATCTTACTTTAATTGAAACATATTTAAACTTAATTCAAATCTTCGTGGCCTCTCTGTACATTGACTATTATTCACACTTGAAAGGGTTCGGTGAAGGATTTTCCGCAGTGGGTCACCCTCGTCTCCCGCGATGACACCACCACTCTCCCCAACCAGTTTCTACACTCTCCACCGTCCAATAATTCATCTTACAATTGTCATAATTTAGGCTAATTACTAATCACCAAGAATAATAATCTTTTTTGGTAGCGTGTAGACCTTAATGAACGTATAAAGATAACTATCCCCAACAAATTAAACAGTCCGCAAACTTAAGACACAAGACACAGTTTTTATTTTCCGTGTCTTGATCGTTAATTACAAGAATTCAAGAATGCCAATTGTTTTAGTCACAGGTAGTTAAATCGAGCGAGAAACGAACGCAGTATCTGGATCCGTAAAATTATCTTTTTAGTCCAAAGCGACAATTGAATTCTTTACCTTATTTTCACACAACACGATCTTTACGAGCTTCTCCTAATAAATTGAATGAGTCACACTCACACGCTCACACCCCTCAACTCCTCTTGAATGACATTTATGAATTACTATATAAGTAACCTCTGATGTGAGATTTTTCACAAATCAGAGGAATTGAAAATGCTTCCGTCGTTTTTGAGCCTCACTTCTCTATACGCCAATTACCTTCGGCGCTGTTTCACCGGCGCGGGTCTATCATCGCAAACGGTGAACGTGGATCCCGAAACGACGGTTCACTTTTGGGGTCCAACAAAGCAAACCACAGGAAAACCTTCCCTGGTTCTGATCCACGGATTCGGACCAGCGGCAATTTGGCAATGGCGTCAACAGGTGAAGTTCTTGGCACCTCACTTCAACGTGTACGTTCCAGACCTAATATTCTTCGGAGAATCGACGACGAAGTCGAGCGAGAGGAGCGAGAAGTTTCAGGCGGCGTCGGTGGGGAAACTGTTGGACAGGTTGGAGGTGAAGAGGTGTCACGTGATTGGCACGAGCTACGGTGGGATGGTGGCTTACAGTTTGGCGAAGATGTTGGGGGAAGAGAGGGTTGAGAAAGTGGTGATTGCGAGTTCAGGTGTGAACATGACGAGAAGTAGCAACGTTGCTTTGGTTCAGAGGTCTGAATTGGAGAAGATTGAAGATCTCATGTTGCCTACTAAGCCCCAACAATTGCGCAAATTGCTGTCACTGTCCGTTTACAAACCTCCCCAAATTCTTCCTGATTTTTTCCTCAGAGATTTCATTCATGTAAGTTTCTTTCTCCTTTTTCGTTTTTCAGTTTTTGTTTATGCCAATTTTCTTTTATTCAATTTATTAATATCTGTATATTTTTTTAAATATTATTTTTTTGTCGTATCAAATAATTTTTTTATATTATGTATTTATTATTTTAATTTTTTATATCTATGTTAATTTATATGTATATAATTAATTTATAAAATAAATGCTTTGACTTAATAAAAAAACAGATCAACCATAAAGGACATTAAAAAATATGTTTAAAAATGCACCTTACTAACATTTGTTTGTTTTAAAAGTGAATTTGAAGTTAATTAAACCACCATTGAAAGCCCGGGTCTGCAGCAGGAGCAGGTGTTCTGGTTTGAAAGTAAGATGGATAGTGTGGATAAATATAAATATTAGGACCAATATTATAGTATAAATATGCACATTTTATATCAAGGTTCACCTAATGATATGCATATACTCGTGGGTGATTGTTTGGTTTATATAAAATTTTCTCCTCTGCTTTGTTTCATGGCCTTGCCAATGCCAACACAACTAATTTTAATAGAGAATGTGAGGAACATAACAATTTTTTAAAAAATTAGAAGAGTATTAAAAATAAGAATTGTTTATTTGTCCTTAATAGATTGCTTTTATGACTCGCAGAAATTATACGCAGAACATAGAAAGGAAAAGATGGAGCTTCTAAAAGGGATATCCATCGGAAGGGATGATACTTCAAAAATTTCACCTCTTCAGCAGGTAACTGTGTATCCATAAACTCATACTTACAAGCATATACTTCAGAAGTTATAAGCACATATGCCTCAATATTTACAAATTAATAAATAAAATATATTCCATTTTACAATGGCTGATTCAATTTAATCATACTCAGGAGGTTCTCATTGTCTGGGGAGAACAAGACCGGATATTTCCTGTGCAATTGGCTCGTGAACTGAAAGAGTATGTTTCCAACTGTGTGTGTCTTTTCTTAATTAAAAAACTTACTTTTTTCTTCTATGTTCCAAAATCCAAATGACATTTAAATGTTTTCTCTCTCTCCTCTCTGAGGTATTGGTATTGAGCCATAAACATACATGTATGACTAATTAATGCCTTCTAATTAACGTATTGCAGGGTAATTAGTGAGAAGACAAGATTGGAATTGATAACGGAGGCATCCCATGTGCCTCAACTGGAAAAACCAGGAGAATTCAACAACATTGTTCTAAATTTCTTACAAGCGCGTTCTTGATTATTTTTTATGAGCACTTCCGGTAGACATTAAACATTAATGATATTTCGTCTACATCATAATTTTTGTAAAGATATTACCATTCTGAAGATTTAGCTTTTGATTAAAAATAATTAATGCTATTTATTAGGATTTTGGACAAATGTTAACAACAGTGTGCATGGTACTGACTTATGTGGTGATTAAATTCCGGAGTGCTTGTAAAATACACATACACGCACATATATATATATATATATATATATATATATATATATATATATATATATATATATATATATATATATATATAGAAAGATGATCCCATTGCGTGCCTCATTAGTCATTTCATAAGTTCGAAACACTAATTTCTCTTGAATAGATTAAATTGGTTATTCCATGTTTCATAAAATCATATTCAAATTTACTTGTCTGTCATGTTGTTGATTTTATAAAATAAAAAATATTATGATTAAGAAAAATTCACATACTAAAATCCTAGTTTTTTTTCCCCTCCTCAACTTGATATATTCATCTCTTCAATATCATGTACAACGTATTAGGGTATTTAACCATCCCAACTTAAATCAAACAAAAATTAACAAGTTCATTTGAATAAATTAAATATAATTAAATTTCAAAATAACAGACATGATCACTTTTAGACCGATATATTATGGATTCAAACTAATCTAATTATAAATAAACTTTTAAAATTTTAATTTCATATTTTGACACGTATATCTTAAAAAAATATATTTCAATATTTATCTTAAATGTTAAAAATAGTAATACAATATTATTTATATCCTTACTCTGTAACATGTAATGATATTAAAATATACAATAACAAGCTATTATAATTTTATCATATTTTATTATCATTCAACTTTTATATTTTATTATTATTTTTATCTTATCATATGCATCAAACCGACTCTTAAAGGCATGAATGCGAGTGAACTCGAGGACCCTTTAATTTGCCTTCTACCTGCCTTATCTTTGTTTGAGTTCATACAATCTACTAAACCCTTGCACGAAACTTTGATGCTGCTGGCAAGTGGTGACTTAATTTTCTAGAAGAGGTTTTTCCCATGTACGTTTTGACCAGAACATTTTTATTTTTATTTTACAAGAAAACGGGACTAAAGCTCAAATGAAAAAAAGAAGAAGAAGAATTACATCATAGTTATTTGGGGAGTAGATACTCCCATACTAAAAAAAGGTGTGTCGTAAAGACCAAAATTAATACTATGCTCACATCTCACTTTTTCTTAGAATGTCAGCACATTTATTTTTACCTAAATATATTTCTAAACTGATTTATTCACTGTGAACCCAAGAGCTCCGAACTGATACCTTCGACCCACATTTATCAAGCTATTTTAAGCTAACGTATATATGAATCAAATGCTGCTTAAAACTTAGATTAGTTCAAGTCGATCTAATAACTGTTCACTTTATAAACAAAGGAAAGATCGTTTTGTTTGTTGATTATAGGTCATTTGAAATTAGAGGAAGAACGTGGGGTGCATTCTCATTCGCCAAATTCATCTTTTGTTTCCTCTTCACATTATCAAATCTTGTTATCACCGCATGCTAAGAATAGTAATGTTGGTAAATTGGGTTCAAAAGGGAGGTTGGAAAATCTCTACGCAAAAAAAAAAAAAACAAAGGCTTTCCATCCCCATCTTTTTTTGGTCTTTCACCCCTTAAAAACCAGCTTCCTCACTTTTCCCGCCATCACAAACACCAAGATAAAAACCATACAACGAAATCAAAGCAACAGTTACTACTTCTTAATTGGTTCCTTTGGAAACAAATTGAAACAACTTTCCAACAATCAACATAACTGGGGCTCTCTACATTTCTTTATAAACTCTCCAATCCCGAGTTACCTCTCACAAACACCTCACTCTATCTTTCCACCACTTTCAGAGTTTAATTTTAAATTATTGGGTTGATGGATACTAAACAAGTATATTGGGCCATCATTGTAGCATGGCTTACTTTGTTTGAAGGAAAAATGATGCTTGTTAAAGGCGATCTTGATTATAAAGAGGCTCTCACCAAGTCCCTTATATTCCTAGAGGCACAACGTTCAGGGAAGCTCCCTCCAAATAACAGGGTGCCTTGGCGAGGAGACTCGGCACTTGATGATGGAAAACTCGCTCATGTCTCTTTCTAATCTTTTTTCTTTCTGTTTTTGTTAACATCATTTTAAGCGCAGAATTTGAAATGGTATTTTTTTTTATCATAAGGATATCAATCTCAAATTTTAACTTAATGATAAAATAAATATATATTAATAAAACTTTTATATCTTTAATTTAATATTTTTTTTTTAAAATTACTATTTTTATATGCTTAAATTCTGTCTTAAAGTAGAAGTAGTAAATAATTTTTAATAATTAATAATTTTTTTATCACATTATATGCTTAAAATTAATCTGATGTTGATGTATATATATTTTTTCAAAAACACACACACACACACACAAGATAATAGAACATAAAAAATGAACAATTTGGGCTGATATATAATTGTATGTGCATGTAGGTGGACCTTGCTGGGGGATACTATGATGCAGGGGATAATGTCAAATATGGGCTTCCCATGGCTTTCACTGTTACAACGCTAGCATGGAGTGCAATGTTTTACAAGTCTGAATTTGAAGCTGCAAAGGAATTAAGAAATATTGAGGACGCCATTCGCTGGGGTACTGATTATTTTATAAAAGCTAGTTCTCGACACAAAAGATTATATGTGCAGGTGCTGCCATTCTTCTCGTGGCAAACAATTTCGCCTTTTTGTTTTTTATTAATATACTTCATTTATTTTATCATAAAAATAAATTTTTTTTTTAAATATCATAAAAATACACATAGGTAGGGGACCCAGAAGAAGATCACCACTGTTGGGTTCCGCCAGAATATATGAAGACAAAAAGAACGGTTTTGAAGATTGATAGTAACACGCCCGGGACTGAGATCGCAGCAGAAACTGCAGCTGCAATGGCTGCTTCTTCCATTGTTTTTAGGCAATCAGATCGTAAATATGCACGTCGTCTTCTCAACAAAGCTAAATTGGTAAGTTCATGTACATGCATGAAATGTTTATGATATGTCTTCCTTCTCTTTGTGCCATGCAAATTTGATAGCTTATTTTTCTCTCTCCCACTTTTTTGTAGCTTTTCCAATTGGCGAAATCGCATAAAGGAACCTTCGATGGAGAGTGTCCCTTCTATTGCTCTTATTCCGGCTATCAAGTAATTTATTACCCCTATAAACTTTAACTTTTATATCTCTAATTATTAGAACTTATGTTCAAGGCATGTCGGAAAGTGCATAAGAATGAGTTAGTGAACTTTTTGGCGTGAGAGGATTATTTCTCCAATTTCTTTTTTACATTCCTTTATTTTACTTGCAATTGATGGGGATTTTTTCCCCAAAACTAATATGATGTTGGTGGGATGCAGGATGAACTGATGTGGGCAGCAACTTGGCTATACTTGGCTACAAGGAAGTCTATGTATTTGAAATATGTAAAAGAAGAATCCATAAGTGCTGGTGTAGCGGAATTTAGTTGGGACCTTAAATATGCTGGAACACAAACCCTTCTCACCCAGGTTTCCTATCATCATTATTACTCTTCTTCCTCTCATTTTCGGTTTTGCATTGGTCCCCTAACTCATAATTAACAAATGATATTGTTGCTCAGTTACATTTTGAAGGTGAAAAGGATCTAGAAACGTTCAAAAACCACGGCGAAAGTTTCATATGCTCTGTCCTTCCCGAGAGTCCCTACCACCAGATTAAATTGACTCCTGGTTGATACTCTCTTCCCTTATTTTTACAACCTAGCCGGAATATTTATACATATATAACACCTTACATATATTTGCTAACATTTATAATTTTGTAGGTGGCTTTATTCATTTGAGAGATGGAGCCAACACACAATATGCCACCAGCACGGCTTTCTTGTTCGTTGTATATAGTGATTTGTTAGCCAATCATAAACAGAAAATCACTTGTGGAGACAAACAATTTAGCTCGTCCCATCTCCTTTCTTTTGCTAAGAAACAAGTTAGTATATACAACTATACATTATATATCATACATTAATTATTATATATATACATCTTCATAACCAACAATAAGGATATATATATATATATATATATATATATATATATATATATATATATATAGAAACTAATTGATTGATTAATTGGATGGTAAAATTGGCACAGATGGATTACATACTTGGGAAAAACCCTGAAGGAAGATCGTACATGGTAGGATTTGGCAAAAACCCACCAACGCAAGCTCACCATAGAGGCGCTTCTGTGGAAAAGGTGGATAAGGGGGAGGAGTTCAATTGTGCCTTGAGCTTCTCTAAATGGTTTCAAAAAGATGAACCTAACCCACATGAACTCACTGGTGCCATTGTGGGTGGACCTGACCGCAACGACAAGTTCAACGATAAACGCTGGGATTCACCCAAGACTGAACCATGCACATACGTTAATTCCTTAGCAGCTGGAGCTCTAGCCAAGCTTGCATCTTTGGGTTGATTAACCTCTACGTTTCAAAATTGGTATATAGATTGCACACATGGAACGGGACTTGCTTTTGTTAGTCTCTTATCTTACATGCTTAATTAGTGGGTCGGTGTTTATTTAGCACATATGATTTAATTAGGTTCGAAGATGTAATCTTGCTCGTAAATATATGAACTACAGGATGTAAACCCGTTAGCAACTTCATTTTAACTTAATAATATTAGATTAACCTCTTGCTATTAAATTATTTTTAAACGAGTATGGGAATCAAATCGTTCCCGTTTATAATAATTTACTTTACAGGATGCATAAAAAATTATCGAATAATGATATATATTCCTATGTTCTTTCTTGGAATTTGAGTTGGGTATACAAAAGAGATAGATGGAAGGAAAATAAAGAAGGAAAAAAATGGTATATAATATAATAAAACAGTAAGAGAGAAAAAGAGAAAAAAATTCATTTATATAAATAATGAAGAAATTTTTTATTGATATAAATTTGATAATAAATAATATAAAATAAATTTAATAAATAGTATATTTAAAAATAAAATTTTATTTTTGAAAATTTTAAAATAATATTTTTTTATTAAAAGTTTCAAGAAAAGTATTTGAAAGTAAATTTTAAAATTCATATAAAAATTTTTAAGTAACCATTGATTCATATTTAATACAATATACTATTTATTGTATATTAGCTTAATTAAACATTGATGAAAAATGTATTTTAAAATTTTATTCACATTTTAAGAATATAAATAGATAATTTTTAACGTCTATCTAAAGACGTATGATAAAATTTTATATTGAATAAATTTTTATTTAATGTAATAATTTAATGTACTAATATTAAATATTATATTTTTTTAATAGCAAAAAAAATATTATATTTTTTTTTTTTTATTTTCTATTGTTAGTTACTTATGGAAAAAAACAGAAAATCCTGAAAATTGGTGAACAAGGTGTGGGGTGAGAAGAAAAACTGCTAAGGAAGCAAAATTAGACAAATGGCTGTTTATGGGAATGCGCACTTAACTTTTTCTTCAATTCCAAAAATGGGTCTCACCTTTCTGGATAAGCTTAACCTTACACCTATCCACTCCACGTCCTTCCTATAATATTTTTTTTAAGTTATTCTTTTTATTTTATACTAGATCTTTATGCAATATTTTCATTTATTTGAAATTTTTTATTAATTTAAAATATTATTATCTACTAATTGAAATTTTGATATATACCAAAAAATTTAATTATACATATTAAATTATTTATTTTCAGCCCTTAAAGTATCTTTAAATTTGTTTGTGTACACGTGTTAAATCTCAAAATTAATGATAAATTATGGACATTTAAATAATTTAATTAAATATTTATTTAGTATTTTTTTTATCATGTGAAGACTTGTGATTTAGAATTCATAAATACTTAATGTTAAATAAAACTTACTTTTAATAGGTTATAGCAACAAGTTTATTAGAATAAAAAAATTATAATTTTTTATAGTTTTTTTTTTTTAATAAATTCTTCCGATCACCTTATTTAATGTATGATATTTCTTTTGATATTTTGTATAACTTACTATATTTTATTGTTTATCTTATCGTATAAGTTAAGGCATTGGCATCAAACAAAGCAATAATAGTTAATCTCGTATTGTAATCCCTTTTTTTAGTTACTAAAACTTCTAAGAAAGAGAAGGGGTTGTCTCGTTCAACAATGACATTGGCAAGCGCTAACGTTTGAATATTATGAATTATTTATACCGAAAATTTTAAGATATCTTTTTTCTAAACAATTTTTTTTATTCTATACTATATTTTGTGAATTTGAATAGTTGCTTTAGCCATAAAATATTTTTGACTTGCAAGATTGAACTAACGATGAAATAAATGGTTATCGCTCAAATCCAAACTTATGAACAACATATTGCCAAAATGTTGTGCTTGTGACAAGGGTTTTGAATTTTGATGGTCTCTAATAATTTTTATATCATAAATTTAAATATGTGACTTTATTCTACAACTACAAATATATTAATTATTTTAAAATTTTCTTGTCACGCATAATTTACATTTTAAATTTCAGTCACTTACACTTTCATATTAATTTTTTTCAATTTTACTCTTTCCTCTTAAATCCAATATAGTTATATTTTGTACTTATTTAATTAAGTTAATTAGGTATATTTATGTGATAAATTTTTGTTTTTATTTTTATTTAAATTGAGAAATATTCATACAACACGCAAAATATATTATCTTAATATGTTCAACTTTAAATTATTTATATCTCGAAATGGGTGAATGTAGATGCCATAAAATAGCAAAGGAGCAGTTCGACTACTTTCGATTTCTACAGTTACAACGCTAAACGCTATAATCAGAACAAAGATACAAAAAAAACATAACTCCTTCCAAACGAAAAAAATGTAAGCAAAATAAAATGAAAAAGAAGATATTTACCATTTGTTAAACTAAGTAATCCTCTACCATGCACCTGAATCTATAAGAGTTTGTTGTAGTTTAATATATAATTTTGAATTTGAGTATAGATGAACACAATTATATTAAATATTCAATTTCTTTTATCGTTCACATTAATTTTGTTTGACTTAAACTGAATTATCTCATGTGAAAGATATCTATATTAAAAAAATAAAAAGTAAATTAACCCTTTTTATCAGTCATCAATTTTTTAAAATAATAGAACCAGTTGACAACTGGCCTTATCCCAATTTATCACATCCCTAATACATGTAATTAAAAGTTGGTGTTATGCAAAATCAACCCGATTACTGGTTTTTACCTTTGCAAGGTTGGTTGCTAGAAAGCAATTTTTTTTACCATGATAAAATTCTGTTCGATATGTCTTGAAAATTGAAATTCACTCTCCAAACTTGATTTCACTTGTTACAACAATGGGCTAGAAGTTCGTTAGTCAAATTTAACAAAAGAATATTTTATTAAAAGTAAAAAAAAATTAAAGACTTATGATAAAATTTAGCTACGCTAAATATTATTTTTTAAAATAAAAAATTTATTATATTAAATATACTTTTTGTAAAATTTTTAATTTTTAATTTCTTAATTGGTATCTGTTAAAAATACTTGTTAACGTTTCTTAAAAATATTTATCATATTAATTTTTTAATATGTGTTTATAAATGCATAACCAAAAAGTTAAAATAAAAATTTCAGTGAAAAAATATTTTATATTTTATAAAATAGCATAAAATTATAAATAATATTTATTTAATATTTTAATATTATTTTTTATTGATATATAGTAAAATATTCATATTAAGAATATGAAAATTATTTAAATAATTTTAAGAGATTTGTTAAGAAAAGCATGAAGACGTTTTTCTCTATCGGATGAGGATGCTTCCGGGTTTTGGGATTAGTTTAACGAAAGAGATTACTTTTTCATCGTTTTTTTTTTACTATTTAACCATATTTTTTTTATTATAATTTTGAAAATTTAATTTTTAAAATGCGTTTAATACTTTTTGAAAACTAAATTTTAAAAGTAATTTATGAATTTTTAAAAAAATAATTTAAAAATAATTAAATTAAAATGTAAAAATTATTTTCATAATTTAAAATTTAGAAAATACTGAATACGCTTTTGAAAATTAAAAATTAAAATTCATAAAAAAAGAACAAATAATACTCCCTCTCGTGTAACTAAATAAAAGTAAAAGAAATAGATTGGTTTGAAAAAGAAAAGGGTAGTGCGGTATATTGTTGGATACTTTATCCATTAAATTAAAATAAATAAGAATGAAAAGAAAATGAAACACAAAAATTATAAATAAGGAAACAAATGAAGGAAGGGGAGAATGTGTTGAGTGTTCTTTCTCTGTGATATTGGAAAATGTTGGTGGGGATGGAAGCGTGGGAGTCTATAGAGGAGGAGGAGCAGTGGTCATCTTCAATCACGTCGGAGACAGAGAGCGGTGACAATGAGTCTCACCATCACCAACCTTTGGACACCCTCCAACACCTTCTGCCCATTAAGTAACTCTTTACTTTTACTTACATTCATTTTCTACTTATATAACCTTACAACTCGAGGATGTTGCAAGCTATTTAATTGGAAGTGACGAGATGAAGAAATTGACAGGAGCGGCATATCAAAGTTCTATGATGGCAAGTCCAAGTCCTTTACGAGTCTGGCGGATGCTTCTTCTTACCAATCTATCAAAGACATTGCAAAGCCAGAGAATGCTTACAGCAGTAGGCGTAGAAATTTGATGGCCTTGAAGGAAAAGACTCGAGACTTCCCTTTAAGAAGCAACAAGGGTGCTATTTCTAAGAGAATAATAAGCTCCACCCCAAGCACTGTGCCTCTTGCTTATGCCATCAATTATGACAGCACCAGTAGTTGTACAAGCGAGGATTCAACTTCAAGCTCGAATCCGAGGTCGCCCCTGCCAAGTGCAAGTGCCACTACTGCAACTATAAAGATGCCGAGCTCCTCCCTCGGCAATGAAGCACCGCATTCATCATCATAGTAAACTAAATAACCCAACAATCTTCTCAACTGCAGAAGAAACCGATGGTACGTATTCAAATATGATCTTAGGTTTGTCATCGTAGGATAGGATATGACAGGTCAGGCGAGCACTAACTCCTCCCCTTTCGGTTTTAATACTTTTGAAGTTCTAAATGATATCATAATAAGGTGGTTGTTGCAAGTCATCTACTGGACTCCCTTATAAATGTTATAATCCGCCACGCAGCTGGATCCCCCGTAAGTTGCTCACAAAATTTATCCAAACGTTTGCAGGAACCAACTCGATCCAGGTTGCTTTCGAGTTCTCGAAATATTAAGTCGAGGCAGAAAAAACTCTGCTAATCCGGATGCTTAAAGGAAAAACTTTGTCATCAAATGAAGTTGGTTAACACGCATCATACTTCGTTGCAACGGCATGCTCATCATTGAAATTTCTCGCCTTACCCAAGACTGAAAAAACGAAATATTTGGTCTACGTATCCTTGATAATATTCAATTGCGGTGGGGCTTGCGTGGATCTTGGAATATGGTAGAATAATGTAAACAAACAAGGGGGTAAAAAGGCGAGCGATTGTCTGCCTTCTAATAGCCGGCAATACCGTGCGACACATCCCGTAAGGCTGATCTTCCAAGTTTTCAGACAAAGGAAACATCTTCAGTACTACGCTGTTGTAGGATTCTATCACGTAACAATCCATGAAATAAATGATGCTCTGATTACAACTAAATTAAAAAGAAAATCACAGTTGTAACTCGGAAGGTAAAGTATTTTTACATCAATGAATAGAACATTTAATTTCTTTAGGGAATGCTCTGATTACAATTGCATACCTACATAAAATACAACGCAACTCTGATAAATACACGTGAGAAGGTACGCTGCATGATAATAGAAGCAGCGCGTCAAGCCTATCTATTCCTGGATAATTACAAATTGCCGGTTTAGCAGAGCAGTGTAATTTTAGGTAATTTTAGGGAGAAATTACAAATCAAACCAATAGAATCATTCTTCCGTCTCCGATCTGTAATTGATATCATGATTAGCAAATATATTGGGCGATGAATAATCTGATGACAACTAAGATTGCTTTCCACGAGAATGTAAACATTTCCCACCAGGTTGCGTCGCCATAATTCCAGAGATCAAATATTGAAGGTAGGCTTCAAAGATCTTCCGATTGTAGATAATTTACTAATCATGCACAGTAAGAAACTGGGCACAAGGATATTCACACAAAAATGCTGGTAGGTCAATATCATCAGTATTTATAGCGGGGATTGCCTTATCTATGTCTTCAGCAGAAAAAGGAATGCTGCACCAAGAATTGAAGGTTAATGCAAATGAGATCCCCAAATACAGGTCCTATGAAAACAATTTACAGCAGCATCGAAAACCCTACAAATCAGTGACAATGTGCCAAATGTAGTTCGTTTTGTCATCATACAGAAATGTAACGAAGAACCCAAAGTAGAATTAAGAAGTATGCAATGAAATTTAATTTTTAAACCCAGACATGCTACATGACATAATCAAATTAAGCCACAAGATTTAGCTTTGTTTCAGAATTAGAAAAAAGGGTAAACAGGTAGAAATTTATAAGAAAAAACACCTTGGCAGCCAAATTTGCTTTGCAGTAAGGAAATAAGATCACCAATCACTTGTTAAAAATGCTACAAGGAACTGAAAAGAACTCTGATGGGGGACAGGAAAGTACCTCATATCATCATCCAACAAGAACGAATTAGAGGTCAAATTCTGATTATCCTTGCTCACAATTTCCCTCATTTCACCAACTACCTGTTCACATATACAGTTATTCCAATGAAACCACAATCATAATAGTACTTCAAATAATTTTAAAACACAACTTGCCTCATTGGACACGCTCTGGGTTCCGTACTTGTCATCCCAGTACATAGTACTGATGCGATAAATTTGCCTTACAGTTAATGCCTGTTTAGGAAATGAACTAGCAACTGATTAGCCTTCCTTTAATTTGTAGAGCTTCAGCCAAAAGTACACGGGAATATTGAACCCATGGTGCATGTAAAATAATCAGACACACTCGAAACAATGAAAGCAGAAATAATAAATGGCATAAAAAGATGAGTAAATCCCCCACTTTAGTCTCTTAAATATGTAACTTAATTAACAGTAATCTTTACAATTTGAAATTTTAGTTCTTAAAACTAACAATTGTCAATCACATTAGTCTTTGTCGCTAAGAGACATTAAAATTAATTAATAGAATTGATGATTTGTTACATTAAATAACACGTGGCAATTAATTCTAGATAAAAAACATCATTTAAAAAATTTTCAAAAATAGTTTATTTTTATCCCTGACATTTAGCATTTTTGAGCAATAAGGTCTCTTCTTGTCTTTTATTTTATTTTGTTTCATGGCATCTTCCTTTGACCACCGTTGCAACATGTTTAAAGAAAACTGCAACAATCTCTTTCTTATTAGCCTAAAAAAGGTTTTGAATTACAAAAGAATCATTGTAAAGAAATATAAAGGTACTCATTGTCCTACATATGACACCACTTTCACTGAATTGATCATGATTAATTGTCCATTTATAGATTTGAGACTTGAATCTGTTGATGCAAATGAAAAAACTTAAGACGAAGAACTTTTGAGCATGAATGTCATTAAAATGATGGTTGGAGAAAGATGTCATGGAAGAATGCAGAGTAGAAGGAACAAAAAAGAATCTTATTGACCGAAAATGTTAAAAGTCAATTATAAAAATGAACTTTTTTGAAAAAATTCTAAAATAACATTGTTTTGTGTTAAAATTAGACTGTCACGAGTTACTTAATGTGACAAATCATCACTCTGTTATTCAATTTTAACGTCTTTTAACAACAATGACTAATAAAATTGAAAATTATTAATTTCAAAGACTAAAATTTTAAATTTAAAGAATTAATTTAAATAATAATACATACTTCTGAGACTAAAGTGAAAGTTTACTAAAAAAGATAAATAGAGACTACGAACCAAACATTGAAGGTCCATTGTTCCCAAGTATTCTTAGATATGTCACGTAAAACATGTACGACTAATAGAATCACCAACATATTTTCTTGAAAGAAACTATTCAATTGAACAAATAAATGCATCAATTATATTGAAATTCACATATACAGGTATTTTATATCATAAATTTTTCTTCACCCAACTGCCAAAGAATTTTCACTTCACCGTCATCATTAAATAAGTTAGAAACAAAACTTAATTCAAGAACATGAGTCCTGATCACAAGTTCAATTACCCATACATTTTCATGAAATGAAGGAACTTAAACATATTGGTATGAATATGTGATAAAAAAGATGTTGCGATCAATTAATAATATATGATAATCATACCGGACAAAGATCCTGCCGAATTTCTTCCAAAGATTTCTTCCTCTTTTGATGTATTACCTGTACAATTCAAACAAACAAAAGTATAAATATTGGATAGCAGTACTCTTTTAGACAAAACTACAACTAAGTAATGCTTATACCAGAAACCCAACAGCTTGTCTTATATAATTCAGCTCATGCCAAGATGTTCCTGCATACTACATTTCACAAGTACATGGTTAAACCTTAAAATGAAAATCATTAAATAATAGCAAGCTCAATTTACCTCCTCCTTTGCATTAACTATCCATTTCTCCAGTTCTGCGAGACCAGACTTCACATATTCACCATTTGAGAAAGTACAACATTCACGCCGCAACAGAAGGCTAAAAGAGACCATGGGAAATTAAAATTAAAAAAAAAATGGAGAACAGAAGAACTACAGAAAATCAATTCAATAAACCAACGGAGCAAATTCATGATTTGAGGCAACAAAAAATGGCATCTAGTAATAATAACGAGTGTTTTACCTGTTAAAGAGTGTAATGTTGATGAAGGAAAAAACCTGAGTAACAAGCTTGCGGATGAAGAAGGATGGTACCTGAACATACAGCTTTCAGTAAGAAAAAATAGATCATATGGAATGGTTGAGACTTATTAAAACACGCAACTAAAGTCATATTTCTCCTGTAACAGAAATGAGATATTTTACTAAATATTTTCTCAACTATAACAACATATATAACAAAGAAACTTGTATCTCTGTTTGCTATTAACTACACAATTTCAGCCTACCACACCAAAACTTAAAAACTGAAGTTTCAACTAGTAAAATAACACAACTGAACAAACAGAAACAATTACATCACCTATGAGCCATGGTCCCAACTTTTTAGGTAAGCATTGAAGGATGAAGAGGAAGAATGTCATGAAAAGATTTGACTGTCAAACACCACTCCCAAAATGTAATTTATGCAAAATATACATTACAAATAAATAAGACAACCATAATATTAATACATCAACTAACTAACTTTACCCAACTTGATATTGTATTATTATTTTTTCAGATAAGCAAGAAATTTATTACGTTAGACTGTTAGAGAAGTATGGTACAAAATGCGGATTTGAAATTCTCATGAACTAAAGATCACACACAAAAAAAGCACAGATCAGGAGCATGTAACACAGGATGCCAATCTAGTAGCAGATCTAACAAAGACACCCCCCATAAAGACCATGAGCAAAACATTGCAACAAAGCTTTCATACACTACTCAATCCCCAATGAAAATCAGAAGATTGTCATCCCAAAAAGATTCTTGCATTTTTTTCCCAACCAAATACCAAATAACTGCAGCCCAAGAACAATGCCAAATCTTTTGAGTATCTTTGCTATTACCAAATCCTCTTAAATTAATTAACACATTGGAATTTTTAAGGTCCTTGGGAGTTGGGACAAACCCTGGTTCCCCAAAAAACAAATAAGTTATTCCAGAGATAAGAAGCTGATGGGCAATCCAATCCAAAGAACAAATGAGAACAAGATGCAGAATTCAATCTACATTACAAGTAATCAGGGGACAAGCAGTTAGGGGTTAGGGGTTTTCAATCCTGTAAATTATGTCTTGTCTTAGGTGT